ATGAACATCTCATTAGTAACAATGGTGAGTTGAGGGGTCTGAACATTAGTAACAATGGTGAGCTGATGGGTCTGAACATTAGTAACAATGGTGAGTTGAGGGGTCTTAACATTAGTAACGATGGTGAGTTGAGGGGTCTGAATATTGGTAACAATGGTGAGTTGAGGGGTCTTAACATTAGTAACAATGGTGAGTTGATGGGCCTGAACATTAGTAACAATGGTGAGTTGAGGGGTCTGAACATTGGTAACAATGGTGAGTTGAGGGGTTAGGAGAACATGTGGTCGCACAAGCAATTTTACACGTACAACGTTGATATTTGGTCACAATATCAAGCTCTAATGAATGACTCATAAATATGTCCTTAATGGTTTCCTTGACCCCATTTTCAAGATTACAAAGATCAAAGTGTAAACATGAAATGACAATAAGCGATAATCTACATAGAATTTGAAATGATAGTCTATCAAAAATTGAAAAAAAACACTAAAAACACCAAAACGAAAGAGAAAACCTCTTGAAAATACAACACATATTTCCAAAATGATTATAACGTGATATGATAATAAATAAAGGCAATTGCCGATCAGTACATGTCCAATAGTGCACGATAAGTCGCCCGCAATATCACGAAGAGAAATGCGAGACGTGTCTATACGGCGATAGCCAAATTGGTTTTAGATACCGGTAATATTCCATAGGCGATCGTAAAACAGAAAATAAAAAAATTATGGATTAGCAGTCCAATTTCAAAGGCTGTCTGTTATGATGATCATATACCCAGGTGGAAGGAAAATAATGGATTTTTTGTTTGCCTTAAACGGTTGTAGGATCTACGTCCCGTTGGCGCTGACAGAATTTATATGGCTTCAGACGCTATCGGCGTGTTACCATGGCAACAAATAATGTATCATCAATTAAGCGAATAATCATTGAATTAAAGACAAATATCGTTTGAACGTTAATTCATTTGCCATTGTTAAAGTCAACCGTGTGAATTTGAGAAATGATCCGCCATCAACGGCGTGTATGTCAATTAATCAGACAGGATGGAAAATATCAGGTCACAAAATATATAATTTTCTGCGCGTTCTACAATATTCGCCATAACTTAAGGAGTTACTAATTGGCTAACATCTAACTCGTCCAGGCATGCCTGAAGACCCTCGATAATTAGGTGATCACGTTCGGCAATATGTAAAACGAATCTGAAATATACTTGAACCTATAAAAGTACGTCAGTGCAATGACACATCCTTAACCCTAAGGTCTAGACTAGGTACAGAGAGATGGTATTAAGTATACCAACATTCTCTACAGCTGATCTTATCCAATCTATTTCACACAGTCAGAAATAATTTGCAGTTTGAATTTCAACCCATACAAAAGTGAGACAAATTCTTCCATTTATGAAGACTACTTTGTGGACGGGACAAAAGTAGTCTTAATAATGAGGTGGTCTTAATTTCGACTTGATCTTTTGACATGGTTTGCTTACATCAGTGATTACGCTGAGCGTGGGATTTCTTCCTATAAAAAGATAAAAATATGTACTCCTGTGATTTCAAAATGATAGTAGATAATATTTATACTCCTTTAATTTTGATATACCATTTGTCGCCATGGTAACATCCCGATATCCTCTCTAGTCATATTACTACTGGCCGTCTAAGATGGCTGGTACTTTTTTCTAAAAAAAGAAAAATAAAAAAACTTTTTTCTTAAAAGTCCACTCCTCTGATTGGATGTCTGTTTCCTTTTCACAGCAATGGTTCCAAAGTTTTTTTGACAAGTCTTTATTTTACTGCAGTGAATGATGCCAGATAATTTCCGGTGTAGTATTTCATAAGGACACTTCCAGTTTGACAAATGTGTGATTTTCTTTATTTTCCTTATCCCAACGGAGCTTATCTTTTCCCTAGTTACCACATTAGTAACCGTATGATACATGGATATCGTTTACATGTAACTATCATAAACATGTCCGTTTCTAACGCTACACACCACGGTAGCCACCATATAATTAGCGTAAGTATACCGGATTTCAGTCACGCCGGAAGCCAGATATCGTCAGTGGTTACTAATTATTCCAAATCCAGTGGTCATTCTGAGAAATGACAAGGTGTTTAGGTGTGGAACAATTGTAAACAATGCGTGATCAACTCTTTTATTTTCAGTCCAGTTTGAAAATTAAATTTCAAACCATGTTGATTTACTTCCGATATTAGTTCAAATCTTCAAACACGTCGCTTTTCATTTCTGAACGTTAATGTTCGTTGTTTTAGCGTCGTATTTCTTTTGTAGGTACTCTTGTATATGTAAGAAAAGAAAGAAAAAACCTGTAACGAAGGACATTGTGTTTCAAATTTAAAACATAACATTGTGCGTTTTTTTAATTGAAGTACGAGACATAATCGTAATAATTTAAATATCTGACAAAAGTTGACTTATAAATTTGTGGCCGCATTTTATATTGAATGGGAACGCAATGTTCTTTCGTGGGAATGCAACATTGCCCACGCAATATTATCCCAAACAATAATATTTCGTTCTCAAACAATAATGCTTCGTTCCAACGCACTTATTGTTTTTGTATCGTCCGTTCCTAACCGTCGTGCCATTACCCTAACCCTAATTGCCAGATGAATAAAAAGTTCATGCCGGTTTGTTAACTCCACAATGAAATTCTTTTTTGTGGTTCTGGGAGAAGAGTGTGACGTAAGTTAACTGTTCTTACGTTGCCTATTTGCGTCGGTTATTTGTGATGGAGAAGACTGGCGATTCATTCTCTGAAGAATATTCTAAATATTTTAGAATTCAGCTTATCATGTCACAGATAGTATTTGAAACATCTGTCTCAGATCCCTACAAGAGTCATGTAATCACGTGATTGCCGATAAGGATGAAATGGTCATGTATCAGCCATAATGGCATCAGCAGTCACGCGCGCTTGAACAGCATCCCACCTCCTCCCCAATCGTACACAAGATCAATACGACATACTTACCAACAGGTGAGTCGACCAGGTGATGAGCCAAGTACGATTGTCTGTGTATTAATCAACGCCGTGCCATCGATCGGCCACCTGTATATTTACCTGTGTGTCTACCTGGACATACCTTGTCATCATTTATTTAGGTGATCGTATTATAATCTAGTCTCCTAGCGACACTCAAATATTTCTTACTGGTGTACTAGTGTGTATTGTTGTTCTTTTACCAGTAATAACATGCGTTATGGCTAAAGCTTTTTACTCTGTTGTAGGTTTGTTGTCTGATAAACGTTGTAAACAATATTTGGAAACAAAACCGACAAAACTATGCTGTTTTAAAAAATAAAATTTTGTTTTTAAGCCTCAAGATAGAGAAGATAAAGCCTTATTCAAAACTGTAAGACACAATAAGAAACAAATCAGAATGTTATTAAATTGTTAAATAAACAAAACATTTTCGGTGTACAAATTCTCTTATACGTTTTTTTTAACTGATATTGTTTCTGGCATTAAATGCTTATAATTTGGAATAATTTGTCCGATACCCAAGATCCTTGATACGTCAGAGGTTACGATCGCTTTCGCTCTCTGCACCCATGGAACATGTCATGGCAAAACTGAAGGTTCCATTTGCCACAACTTGTGGACAAGAACTGTTTGATCCTGTGATGTACATGTCACGGATCTGGAGGTCGCATAACGTCCTATTGTTATGATTTACAAGTTGATTGTCGCTCCTTTGTAATACTCAAAAGGAGCGTAGCAACTTGTGATTGGTAAGTTTTTCCCTTGGAACTAGCCAAATCACTTCGCCTGTGCCTTCAATTTTACCAAGACATGTTCAAAGGGTGCAGAGAGCGAAAGTAAACGTAACCCTAGGAATATCGAGAATGCAGTGATGCTCATCTCCTCTAAACGACATATACTTTGTTATTTATGTGTAGCGAACCCCTGTGGAAGAACGTAAAGGGCTCTCACAAGTACACGTATAGAAAACCGATTCTTGTAAATCAATCATTCTTTTATTAGACGGAATATAACACATTTGTCTAAAAGGGGTATTAATTAACTAGATGTCATACTAATTCTATGGAGTATGGACTCCAGCTAGTTTGTATGAATCACCTACAGTCACTTTTTTTGTGACCATATACTATAAACATATATGAAGCAATTTCAATTAAGCGTTTCATATTATCCTCTAGTGGACCGTGACATAACCACTGGTACAGAGGACGTGTTTGTGCCACCAACTTGAGCGATATTTTTTGCTACATAGTTTATTCTAAATAACAGCATAATAATACGAAGTCAATAACACTTTTTTACATAGATTTAGAATTAGATACAGTAGCATGATATAGTAAACTATTCTGCAGCATAGAGCTGTGTTACCTTCTAGGACTCGTGAGTGATGCCGAGGACCTAAACTATGAAGTCTAGGAGGCGATTGAGAATAATAAAAAACAAATAATCGAAAGAAATGTCAAAATCGAAATAAGGAGATGAACTAGCCCCGTCATTTTATATATATTTCGCAATTTTCATATATCTGATGATTTTATCAGAACTTCAAATACATGTACATGTGTATATTTTTAACCGCGACACTATTCAAGTACTCTAAACTACTGCGTTGTTTCTTAATACTGGGGTGGATATTTGAATTAAAATGTTACTTTTAATGTGCTGTCTGTCTGCCTATTCTCAAATTAGCATTGCCCATAACTATTGCATTGCAAGAATTAAGGCTTATATATTTGACCTGTCTATTCTTTGTGACCTTTCCGGTGGTACCAATATTTTTACCATATGACCTTGACAGTGACCTTTGTTCTAAATTTGAAAGTAAAATAAAAAATCAGTACGTCAATGAAGCGTTTCACAAAGTGAATGCAATCAGCACATGGCTTACACAGTACAGTTTTAATGTCATTCTTCAAAATTTCCTTGCAACCGGGGACATGAATGTTTTATAAACACATCTTGTTTTCTTTTTTTCCCTCAGGAATCTCCCGGAAGTGACAGCGATGAATATATTCACCAGACTAAGATCAGACATCAATCAAACACCAAGCAGGCCCCTCCCCGCCGTGTACAGCAACCACCTTACCCCAGCGCGCGCTACGAGAGATATGAGGGAGATCCGCCGACCCTACAGGATCGCGAGATGAAAGGTCGTGCGATCCTCGTTAAGTTCTTCAAAGATGACGATCGCCTTTACAGGGGAGTGACCGTCTCCATTAACGACCGTCAGTTCAAATCCATTGAAAGTCTGTATGAATATCTCAACGTCAAAATAGACACTAAAAAGGGTGTCCGGCACATTTTCAAACTCAAAACGGAGACAGAAGTGAAGTCAGTCAAAGAGCTGGAGCGAGGGGATATCTGTATTGTTTCAAGTGGCGCACGGTTCAAAAAAGATGTAGTCATGTGTAATCTGTTGATGGAGCAACCGATCAGTCCTACAAAGAGTTTTATTACCAACACTAACAGGTCGTCACGAGAGCAGGGCAGATCTACACACGAGCGGTTCAACGACAGCAGCAACAGAACTCCAAACTCTACGGCGCCCAACAAACAAGTCACCTTCACCATCATCAGTAACACGGACCGATACAGCAAGGAGAAAATGATCCTTAATCCCAACACAACACAAAGCTTCGAACAAATTCTCGACGACATGGGGACCATGCTCCAGCTGAAGTACCCGCCAGCAACCGGGATCTTCTCCACCAGGAAACCCTTCCAACAGGTAAGTTTCTTCCAGAAGTACCCGACCAACAGGTCAATATCTTCTAGAGTAAATTCTACCAACAGGTAAGTCTTTCTAGAGGTACCAGTCCAATAGTTCTGTATCTTCATGAGGAAGCCATATCCACAGGTAAGTTTCTTCCAGAAGTACCCGACCAATAGGTCCAGTAGCAAGTCCGACCAACAGATGAACAACATGTCATATAGAAAACCTTACCAACATGCTAGTGTCTTCGAGTAGAAACCCTAATCTTCAAGAGGAAGACGAAGCAACAGGTGATAATCTGCAATTGAAAACCAGAACATCCAATCAAGAGGTATGTACCTTGAAAATAAATCCCAGAGAAAACACGGGCATTAGGCATCTTTAAGGCAAAACTCAGTGGAAACCAGACCAACAGGGGAGTATCTTTAAACGAAATAAAAAAAACGATCAGATTATTAAAATGGAGTATTGTTATTTAGCAGTTACGTATCTGACCAAGAAATCGAACGGTCGAGTATCATCCTTTGCAGTCTTGACGAACAAGTGAGAATCTTTTCGAAGAAAACAAAAGATCAGTCCTTCGTTTTTCCCAATTGCTCTTTTGGGGTTTCATACATAACGTAATGATATCTGCTGTATGTTATATTAACGGTTTATTGATGCCCTCTCTGTTTTATCAGATATTTTCATCATCGTATAACATTTCATGTTTCAGATCTACAGTTTCTCCCAGCTGAACAGAGAGGTCAAGGTCAATGGCAGTTTTTTCGTCTGTGGGAAAGAACGGTTCCCGGAAGAACTCGGGGTGACTGATACAAACGAAGACAGCTTGTCAGAACCTGAACCGGAACCTGTCAGGAAAAGTAAGAAAGGGCCGCCGGTTAATAAGATAACACCATTAAAGCGACGGAACGAGCCTTCCACCGATGTAAATCAGAAAGAAAACGTGAGTCCACCGCAACGTGGCAGAGCACGAAATGACGTTAAGAAACCGAACAAGACGCCCAGATACGAAACAGAGCCACGCCGAAAGCCGACAAAGGGGAACGAGACGTCACGTTACGAACAGAACCAAGAATACAATAACCAGTCCAGGTACGAAGACGAAGAACGCCAAAAACCAGTCAGAACATCGCGGCAGCAAGATCCACCAAGGAAAATCAACAAAGCATCGCCGCGATACGAAGAAAGCGAGCAGCGGAAGCCCGGCAGAAACTTTGAACAACAGCAACAGCCAGAACGAGGACGACCGAATGGGCACGCTAGATTCGAGGAGGAAGAGGAAGAAGAAGACGTCTATGATCGGTCACCTGGCAATGATATGAAGGACGACGACATGGAAAGAGAACGGAACGGTGAAGCTAGCAGTGAGGAGGAGGAAGAGGACGACGAGGATGATATTGGACCATTTCCGCAAACGTCCCGAACCAGGAAGCCGGAGAGGATGGTGACGCCTGAATACTGATGATATAACACCCTATCATGATGTCATAATTACATGACATATTTTTGTGACGTCATATTAAGAAAAACATTTCATAATATTTTGTTTGATTTCCATGATAATGCTATTGGCGATATTATGACGTCACGCTCAGCTGTGATATATTTTCTACGTTGGAAGTCATGGTGTGGAAACAAGGTTAAACAGGTAGAGCACATTTGTGTTGTTCTTAACACATTAAGATTCTCGAAGTAGTAAAAAGAGGACATACTTTAAAGTCAATTTCAGAAATAGGACTACTGTTTACCAGTGCATTTATTTTAACTGTGTTTTACAACATGTAGCTTCAAGACACAAAGCTGAGTGATCCTCTCCGGATGTTTTCGTATATCCGTATCTGCATATTTCGTTCTCGAGAGGAGCAAAAGGCAGCGACCCGTATCGACCATTAAATCCTGATGTGACGTCACGACGCCAGTGTCGTCATATGGTACGTGCCGTGCTGTATGTATTAGGAAACACGTTCTTTTAACGTGTTGATTTCGCTCTTGTTTGTATTGTCAGAAAAACAGAGGAGAATTTTTATCATTAGTCCCATATATATTTTAGGTTCGATCGGGGGAGCGAATGTCGGCAGTATCCACTGCGGCGCTGACCATACACATTTATCGTAGTGTATGACATTGACAATGACAATTTATCCTTGTTTGTTATCACAAACCTTTCTTGTTCTAATATGTAAAACAAAACTTTTATGTTGTAGTTAAGACACATGAAGAGTATGGTGTAAATAAAAATCCTGTTTTCGATGTGGTAAAATAGGGTATGATTCATGAAGAGCTGTCTTGCTTAGGCCAAGAAAAACAGAACTATTAGAAATTAGTTGTAAACCCATTATTATGTGTGTGTATATCGTTCGTTTGGTAGAATTTATAACAAATATTTTGTATTGTTATCGACGTCTGTGATTAATATCATACAATGTACATTTTGTAACCATGGCGGTAGTAATCATCATATTGTCGTTGTTAATTATGATATGTTATAACTATTAAAACGTTTCGTTCAGAAAGATTGTCCACCGTATTTTTTTCATTTGTATGCTGAATTTTTTTAGAAGATGAATCTTGCAAATAGTGGTACATGACCATTCTTATTTGGAATGGTTTCAGAAAAGCTCAGCTGGAAGATTTTTCTCTCAGGAATGGCCAAGGAATATCGAGGCTGTTAGTTAAAAGGTTACTCCGAAAGCCATTTAATAGAAAAAAAAATATTACGATAGTCCTAAAGGACCTTCTTTTGAGGAAAATTACAGCGGGAATCCCGAAAGTCTTGGCTGCGAGTGGGATTCATAAAGCCTCTTGCTTTTCGGAAGACGTTTTGCGAAGCAATTCTGACGGTAAATAATCCTGAAAATAAAGCAAGACTTTGTTGTGGACATGTGAGTGAAGCTTTGGTGCTACTCTAAGACTTTGTTGTGGACATGTGAGTGAAGCTTTGGTGTTACTCTAAGTGTGGAATAGTGCTTGGTAAGATTCCTCTTATTAAAATGACTTGAGACAGATCGATGTATTCATGATTGTCGCCAGTCCGCCGGGAAATATGGTCGGTGCTTGTTCTAGTATCAAGAAATCCTATATAGTTATCACATTGTATTCAAATGATATACATTGTATGTGATTGTTTAGACAACACAAGGTAACGGAGATACGGTCACTGGATGGATATCAATATTGACAGCAATACATTAATATAACGTGTCATTTCACATTCCTCATAAAGTGTCTACTCCAATCTCAGCTTCGCGGCCCCTAGGGGGACGAATCCTTATATCGATAGGAAGTGATCAGACCTCCGCATTGATAACCCCATTTATAAAGTTCACGAGTGGACGTCTGGGAATTTATCTAATGTAGTATTTGTGGTCTGGTGGTAGACTGATTTCTACTCTGGTAGGAATGGATATGTCAACAAGATATGTTAATGATACGTTGCAGCTACAATTGTTTGGTCTTCATCATTTGTTAATTAAAGTTGACCCCCCCCCCCTCTTCCTTTTTCTTCTTTCCTCACATTTCTCTTAATAACATAAATTTTGATAACTTCTCTCAAGAAATAGCAATAACAATCTTTATCTGTAAAATCAAAAAAGACCTGTCAGTATTTTTTATCAATTAAACACAACTTAAGGAACCTAAATATGAAAGAATCATCCTGCTCTTCTCAAGAACTTACAGATAACAAATTTTCATTGTCAACATCAAAGATGGCCATGTGCCTATTTGTTTTTCTGATCAGTCACAAAATCAAACGGGCACAACTAGTTTTTGAGTTTTTAAACAGTTGAAAATAATATACTGAGTTTACATTTTATTATTTCACTGGGACTGTTCAGTTTGTTCCTTACTTTCAAGAAACTGGTTCCACAGGAAGAATAGGTCAGCCATCTCCAGCTTAAATCTAGTATGTTAAACCTATGAGAAGTTTCCAGAATACTTACTCTCATTCCTCGAATTTTGATTTTTTTTTCACATGAATTTTCCTAGAGGCTCACCATCTTTGTTAATACCATGCTAAATTTACTTGCTTAAGGAAATACTGTGCCAAATTGATTAAAATTTAATGCACTCCCTACTTTTTAAAACCTGTTCATCCCCATTTCCCTTCTTGGCATCCCTTCCTTGCATCAAAAGGAAACAAATACTGAAATAGATTGAAAACCCTTCAACTGATCTAGAGCAGTAGTTTTTGTGGAATAAAATCCCACACCTTTGATGCCTTGTCCCCATGAGAATGAATACATAAAAACCCACTTGCCAGATACAATGTAAAAAACTGTTCCTGTTTTCTTATAAGCAGCTTTTTTCTTTAGTCCATCCTTCTGCTAGCAGAAAAACACATCCTTTATGTACGAATTGATTCCCTATTGTGCAAGTCACATCATTATTTGTCCTGATAAACCATGGATAATAATGAAACAAAGACTTAGTCTAGTTTATATAAAATAATTTATTTACTACATACTTTATATACAATAGTAATCTCACAGTACTCAGTACCAATATAGCCAAACCTGTTTAACTGATTAATCTCTAACCCAATACATCTTACTGACCAAATTTCATTAATTTTACAAAACAATTCTATTTTCTATTTTTCATTTTTTTAATCATACATTGTTTTTTAAAATCTAAAGTAAAGATATCTTACTTTAACAAAATTTTAATAACAAAATTACAAATTCATGAAATGATGAAAATCAGACAATAAAATGTAACATTTTAAAGATTTAATCATTTCCCCCTTCTCACAGTAGATAAGTTCAGGAGAAATCTCCTGAATGAGAAAAGCTACAGTTTGAGGATTTCACAAAAAGAAATCAGACAATATATATATATATTCTTTATTTACTATATACAACACACAGTCGGTATTTATTCCTTCTATCAATATCAGTAAGATTTTTAACACAACCTCATTATTTCAAAGAATCTGGTCCATCTGTATTCCAAGAATTTACATCCATGAAGTAAGCACCATTTTTAAAACACCAGTAAAGCACATCTGTGGAAGAGTCCTGATTTTATACTTACTAAGGCAACTACCTCTGTATTTCCTTATGAATGAATCATGAAAGGATGATAAGTCAACACATCTGTTCTGTCATCATTCATACACTATCCTACTATATTTCATCATTATTTATAGTAATTGCTGGCTGCACATTGAAGATGTCAGTGTCAAGCTACGACAATGTCCAGCCACCAATTACCGTAAATAATGATGTACAATATAAGTTTACTATCAAAATTAATATACAAATGTGTAACCTCCATCTACCCAGCTGTGGAATGGGGTACCAACATCCTAGGAAGTAATACTGTGATATACCAGTGTCATTTAATGAAATAGGCATTAAGCCTTATACAGGCTACCTTTAGCTGGGAAGACATTTTATAACAAGTTGACCTGGGACCCTAAAGTATACCACTCAGAGTATACCACCCAGGGTATACCACCATCTCTAGTATACCACTTAAATAAAGCTAGGTAATGTGCAGTTAACTGTTAATACTAGATTTTTTGTCAGGTTCAGAATTAAGTACTAATTAGCTTAATAGCATTTCTTTGGCACTTTTGTAAATTAACAGATGCATTTTAATTATATCTTGTTATTTACAGGCAATTTGCCTGTCATCAAAAAAATGTTAAATTATTGTTTTTTCCACAGTTATAGAGGCTTACTGATGACAAAGTATTGAAAATAACAGAAAATACTAAATAAACTGCATATTTTGCAATTCAAAATGTGAACACTGAATGCGAATGACAATCTTTTTTACATGATAATATATTTGACCTTTTAACATTTTCTTCCCCCATATAGGAAATCCAGTAACTTGGTCAACAACAGAAAAAACAAAACACACACTTAAGCCCTCTTATTTGTGGTCTGAAAAAAAATTCAACTTAAGAAATGAAATATCTTCCATTTTACAGCTTCGTTTAAAGTAATTCTCATGTAATTGAGCTAAAATGTGATATCTATCAAAAACATTTCCCCCAAAAATATATTAGAAAATACAAGGATAATATCTAGAGCCATTCCTGAAATAGGTATGTACATGGAATACATACCAAATCCTAAACACAGTAAAGACTGGGTACACTCAAAAGAGTACATGAATTGCATCAAAATATTCAAAAGATATATTCTACATTAAAAACAAAATATACATCACACAATAAATTTCTATAATAATATTTTCTATCAGTGTAACATTTCCCCTATATATACCTGCTTCTGATCTGAAAATATCACTGGACATGATTGTAATTACATTCCTACTTAAGGTATTGCACAATGCTTTTTGGTTTTTTTTTTTTTACACATCCAGTTGGGAAAAAGATTCAATTTTTTTCTAGAATATAGAATGCAATTTTGGCAATAACAATTCATCTTATGAATTTTACTAAGAAAATACTAATACTTTATTTATAACTTTCAACCATATTAAACAGACCTGAAACACCATTTACAACTGACTTAATTTGATCGCAAAAGTTAAAGGACTTACAGAGATAGTTGAAGTTATCTATTGAACATAACAAAAACAAGAAATTTCCCAAGATAATAAAAATAGTGATTTATATTAGTGAAACTTGAAAGTGGTCAATCAGTGCTGACTGGAAAAAATTATCACACAAAGCTGTCTACCTATATCAAAGTACCTATAAATTCCATTTCAAGAAAATATATTGTACAATCAGAAAAGTATTACTGTTGAAGTGTTTCTGTGTGGCAAAGTTAAAATTCTCTAAAAGATCATCATTTCCCCACAAACCTTTAAAAAAATTGAAATGTATAGTATTGCACTACCACCAAGAAAATAAAAACAAAAATACTGTCAACTGAGCCGTCATATGTTGCAAAATAAATTCCACTGGAGCAACACTTGGACAGACTTACTTGTTACCATTCAAAAGGGAAATAAACTATATAATTGATAACCTCCTTAAACACTGAATATGTACACAAAGTGTAACTGAAATCTGAAGAGCAACTTGTGTCTACAGACACACATATAGATACAGACTAATGATTTTGATAACTTGTGTCTACAGACACACAGGTAGACACAGACTAATGATTTCAATAACTTGTGTCTAGACACATAGGTAGACACAGACTAATGATTTCAATAACTTGTGTCTACAGACACACAGGTAGACACAGACTAATGATTTCAATAACTTGTGTCTACAGACACACAGGTAGACACAGACTAATGATTTCAATAACTTGTGTCTACAGACACACAGGTAGACACAGACTAATGATTTCAATAACTTGTGTCTACAGACACACAGGTAGACACAGACTAATGATCTCAATAACTTGTGTCTACAGACAAACAGGTAGACACAGACTAATGATTTCAATAACTTGTGTCTACAGACACACAGGTAGACACAAACTAATGATTTCAATAACTTGTCCAGAATATCATAATGTTGGTGACGATCATTTTCAGTACGGTACAATTATATTTTTTAGTATGGTATAATAATCATTTTCAGTACAGTATAATGATAATTTTCAGTACAGTATTAATTATAATATAAATTGTACAAAATTTCTCATGATAATAGTGAGAGTGAGCACCAAACGACTCAGCAAAGTACTTAGTATCTGTAGGATCACCCACGTTTGATCTATACAGACATATAAGTCTGTGGTATGATGTTGTCTTAATTTCCATTTTAAACAAGTAAATTTTTTTCTCTGTAATATCAATTAATATCTCTTTAACTGTACATGATATTAACTATACATGATAATAACACTGTATTTGAATGTTTTTTCTTTCCACTTGAATTACCTGCCCATAGTTTTTTATCAGTAAGTATAGCATAATACTATATCTACAGATTTTTCTGAAAATAATATCCATTTCTACATGTACAATTTCAAAATGGTTAGTACTCTCTCAGATTCACGAAATACTGTTCCATGTTTCACAGTGGTTTTGGCCTGATTTGTATAAAGATATATGTAGGTCAAAAAAATAATTGCAAATAAGTTTTTAAAGTGTGATGGAGTTATCTCCCCTTGTTAGTGTTTCCACCATCCTCTGAACTGGGTATGAACTACAGCCTTCTCTTGTGGACTAAACTGTAAAATTGTTGTGATGGCATTCATCATTTGTTGTTTAGCATGTGGATCTGTACTAATGAGAAACTTATAAGTGACATTTTTTAAATATTCCAAATTTGCCCCTTCTCTCACTCTGTCCCTTTCACTCTTTCTTACTGTTTCCTTCATAGTTTCAACTGTATCTGATAGAGATTCCGCTTGTGTACTTGCAGAAATCTGTAAGTCTCTTAGTGCGAGTTCAAGATCGTGTTTCTGTTTCCGTAAAGAATTTATTTCCACATCCTTACGTGCTTGTTCTTGACTGAAATAGATTAGATTTGCATCACCGTGACCTAGATTTAGTAACCTTGACACGGCACGCTCCTCTTCCGACTTGGACTGAAGAACGTCTAGAGGTAATTCAGCAGATGCCCCAGAATCTGGTGGATTCCTCAACTGACTGTAATAAGATCCTTCAATTCTGTGAACATCTCCTGTTTTCAGCTGTGAAATTTCCCGATCTTTTTCTGCCAGTAATGACACAGTTCTCTCCCTTTGTTTTTTCAATTCTATATCCATTTCACCTATGCGCTGTTTGCATTCAGCATCCATTGTAGCCAAGTCCTGTTTGTGTTTTTCCTGCAGTGACACAATAGTTTTTTGCATGCTGCCAGCTCTGTGTTTAGAAGTCTCCATATCCTCATCCATTTGAAAATGTAGATTTTTTATTTTCTCCTTGAGGTCTTGGATCTGTGACTTAAGCATATCAACTTCCTTAGAATTTCCTACATCCTGGAATGAAGATTGGATACATTTACCACAATAAAAAAATCTTACATGAATTCACAAATAAAATGTTTATTTATTGAAGAATTAAAAACATTAAAGTGGAATTAAGCGAAACCCCACCCCCTCTAAAAAAACCCAAAATATATATCCTCTATAAAACCCTTCTTTATCCAATGTACTCAAGCTAGTGAACAGATATATGTACCCCTATGTAGTGATGGCACGGTGATCAAAATATATCTAATTGTTAAACCTGATCTCATACAAAAGTCCATTGTACCTTTTCATAATCAATAATTGGTACCTTAATATCTTCTTGAGTTTTAGCAAAAAACTAAAAGTTATATTCATTCTTATGCAAATTCAAGACACCTAAAGTATCTTAACTTAAAGTTATGAAAAAAGAAAATATTATTAAAATGGAATATACATTTACTTTCTGTGAATATTGAACACAGAGTCAGCTGATCAATTAACTACATCAAAAAGACTATTTTTTAATCAATAATTGATTACAGTTTTGAACTGATTTCATTTTCAGTGCCCTTTAGTGTTTTCTGTGGAGTTTCATATAACCCTAAGGATTTTTACTGTGTATACCTAAAAATAGGCCCATCAGGCGTACAGAGAATCTCAAACTCAAAATGAGGAGGGGGAGGGGGTTGGGGGTATATGTATCTTGCTCACATTAAAATATGAAATTCCTCTGTTATATCTACATGCCCTTCTACTTCTTTCCTGTTTCTCTTTACCTTGTGAAAGCTGTAGTTTGGTTACACACAGTAAAACCCTATTTTCTTGAACCTGTATTACTCAAAACCAAATTATCTATATCTAACAGGTACCAAAAGGTACAGATAAGCTAGCTTCTTGATTATCATACAATTATCTTTTTTTTAGCTGTAAAGGTTAATAACACAATGTCTAAAAATAACAACATGGAATTAACAATCGTTCATCATTCTACCATCATTTTCAGCCACCTACTTTCTGCACGTTACAGTTTGCCATAAATGAACAATACTGTGAGGGACAAATTTTACAAATTTCTCGGCAGGAAAATTCCAGACATTGAAATTATAGGTCAAAACTTCTACACAATCATTAATTGGACAAATCAAGAACGAAATATTGAATACATTATTTACAGACATTGGGTCTCCCACCAACCTCTGATTAATCAATATTCCCTTGAATATTACCATGGAAACAAGATGTTTGACTTAAAAGAGTTTTACTGTTTATATTGACACTGTTACATTGTAAATATGAAGTTGTTGTTTTGTTAAGCTGATAAAACCTAATGTTTGAACCTTACTTTAGAACTTTTGTTTTTGAGAACAGACTGAGCCCGCAGTTTGTACCGCTCAAACTCTTCCTTGACCTTTTCCAACTCCTCTTTATATTTATTTGATTCCAACGATGTGTCCTCTTGAAGTAAATCTGAAGACAGAGTAAAAAAACTATTTACAGCACTTAGACAAATAAAGAACATCCATGTTGAATTGAATTCAAATACAAATCCTTTTTTTGAATTGACAAATTAACACACAACTGTCGTCAACTGTAAATTCAGTTAAATTCTCTTTCACCTACCATCTATGTCAACAGGATTAGCTGCCTTTTGATTGGCTAGTTTCAGCAACCCTTTCAGAGTCACAAGTTTATCGGCTAGCACATGAGGATCAAGGTTAGCCTGGTCCTGGTCATTATCGCCTGGTTCCGCCTTCCCTGGTGCATGTGCTGCCCTGGCGAGAACAGTGTTCTCCATGTCAAGCTGCATCAGTCTGTCCTTCAGTTTCTGTGTCGTCTGCTGATCCTGGAATCGGAGGCGCTCATAATCCCCGACAACATCAGAAAGTTCTGAGATTTTGGCCTCCAGTGTGGACACTCTCTTCTCACTCTGCTCTGACAGCTGTTTAAGCTTAGTCTCAGCCTCAGATACTCTGTGTTGTTCCTGCTGTACTTGTACTCTATACTGAGCCTGTCAATAAAACTTCTATCATTACACCTCTTCTGGCATCATTAGACAGAAACCTGTATCTTAAACTCCTTTGAAATTCATATATTTTTTTTCAAAAATAAACAATTTCAAAATTTATCATCAGAGGAATATTTAGAAAGTTCTAGACAAGTCTTGTAGGATTAACATTTTCTATAAACACTCTTTGTGTAAAGTCTGAGAATGATAAAACTCTCTAACTCATAGCTATAGTCTTTTATATTATAGTCAAAGAATAAAGGAAATGGTGTTATTAAAACAGGATAACACTAGGCACTAATTTGCGGTCATGAACTTCCACAAAGATTCAATTTTGAAATTCGGAAAAATAAATCGCATGTAAAAGAATTGTAGTGTACAATTCTCTGAAGCTACAATTGGTACAGCATCTTTGTACTTACATCTTTGTACTTACATCTTTGTACTTACATCTTTGCTAATCAATATTGTTTCTTTTTTCTATTTCTTGAAGTAACTAAATCGTATTAGCAGTACTCAAAGAATCTCTCCCAATTGGTAATTTGATGCTCCTCATCACTATCTGCTATTTTTTTGTTCAAAATTCTAAATTGATAGTATGTGTTTCCTTAACTACAATGACCCTGACCTTAAGCTCGGCAACCTCTGTCTGCAGAGTGAGGACTAGGGGTGAGGGTTCCTTGGCCTTGACCTCCATGACCTTGAGTTTAGAACGCAGACTATTGACTTCTTGTGTCATATCCTGTATCCGTGTCTCATAGTGTTCAGACATGTTTGGCACAAGTTTTTCTTTCTCTCTGAGGGCTGCTGTTGTGTCTTCCAGCTTATGATACAAAATTACATATATTCCAAACACATCAAGCTATGACTTTATGACAAGATACACATAATGAGAAAAAGAAACACGCACTATATTATGACAACGTATACTCAAATAACCGAATGTACGCACAAAATGTCATTACTTGGCCCAAATCACAAAAATCCCAGAGGGATCTTGTGCTAATCCATACAAGTTGGATCTTATCCCTACATTTCTTATTCTTTCCTCTAATTGGCAAATAAAGTCATATCTTGCCACACAAATACAATACCAAAATGTACCTTATCAATGAAAAGTATTGAATCTGAAGCATTTTAGGAGTTCATGTCTTCTGATCATGACACCAAATTGTATTTGAAGGAATTCTTTACACTTTAGTACATTTTTAAAGAAATCTTGCTATTTATATTTTATCATATGATAAATGTCAGGTGATAAAGTCAACCTCACTGTCATCCTCTGCCAATATAAGGATTTCAATGATAAAAGAGATAGTTAAAAACTGAAATTTATTTGTGGTCCAGTTATAGGTATATCAATAACCGAACTGCTGACCTGAAAATGCGTGTGTGAATAGCCTACCTGGTTTTCTAGCTGTTCTTTAGAGTTTCGCTCATCAGCGAGAAGACGCTGTAATTCTCTCAGCATGGAAGCATGATCATTCTGTTCCTTTTCTCTCTCAGCCTGCTGAGATCGGATCCGGTTTTTTAACTGTTTAGAAAAAATTGCAGTTTTTGACTAACTTTATACTTTACTTACGCAGTGGATTAAATTTATATGGCATGAAAATGAAGTGACATCTTTTTTCTTAAAATAGTAACGTCCATGAGTTACCTCTCTGAGGAGACTACTGGTTTATTATAATGTAAATAAAAATACTATCATAACTTATAGATATTGTCATCTGGGGGCCAACAGATACCACTTTGTTGCCACAGTAACAGATACACTAATAAAATCACTCTGTAGATACCACAGTAACAGATACACTAATAAAATCACTCTGTAGATACCACAGTAACAGATACACTAATAAAATCACTCTGTAGATACCACAGTAACAGATACACTAATAAAATCACTGTAGATACCACAGTAACAGATACACTAATAAAATCCCTGTGTAGATACCACAGTAACAGATACACTAATAAAATCACTGTAGATACCACAGTAACAGATACACTAATAAAATCACTCTGTAGATACCACAGTAACAGATACACTAATAAAATCACTCTGTAGATACCACAGTAACAGATACACTAATAAAATCACTCTGTAGATACCACAGTAACAGATACACTAATAAAATCACTGTAGATACCACAGTAACAGATACACTAATAAAATCACTGTAGATACCACAGTAACAGATACACTAATAAAATCACTGTAGATACCACAGTAACAGATACACTAATAAAATCACTCTGTAGATACCACAGTAACAGATACACTAATGAAATCACTGTAGATACCACAGTAACAGATACACTAATAAAATCACTCTGTAGATACCACAGTAACAGATACACTAATAAAATCACTGTAGATACCACAGTAACAGACACACTAATAAAATCACTGTAGATACCACAGTAACAGATACACTAATAAAATCACTCTGTAGATACCACAGTAACAGATACACTAATAAAATCACTCTGTAGATACCACAGTAACAGATACACTAATAAAATCACTCTGTAGATACCACAGTAACAGATACACTAATAAAATCACTGTAGATACCACAGTAACAGATACACTAATAAAATCACTCTGTAGATACCACAGTAACAGATACACTAATAAAATCACTGTAGATACCACAGTAACAGACACACTAATAAAATCACTGTAGATACCAAATCACTAATAAAATCACTGTAGATACCACAGTAACAGATACACTAATAAAATCACTGTAGATACCACAGTAACAGATACACTAATAAAATCACTCTGTAGATACCACAGTAACAGATACACTAATAAAATCACTGTAGATACCACAGTAACAGATACACTAATAAAATCACTGTAGATACCACAGTAACAGATACACTAATAAAATCACTGTAGATACCACAGTAACAGATACACTAATAAAATCACTGTAGATACCACAGTAACAGATACACTAATAAAATCACTGTAGATACCAATAAAGATACACTAATAAAATCACTGTAGATACCACAGTAACAGATACACTAATAAAATCACTGTAGATACCACAGTAACAGATACACTAATAAAATCACTCTGTAGATACCACAGTAACAGATACACTAATAAAATCACTGTAGATACCACAGTAACAGATACACTAATAAAATCACTCTGTAGATACCACAGTAACAGACACACTAATAAAATCACTGTAGATACCACAGTAACAGATACACTAATAAAATCACTGTAGATACCACAGTAACAGATACACTAATAAAATCACTGTAGATACCACAGTAACAGATACACTAATAAAATCACTGTAGATACCACAGTAACAGATACACTAATAAAATCACTGTAGATACCACAAAGTAACAGATACACTAATAATAAAAACACTCTGTAGATACCACAGTAACAGACACACTAATAAAATCACTGTAGATACCACAGTAACAGATACACTAATAAAATCACTGTAGATACCACAGTAACAGATACACTTATAAAATCACTGTAGATACCACAGTAACAGATACACTAATACAATCACTGTAGATACCACAGTAACAGATACACTAATAAAATCACTCTGTAGATACCACAGTAACAGATACACTAATAAAATCACTCTGTAGATACCACAGTAACAGATAAAATCACTGTAGATACCACAGTAAAATCACTAATAAAATCACTGTAGATACCACAGTAACAGATACACTAATAAAATCACTGTAGATACCACAGTAACAGATACACTAATAAAATCACAGATAACAGTAACAGATACACTAATAAAATCACTGTAGATACCACAGTAACAGATACACTAATAAAATCACTGTAGATACCACAGTAACAGATACACTAATAAAATCACTGTAGATACCACAGTAACAGATACACTAATAAAATCACTCTGTAGATACCACAGTAACAGATACACTAATAAAATCACTGTAGATACCACAGTAACAGATACACTAATAAAATCACTGTAGATACCACAGTAACAGATACACTAATAAAATCACTGTAGATACCACAGTAACAGATACACTAAATCACTACCACAGTAACAGATACACACTGTAGATACCACAGTAACAGATAGACTAATAAAATCACTGTAGATACCACAGTAACAGATACACTAATAAAATCACTGTAGATACCACAGTAACAGATACACTAATAAAATCACTGTAGATACCACAGTAACAGATACACTAATAAAATCCCTGTAGATACCACAGTAACAGATACACTAATAAAATCACTGTAGATACCACAGTAACAGATACACTAATAAAATCACTGTAGATACCACAGTAACAGATACACTAATAAAATCACTGTAGATACCACAGTAACAGATACACTAATAAAATACTGTAGATACCACAGTAACAGATACACTAATACCACAGTAACAGATACACTAATAAAATCACTGTAGATACCACAGTAACAGATACACTAATAAAATCACTGTAGATACCACAGTAACAGATACACTAATAAAATCACTGTAGATACCACAGTAACAGACACACTAATAAAATCACTGTAGATACCACAGTAACAGATACACTAATAAAAAAATACCACTGTAGATACCACAGTAACAGATACACTAATAAAATCACTGTAGATACCACAGTAACAGATACACTAATAAAATCACTGTAGATACCACAGTAACAGATACACTAATAAAATCACTGTAGATACCACAGTAACAGATACACTAATAAAATCACTGTAGATACCACAGTAACAGATACACTAATAAAAATACAGTAAAATCACTGTAGATACCACAGTAACAGAAACACTAATAAAATCACTGTAGATAACACAGTAACAGAGACAGTAATAAAATCCCTGTAGATACCACAGTAACAGATACACTAATAAAATCACTGTAGATACCACAGTAACAGATACACTAATAAAATCACTGTAGATACCACAGTAACAGATACACTAATAAAATCACTGTAGATACCACAGTAACAGATACACTAATAAAATCACTCTGTAGATACCACAGTAACAGATAGACTAATAAAATCACTGTAGATACCACAGTAACAGATACACTAATAAAATCACTCTGTAGATACCACAGTAACAGATACACTAATAAAATCACTGTAGATACCACAGTAACAGATACACTAATGAAATCACTGTAGATACCACAGTAACAGATACACTAATGAAATCACTGTAGATACCACAGTAACAGATACACTAATAAAATCACTGTAGATACCATAGTAACAGATACACTAATAAAATCACTGTAGATACCACAGTAACAGATACACTAATAAAATCCCTGTGTAGATACCACAGTAACAGATACACTAATAAAATCACTGTAGATACCACAGTAACAGACACACTAATAAAATCACTGTAGATACCACAGTAACAGATACACTAATAAAATCACTCTGTAGATACCACAGTAACAGATACACTAATAAAATCCCTGTGTAGATACCACAGTAACAGATACACTAATAAAATCACTGTAGATACCACAGTAACAGATACACTAATAAAATCACTGTAGATACCACAGTAACAGATACACTAATAAAATCCCTGTGTAGATACCACAGTAACAGATACACTAATAAAATCACTCTGCAGATACCACAGTAACAGATACACTAATAAAATCACTGCGTAGATACCACAGTAAAAGATACAATGTGTAATAAAATTACTACACAGCTCACCTCGTTTGATGCTTGTTCCAACGACTTCATTTCAACCTTGTGTTTATTCTGTTCTTCCACCAGTTTACTGGACAAATCTTCATTCTCTTGCTGTAAGAAAATAAATTAAAATCATTTCCTTAAATCTCACTTCCTTCTTGTGTCATGTTGGTTGAAAACACTGAAAATTAACTTTTCATATACATATGTTAAGTGATTTAGCAAAGTTCCTTGGAAGAAAGATGAAAATTTCTCATTCTTAGTTTCTTGTCAGAATGATTTGCTTTTCCTGGTAGAACTGTACTTATTCAAAATAGATACTGACTTAAATGAAATTAAAATGAAAGGAGTAACAGAGCAGAAGTTTTTATATTTAAGTGTTGTATAAATGGTGAACACTGCCTGATTTTCTACTTTTATCTTGTAGAGAATCACTTAATACAAAGGCAGACTCACTATGAGGCGTTTCTTGTCGCTGATGTAGCTGGCCTCTAGCTTTGACTTCTCCTGCGTGAGGGTAAAGAGGGAGGCAGTGAGGGTCTGGAGCTGATCATCATGCTCACTTGGGTTCTCAGGATCCACTGACTCTTTCTAAAAATCAAACAATTAATCTCTAGTACCAAACCTATTAGGAAACAAGCCCATGTCCAATAATATTTTAGCTCACCTATATCTACTGTTGTTCAGTACAACAGCAAACAACACATCCTTTATTAAGCCAATCCCATGTTTTTGAATTAGTATTAAGGTGTTAGCCCCAAGGGGCTTTTTACAGAAAATATGGCAATGATGTACATCTAGTGAAGTGAATTATATACAGTATGGATTTCCTCTTTCCAATCTCAGTGTGATCTCTTTAATTTATGTCACAGCTGTTGTTATGGCTGGAAGTATTTCCATTTGTAAATAAAACTGCAACAGCAAAATAAAACAAGAAAACATGTCTAAAACATGTATAGGCTTTTATCACAAAAATGTTGACAGAAAATCAAATAATTTGAACTTTGGCTTCCAGATTACCCCACTATTGCACGAATCGGTCAAATTAAACTTTAAGAAAATTAGGAAATTTGCATTTTCATAAGTAACATCAATGTTTAATCTATTAAGAACTTACAATCTCGCAAAAAAAAAACCCATGATCACAAATCCAAACACAGACCAGAACTCTATAAACAAATACTGGCATTAGGTGACAAAGTAATAAAACGTTATATAAAAACTCTGTTTGGAAGGATGAGAGATAACATCAACAGCCATGTCACGAAACCATGTCAATGCACATATGGTTGCTTTTTCTTTTCACTACAAATGACTATCAATATACATACTCTCTGATCAGCATGTGAGTATTTTCTCACCTGTAATGGGTCATCAAACTGCTTCCCCTCAGTATCGCTCTCTGCCGCCGAGGAATCCCCACCATCATCTGTGGTTGTTGGACGGTTTGGTTGCCTAGGTAACCTTTCCTCTTTGCTAGATTTTGACAAGACCTTAACACTAGCTTCTAATGCCTCCTTCTCCTTTATCAAGCCTTTGTAGGCCTGCACCATATCTATCAACATGAAAATCATTTTCAGTACAAATATCATTTCTATCTTACTAAATCTAATCCACAAAAACATGCATTCATACTATAATACTCACTGTCTGTCCTGTAGAATTGCACTAAATACTGGAAAAAATACATATATCTTTAAGGCTGTGAGATAAATCTATCTGTTATATGCAGTTTGGTTATGTCTTGACAAGCAAAGTCATTGCTTTCACATTGTCCTTCAATAGCAGTTTCCACATTAATTTCCAGCTGTATCCATTATTTTAATGTCTTATTATGTTTTCCACATTAATTTCCAGCTGTATCCATTATTTCAATGTCTTAATTTTTTTAAAAAAATTTCAGTGAAAAAAAACCTCAGGGCAATTTTTTTTATGGTATAAGCTGTGGGCTATATAGACATAATTTATGTCTCTTGAGAGTTCAGACCAGTTCTCTTACACTTACTTATAAACATAAATTTTACCTCTAAGTCTTTTTTCATATCGCTGTAGTTGTTCCTTTTGACTTTCTATCGTTTTGATTAAGTCTACTCGTGTTGATCGTTCCATGGCCATGTTTGAATCGTCTGTAAAGGAACAAAAATATCTGATAACCATCTGCATCACACTATCTAAAATTTAGATTTCACACTAAAAAGAAGGCTTTCCATGTGTCCAAATCCCTGCAGGTAGGGTGTGAGATTGTGCCTGTTACCCACATTTCAATATTACATGATTTGTAACAGACAACTAAATTTTCTCTACTTAACAGATTAATATAAAAAATCTTGATGTCTCTTTTGACACTGCCTCCTTTTTTGCATTTAGATGAGTGTTCATCCCATTGGAAAGGCTTTGAGTTCTCTTCCTTCGCCTGAGACATACCAGAGCTTGAATATTTTCAAATAGTAGTTACTTCTTCCTGCTTATAGGATCAGCATATGATGTAAAAAAGTTTGCCCACTTTCTGTATAATGTAACTGGGTGTCACATCTTGATGGATATTTTACTTAAGCATCTGTTACACACTATCACAAAAGGTTTACATGAATATATCACAGTCTCAAACAGACACATGCACTCAACTCATACACTGACCTTGCATACATGAAGAGATTATCCTTAAAAGACCATTACTGTTGATTTGACTTGAACTCTTCACCAACTGGCACTCTATATCCTCCACTACCTAAAGATGACAACTGACACCAACCTCTATATCCCTAATGATGACATGTGACGTCTTCAAATTTTCCACCTTTTTTGTAGAGAAAGTCCCTCGTCAATAATTCTTGTTAAATTTTCTACTAATGAAAGAGTGTGAGATGTGTTTGCCCATTCTTTTTTTTTCTTTAAATAAATTAGCTATATCTAGCATCGGCTATCTCACAAAAGAAAAGTGACACATCCCTGAGTTTCCACACACACAGATTCAAAGTGGAAGATTTATCAACATTGGCTGACTGATTGATTCATGAGATAATTGCAGATATCTTTTTATTCTGATGATGGATATTTTAGAGGTTTTAAATCGGATGATATTACTGTTTTAAAAAATGGTGATAATGATTCAGATATTGAAGAGAATGTTTCTGAATTTTAATGACAGTAAAAATTCTATTGATGATAACAGACATCAACAAGTCCTAGGTGTTTGCATCAGTATGGTCAAAAACTGCCCAGAAATATGGATGTAAAAACTGCTACACCACTAGATAACTTCTTAGGAACAATTACAGCAACAGGAACAACCTGAATCTGGGTTGCATTAATTATCAAGAAGCAGAGCACCAAACATCCATGTGAGATTACCTGGCACTAATCTCAGGTGAAAGTTATGTTTGCATGAAAATATCATTGACACTGTCATTGGGTGCCAGACATGCAACTTTCACATATGTGAAAAGTGTTTCAGGAAGAATCACACAGATGTGCTGATAGATTTTGCTAAAATATATATGTACTAAACATTTTGTTTACCTGATATGCAGACTCATATGCTGATTAAAGTTAATGAGTAACATTAAATCTTTATTGTGGACTTTTACAATTAAGTTGGTGTATAACAATCACCTCTTGGACATAAATACTTCTGATCTTTCAAAACTTATTACAGGGCCTAATCAGGGTTTAATCAAGGCTTATTTGTGGGGAAATAGTAAGGGCGTCATGTGTCGCCATTAGATGTGGAAGAGTTAAACAATATAAACCCCAAATAAGAGTAAGACTTTGAAAATTAGCATCATTAGTTTTTGCCTGAACAACTCCTGTAATGTAAGAGAGCTCTGGTTGGCTGATTTTTATTATCGGGCACTGAAAAGGCGACTGCGTTGGTCTTTTCTTCTTCTAAATGTCATCGAGCAAACACTGTTGTCTGAGCAAACAAATAATTTACTTAGACCGAAAACCAAACTTATATAACGATAATTATTCTCGGGCGACAGGACAATGCAGCTAATGATTAGATCTCAATAAATAACATTTAGGCTCAAAGCAAATTTTGATTACCTCGCGGGATGTTTATCAAAGTCTCATATCATGCTGTCGTGTTGACTGTCATTAGGTTACCACCGCAGTGGTGATCATCCGATCCATCCCGGAAGTGCAAGTTGGCAACAATGACAGGAACGATGTTAATTAATTTGTACTTTCTGTTTCATTAAGAAATAATAGAGATTTACTTTACTGGCAACTGATGATTCTATATCTGTAATGAAAAATATATGAGTGAAGAATATTATGAAACGTTTTTATTATCATCCTTATTCACTGCATACACAGTAAACAAGTTAACTTCCGGTAGAAACAACACGTGTGGGACCATCAAAAAGTGATGTTCACAGACAAACAGGATCATGTTTACTGATTTTTCATATAGTGGTCGCAAACTTTGAAGACATTCTATATTTCAGCAGAATATTTGTGGCTGTGTAAGTTTTGTGTGTATAAAAACGGAGAATTTGGTTATACTGTAACGTCCTCCTTTTGCTGAGTTCCATGTAAACCCTAATTGAAAGTTAGAAGTGAGAGAGTAACACACGTGTAGCCCAACTTCTCGTGACATGTAATTAAAACAGTCGTTTATAAGACATTAAGAACCTGTAAGTGGATATTGACATTGTGATCAACTTGACTTCCTTGCTTTAGTTTTGTTATCTGGAACTTCAGTATTTCGTAATCCTAATTGTGAACATCTACCAAAGATACTACTCCTATATCAATGTATGTATAAGAAGTCTGATTGCATTGGCATATCTGTCGTGTAGCACCTCGCCATGTTGAACTTCTAACTAAATGTTTTAGAGTACCAAAGATACTACAAAAACCATTCTGCATGTTGGTAATCGTCATATGTGTTAGACTTTACAGGGCAAAACAGCAAAACTTGATTAACCTTTGGACGTGATTTGTAACAAAAACCCTTCCATAAATTCATTGTCACATTCTGAGTCTTTTGTGTAAATAAAAATCATCTGATACCAATACAGACCCATCCAACTCTTGTTTTGTTTATTCAGGTCCTACACTTCGGCTAACAAAGATGGAGGACATTTTGAAGGATGAGAGGTTTTCTCACATCGTTAAAGACAAGCGGTTCCGACGAGTACCATTAAATGAACGCAGAGTGAAGATAGACAAAAGATTCAAAGGGATGTTTTCTGACAAGAAGTTTAAGATGAAGTACACTATAGACAAAAGGGGGCGTCCAATGAATTTGTCTGCAAATGAAGACCTTCATAAATTTTATGAGTTGGACAGTGAAGAGGGAGATAGTGATAATGATGAAGATGATGATGGTGATAAAACAAAAAAGAAATTGAAAAAGAAAACAAAAAAAGTTAAGGAAAGCAAAACTGTGAGAATCGGTAAGAAAACCAAAGGGAAAAGTATCAAGGAAGAAGATGAAGATGTGGAGGAAACTAATTCTATGTCAAGTGAGGAAGAAGAGAGTGGACCAGGTGATTGATTACTTCTGTGGTATCAGTGAATCTGGCACCTGTGACCAGTTTCCTCAACCTCTTAACTTTCATAACATTCTATATTTTCTAAAATTAATTCTTAAATTAACTTTTCTATTGATCCTGTTCAGATTAAATTGAATCTAAATTCTGTAGTTCTTAATTACTTCCACTCGAATAACTTTGAAATTTAGCTATAACAATAAAAAATTAATATAAAGCAAATTAATTGTCAACTGATGCCAAATTTGAATTGATTGGTTGAGTTAAGGATTGACACAGCATCTGAAGATGGAAAATATCTGCTGAAATTTGTGTTTTAGCTTTTTCACCCTCCATTTATAAAACAGTCAAATTCTCAGTAAACATTGGACTATCAATTTTTCATCCGGACAACTTTGAAAGATTTTCTTTCATAATGCAAAATAATTGTTCCTAAGGCATGTGCTAATGTTTTAAGTTTCTTTATAATATAGATGTGAAGGGGACAGACCTGGCCCGTGGGGAGGGAAATGTGGAGAGTTCCAGTGATGACGAGGGTGATGATGATGTAGAGGAGGATCTATTTAAATCTGCAGGCAAGTATTGGGCCAAGTTTCAAACTCAATGCTGCAGACAATAATCTTAAAATAAATAAACATCTTTATAAGTGTTTTTTTTAACTTAGAATTAAGGTTTGGGATAGAATGGTGTTTAAGATTCAAAATCACCTGTCTGCTAGTTTAGTTTTGTATGTTGTGGTCAATTCATAAAAGTCATTGTTAAATTTTGCTGTACATCTTTTCTGTAAGAGCACTGGTGCTGCAGTTGTCATTAATAATAAAGAGATCGGATCTCAATCTTATAGTTCTATATAATATATATGTGTGTGCCTGTTACTGATTTCTTTCAAAAATTGAAAAAACATAATTCAGCATATACTATTGTACATAAAGATAAAGCCAACTTTAGAGTCTAGAAGTATCTCATATTACTGGGCCTCTGAGTGAATTTGTAAATAGATACAATTTCATTTTCACTTCAGATGGTGAAGTTGACCATAAATGGAATGAGATGGATCAGGAAGCCCCAGAGGCCAGGGAGCTAGGACGGAGACTGGCCATCTGTAACTTGGATTGGGATAGGATAAAAGCCATGGATATCTTTGTCCTTCTCAGTTCATTTCTCCCCACAGGAGGTGTTCTTCACTCTGTAAAGGTATCCAGACATGGGCGTGTTATTTCAGGACTCGATGTGCAACTTAACTTTTATAGGGTACTGTGTATTGTAGGTCTAGGGTAATGGTGAGCCCAGTCTTTATTCTGTAAAGATATCTCTGCTGACATGGGTTTGTTTTGTAAGAGCTGGACAACTTATAAAGGGTGCTGTGTATTGTAGGGGAGAGTGATGAGCACAATCTATATTCTGCATCTCTGCTCACAATGTGTGTTTTGTCAGGGTTCAATGAGTAACTTATCTATAAAGGGTACTGTGTGTTGAAGAAGGTGGTGATGAGTCCAGTCTGTACTAAGGTATTACATCTCTGCTGAAATGGTTATGTTTAGTAAGGACTGGGTAACATATATAGGGTGTGATGCATTGTAGAGGTTAGTCATGGCCCTAACTTATACTTGGTGCATAAAGAATTGGGATGTATTGGAAAAGGATTGGAATATGTTTGAAAAGGATGGGGATATGTTGGAAGGGATGCTGAAGTAGCCTTATTCTCTCGCATATCTTTAAATGTTTAAATTGTCTGTGTTGTCAACATTTACGGATGAAAGATCAATAACTTCTTTTCCGGTTATAGTCTGATAACATCATAGTGACTGATCAATACAATTAGTAACATATCTTTAGTTGTTAGGACTGTACAAAAGACACAGAAGTAAATAGCACAATTTCACACAATTTAAATTAAATAAGTTACATTAGAGCTCAAGAATGAATTAGACTGCATCATACAGTTGTTTTGTCCTTCTAGGACTTGCCAGTGATGATAAGGTGCTAAGTTTTGAAACCTAGGAGGTGAATGAGGAAAATCCACAGTGATTAAAAAAATGGCAACATCTAGATTGGATGGTGCACTAGCTCCATAATTCAAAACTTTAAGTGATTTTCACTTGTCTGAAATTTCCAAAGAAAGTTAAGATGAGTATCTTCATATTATGAACCTCCTGGACTAAATGTCCACCTACAGTGTCTATCCTCTACTCTCTCGAAGATTGTACAAAACACACAGTATAATTTCCTTCTTTATAGATCCTGAAGAAAATAGTTTGGAAAACTGATTTTCAGTATTTCAGTCTCCGATCAGATTTATACAACAGAGTTTGGAATAATTTTGATGTTTATCTCTGGCTGAATATACTGGCAATAGTTTTGAGAATTAATTTTTGATATGGTCCTTTTGTCTTTTTATGTCTGTAAAGAGTTTTGGATATTAGATAATACCTGGTGTGTAAATCTTTATCTAGATATACCAATCAGAGTTCGGGACATAGATAATACTAATTGTGTTAATCTGTGTCTAGATATACCCATCAGAGTTTGGAAAAGCTAGGATGGCTGAGGAAGCAGTAAAGGGCCCCACAGGACTTGTTAAGTCCACTAAGATAGAGGGATACAGCAGTGATGAGGAAGTGACAGAGGATTCGGAAGGTAAAGTTAACTAAGTCTTCTGGTGGCTGGAGTATTACAATGAGGCGATTGTTTCAGTGATTGTAATGGGGAGATCTGTGTTGTGTGTGGAGGGCAGGGGTGTGTGTGTGTGTGTGGGGCTTAGGGAATTGCATCACTGTGTCAGTGGAAAGTGTGATGATAGTTTCAGTAAAGATCACAGCTGTGATGTTTTTTAGTCCGATCAGTATTACTCCACTCCATCCTGAGCAATCATGGTTGTATCCCTGGGCAAAGCACTTGATGCCAATTGCTCTGAATGGCATGTAATGGGCCTTCCACATTATGTTCCATGGAGATGCAACTGAGTACTTCAATGTATTGTGATTTCTCCTTGCAGTTCATACAGTGAGATATCCCTCAGACAGCAAACAAAAGTCAACTTTAGTATTAATGTTTTCACCAACATTTGATCAAACAGCAGATTCCATTCCTTTGTGGTCTGTTGGTATCAACAATTTATTGACAATTGTTTTTATGATTTTGTTTTTGGTTGTTCCTTAATTTTGTTTTTTGTTATCAGGAACAATATATCACCGTGAGAAACTCAGACAGTACCAGCTGACTCGACTTAAGTATTACTATGCTGTAGCCGAGTTTGATTCTATGGAAACGGCCAACTCCATCTATGGGGCGTGTGATGGGACAGAGTATGAAAGTAGTGCCACACGTTTAGATTTAAGGTAATGTAATTGTTGTAGGTTTTATTGAATCTAGCTTAAGTTTACAGTTATAATAGATAACATAGAACACTCAAAATACTGTCAGTTTAAATTATATATAAATGTGGTTAAGGTTTTTAACAAATCATGATATTGTTGTTTTTAATTGTTAACTCTTGTCTAAACACAGGTTCATTCCTGACGATATGACGTTTGATGAAAATGAGACAAAGTCAGTTTGTAACACCATGCCAACCTCCAATGTGTACAAGCCATCATTATTCTTCACATCAGCTCTCTGTCAGTCTAAGGTAAAACACAACTGTCAACATTTTTACAAGTTACACTACTGTCAACTCCGAAACATTTTACATTATGTTATCATTGTTGTGTTAGGTAAATTGGAATATAATCTGACTATAGTTGTCCCATGTAAAATTTAAGTAAGAAATCTTGATGCATCAAGCAGACATTTAAGATCTGGTATTTGTCATATGTTATAAACTTGTAATAGCAAATGTCTATTACAGACAAGTGTAACTGTGAATAGGTGTGTTCATTGTAGAAAAGTGTTGTAGACCAATGTGATAACTAGACATAAGTGATTACTAGACAGGTGTAGTCACTGTAGACAGGTGTAGTCACTATGAACAGGTGTAGTTACTTGACAGGTGTGATCATTGTAGACAGAAAGCATGACATTTACTATACTTCTGTGCACAGGTGGACCTTACCTGGGATGAGACTGACCATGACCGACTTAAAGTGACCATGAGAGCACCTTCCAAGATGGACACAGCAACAGAAGAAGACTTCAAAGCCTATCTGGCTTCGAGCTCTGACGAGGAGGCAAGTGAGTACCAAGTTGTTATGGTTGATATGCTAGCATGTAATTGTACCATGATTCTAATTGGCAGACAAAATTTTTAATTCTTTGACAATGTATTACAACAAAAAATACTTTCAGATCCTTATGGTAATATTTTGGGAGCATCCGATGACGAAAGCCATTCAGAGGAATCAGAAAATGAGGATAAACATATTGATAAATACAGAAAACTCCTACAAAGCATTCAGGATACAGAGAAGGAACAGGATAAAAAGGATGTGGAAATGGAGGTCACGTGGGAACCAGGTCAGAGGTCAACGAAGTGTTATTTAAAATATCACACCCAAAATTAGAATTTGGGTCAAATTCTCATTTCAAATATATGTATCAAAAAGTGTTAAAATGGTATAAAACCAAGTTAATGAAATAAACTAAATTGTGATATTGTATAATGTAAAAATGGTTTTTCAAATTACCTAAGATAAAGTTAAATGTTGTTTCCCCTATGTAGATTTGTCGCCCTTTGGTCACAATGAGTCACATCATTCATGGTATAGTATACCATACCTATACCTATTTATACTTTGTCACCAACTATTAACATGTTATGTGCAAATGGAATGGCTTTGTTTGCACTATTGACTTCTTCCTAAATGAAGCAAATGTCTGAAAACCTCTACAGAGCAAATAACATTTCACATTTTGCTTGAATGCAAAGATAACTTTTTACAAGGAAATACAAATTTTGTCTGGTACAGGTTTGAAGCAGGTAACAGAGAAAATTCTGAAAAAGAAGGAAGAGGAGAAGGACAGTACGACATGGGAAAAGTATCTGGTGAAGAAAAAGGAGAAAAAACAAAAGAAAAGAGAAGAGAAAAAGATGAAGGAAAAGGAAGAGAGTAAAATAAAAGGGAAAGCAAGCAAGGTAGATTATATTTACTTGTTTTTTAATAAGTGTACAAGGTGTATTGGACGTAATTTTTTAACAACAGAGTTTTATGTGTTGATTTAAAAATTTTATGCCCCCACCCTCTTCAAATAAAGTGGGAAGCAAAATATTGGGGAATATCTGACCTGAAGTGGATACAGAACAAAATTTAGATTTAAATGAAAGCAGGGATATCAGAATTCTAAATACTTAAATTCGTGTTTGTAGGCTGACAATGAGGCAGTTGATGATGATGGTGAGGTGGCATTCAGTGACGATGATCTACCAGATGATTTTGATATGTCAGGGTTTCAAGATGATCTAGGTGACTCTGGTGTTAAGAAAGGTTTGTATACAATGTGATAAAACGATGTGATGGGCATGTGTTGACTGCTGGCTGTGTTGTTATTACAGTGTTCATACATAATCTGTCTGACACAGGTATAAAGGAAGCAATGGAACATTTAAAAGTAACTCCAGTGACTGTATGTTACTGATCATATATTTTCATCTGTAAGAGGGACTGCAATAGTTCAATCAATTAGAGCATTGGCCAAATAACCTCAGGTGAAAATCTGAGGTGTGGTTCAGTGCTCCTTACATGTGGCAGTTTGTGTTTCTCAGGAAACTGAGAAATGGGCTGGTCTTTTCTGTCATGGTTCATTTAAGTAGCTACCAGCTACAGCAAGGCGATGCCACCTCAGAATGACCCTGGTTATTTTAGGGGTGATGAACCTAGCAAGGAAACTAAATGTACCTAATCTCAAAATACGATATTGTATTATAGATAAGTAAAGTGACAGGTGATGTCGGAGAATATACAGTGTGAGGAATATTTATCAGGGTCACTAATTACACTAAACATATAACTTAAACACAAACCTGGAATGTATGTGGACTTGTAAATATCCTTTTATCAGATGTGTTTTTATAATGCAGGAAAGAAGAAAAAGAAAAAGAAGATTAAAGAAAAATTGACTGAGGAGGAGAAAAAGGAAAAGGCTACACAGGAGGTATGTAGGCCTAGTTTATGTAGCTTTGCTTTGTCTGCTGTAAACAGGAAAATGGTGTCTGAAGTAGGGGAGAATGGATTTGTGTCTTTATCTAAGGGAAGTTGTCCCTTTTGGGAGGCAGAAGATGATCTGCTCCCTTTTTGGAGACAGAAGATGATCTGTTACTGAAAGGAAGCGAGAGGGCCCATTTCTTCTTTAGGGGAATAAAGAGTGGAGAGCTTATTTTTCATGGAAGATAAGGGTCCATATTTGCAAGGGAAAGTAGAAGAGCAAATCAATTTGTTTTATGGGTGATGAAGAGGACATATTTTATAAGAAAGTATAAGGGAGAGAAGACTAAGTTTCATCTTGGATGGGTAGACCAGTTACTGCTCAAAGGGTTTACAAGCCCAATTTCTTACTTCTCAGAGGAGGTCCAAATAGATTTCTTTATAAGAAAGTAGGATGCATATTTCTGTATCAAACTGGTGATAACAATCAATTCTCAATGATGACGAGAGTCTGATTTTTTACAGGATCAAAAGGCCAATCTCTTTATAGGAGAAATATAGTGACCATTTTTTAACAAGAGAGAATAATCCTTTTCTTTATTGGGGAAGCAAGGGGTCATTTCTTAAAGGGAGAGAAGAGTTCTTTTCTTTAGAAAAGAGATGATCTATTTCAATGGAAATGAAAGTGAATTTCTTCACGGCAGTGGAGGGTTTATTTCGTTAAAGGAGAGTATCCTTTTCTTTGTGAAAAGGAAAGACAGAATCCAGATTTCTTTCTTGTGGGGTAAAGATGACTAATTTCTTCAAAGTTCACAAGGGAAGGCAAAATGTAAGTTGTTCAAACAGTAAGAAAAATAACCAGTGCTGAATGTCAAGAGAACTGCAGATTGTGATGTTACACTTGTACATGATATGCTGCCCATCTTTCTTTCCAAGGCGGAACTTTCCCTATTAATGATGGATGAGAAAGAAGATGATCGACGCCATTTCAACCTGAAGGACCTTGTCGATGACAATACCTCAAAAAAGAAGAAAAAGAAGAAATTCAAGAAGAAGGATTTGTTAAAAAACAAAGGCAAATCTGAGGATGATTTTAAGGTATTGTATATTTAAGAGGACAAGGAGCTAGTTTGTTTATGTGTACAAATTGGTTCATCAGTAATTTTAGTGAAATTTGACAGGAATAAACTGTGATGGGTTTGCAGATATTGATACAGGCCTCAAAAGGCTTTGTCAAAATAAAATCTGGACATTTATCATATTTCAGAAAGGAACAACCCTAGCCCAGTTAATGATGAAAAAAAACTGATTTACCTTGATATCAAGTTTGACTTAAAGAGGATATGTTTTCAGTTTTGATGATGTTCTCACATGATATTGTTAGATGGTATCATGTTGGTGTCAAACAGACAAACTATTAGAGAAACTTACATTACATGGAATTGTATGATATGTATAAAACAGAGTGTTTAGAGCTAGGAGAAAGTGTGTTTACGGGTAATTGGTGTTCTATAGATACAATACTACTCTGTTACAGGTGGATGTGGCAGACAATCGTTTCACAGCGATGTACTCATCACATATGTATAACCTAGACCCCACTGCACCTGAGTACAAACGTACCAAGGGCATGGAGGCAATTGTCAGTGAGAAACTCAAACGCAGCAAACAGCAGCGAGATCAGAGCGTTGGTGGTAATAGGAAAAGGGACAGAGAGGGCGATGCCACAGAACCTCAGATCAAAGTGAAACGGGACTCGAATGTGAATGAACACCAGGGACAGGAAGCATCATTACAGTCTCTCATCAAATCAGTGAAAACAAAAACACAGAATTACAATATCAAATTAAAAACAAAAAGATGACAATATTCAGATTAAATACCATTTTTATAGGATTTTATTGAATATTTGTTGAACACAAGTAAATAAGAAGTAATTTTGTCAGTTGGTAGGTTCTGTATTAAGAGACATATCAATGATTATATTCCTGGTAATCATACACCAGAAGTATATTTTTTCTTAAGTTTTCACTTGTTGCAGCTGAAACAAAAAGGCAAAAATCTGCAAATACTGGCTTATTGAAAAACGAATCAGGTACACAGAACAACCCCAAGGCCTTTCCAATCACAAGGAGCACTGGATTCTGCCATATCTGGGTGTTGAGATGATCCGTTACAACTAAGTCAATTTGACCTTCTTTGACTCCACCAATCAGCCACTGGGGGTCAGCCAAGATAAATATGGGCACAACATCAAGCCATCATCCTATATTAGTAATTCTATCCAATTTTGATATATTTCCAATGAAAATTAAACAATTTATGCTGGAACAAAATTGATTGATTTTTACCCCTCCCCATGGTAAATGTGAGACCCTGCGGCCATGAAATCTACAATGTGGTAAAGCACCTGAAGATGTTTCCATCAATGAAGAGCATTTGATTCTATCATATCTGGCTGTTGACGGGAAGAGTTTTGAAATCTGAGTCAATATGACCACTTTTGGTCCATCCCCTCAGACCCCGGGGGGTGTGGGAGCCTTATAATTTCTTATTTTGGTTCATATTAGGCCAGGGAAAGTTTCTGCAAAATTTCATTGAAATGGGTTCAGGGGTATTTGAGAAGACCTAAAATCCTTATTTCGACTGTATAAAGACTGTAAGTAAATTTTCGCTTAAAAAGTCTTTATTTCTTTACGTTTTTCAATTTAAAAACTACACTATGGACTGCTGAAGAATTTAGGAAATTTTGAAAATTTGAAAGTATTCTCAGAAATGTATATGTCTGTTAGGTCATTGATGAATATCTCTGCTTCATAAAATGCAATCCAGTGCATTTAAATGAAAAAGATTTTCTTCTCTCCATACAGTATTTAGAAAATACCAACTCATAAATTAGGTTAAAGTCACACTAAATTGGAACTCTTCTTTACAGGAAGTACAATAGAGTACTAATACGACCGACCTTATGACAGAATCTTCAAAATAACTTAAGTGATAAAGTAAAACATGAAAACATGAAGTCTTGATTTTTTTACTTGAATTATTTCATCAGTGAGATCATTCACACATTGATATACGGTTTTCTGTACAAAGAAATAACAAACACAAATTCTTCATATCCATGTGTTCTTGGATGACCATTTCATTTTTTCCCGTAAATGCACTTTTTATTTGTTAGGATGTCCAGTGCACTTTGGCATGTTTTATCCACTGAATATCTGGCATGGCATCAGACTTTCTCAGGACTTTCTTGCCATCCATGAATGGTTGTAGAACATCTGGGATGTTTATACTACCATCCTGAAATGAAGATCACAAGGCTTCAAATAACCCCTTTCCCCTAAATTCAAGTCGGTTTAAAAGCCATTTATATTTCACCAGTGGAGCTTCATGATAGTGTTCCCAGAAGAAGTGAATGAAATGAGCCTCTATTGTAAATTTAAACTAATAGTAAATTCACAAGAAGGTTTTGAAAATATTTTGCAAATACTAACTATAAACAAAGTTCAATGAATATTTGTTGGAGCCAAATTGAAGATATTAGTCTATTTGAATTACAATTTTGAAAAAAGTACTTCTCTACAATATTTTCATACCTTATTTTGAAAATTTTCAAAAATTGCCATCACCATTCTCGGCACTGCACATGCTGTACCATTAACCTGTAATCATAGACATCAATTCAGTAAAGAAGTAACACTAAGTTTAACTTCAAGGAATATAACGGTGAATTATTTTCTCTCTTTCCAAAACTTCTGCATCAACAGACAAGGTAGAGTTCCTTAAAGAAAAAGTGTTGTCAGAATTCACCAAGATATACTGTAAACATACATAATATAACAGTCATTGTATTTAAGAACTTTTCATGCTGAAAGTATTGTGCTGAAAATGATTACACTGATAACAGTTATACTGCTTACTTTCACAGAACTTGTTACTGTACACAGTATGGTGTCCTGCATAAAGTGTTGGCTGTCAAAACAGTCAATGCATTAGCTACAAAGATAGTTTTAAAAAGTGCTGGGATAATTCATGGATCAGGATAGGAACAAATGCCATAGAAATGAGAAAATTCACCATACTCGTGTAAATTTAATTTGTATGCATTTGAAAGGGGGCTTCAATTGGGAAATTGTGATGGCTAACTGTCAAATGTAGCATACATACATTGAATAAGTTTAAGATGGAATAAACCACATGCATCGTTCTTTAGAAAATTGACATGTTACAGCAAATGTTTACGATCTTTATCTGTTGAGGTAAATTATGTCACTCCTAGCAAACAAACATGACTGTCGTGTTTTGGAATTGGTTATGAGTCATAAATATTAACATCACTATGATTTGAGTGCTTTCCCGAACAATCAGAGTGGTCAAACAAAGCTGGACATTTAGTATGGACTATGAGTGTTGAGACAATTACCGGTAGACATAATTTGGGGTGCAAACAAGAATCTGATAGAGGCACTTGGCTTACATAAAACAATACAGAGCAATACTTTTTTGTAACTTCAGTATAATTTCAATCTGTTGGGATAAGGTTGAAAATGCTTGTTTCAGTAAATGCTAAAATTTTGAATCTGATCATTGGCTTTTGGCATTATACTTTACACTTACAATGTAAAACTTGATTATTAAAAGTTATTACTACCCGGGCCTACCATCTGATCATTATGTTATACATGTACACAAATGTTTACTTCAGTTAATTGGTACAATACAGGAAAATAGTCATAACTTTACTTCAGTACATTGTACAATACAGGAAAAGAGTCATAACTTTACTTCAGTACATTGTACAATACAGGAAAATAGTCATAACTTTACTTCAGTACATTGTACAATACAGAACAAGAGTCATGAAAACTTTACTTCAGTACATTGTACAATACAGGAAAAGAGTCATAACTTTACTTCAGTACATTGTACAATACAGGAAAAGAGTCATGATAACTTTACTTCAGTACATTGTACAATACAGGAAAAGAGTCATAACTTTACTTCAGTACATTGTACAATACAGGAAAATAGTCATAACTTTACTTCAGTACATTGTACAATACAGGAAAATAGTCATAACTTTACTTCAGTACATTGTACAATACAGAACAAGAGTCATGATAACTTTACTTCAGTACATTGTACAATACAGGAAAAGAGTCATGATAACTTTACTTCAGTACATTGTACAATACAGGAAAATAGTCATAACTTTACTTCAGTACATTGTACAATACAGGAAAAGAGTCATAACTTTACTTCAGTACATTGTACAATACAGGAAAAGAGTCATAACTTTACTTCAGTACATTGTACAATACAGGAAAAGAGTCATGATAACTTTACTTCAGTACATTGTACAATACAGGAAAATAGTCATAACTTTACTTCAGTACATTGTACAATAGAGGAAAAGAGTCATAACTTTACTTCAGTACATTGTACAATACAGGAAAAGAGTCATAACTTTACTTCAGTACATTGTACAATACAGGAAAAGAGTCATGATAACTTTACTTCAGTACATTGTACAATACAGGAAAATAGTCATAACTTTACTTCAGTACATTGTACAATACAGGAAAAGAGTCATAACTTTACTTCAGTACATTGTACAATACAGGAAAAGAGTCATAACTTTACTTCAGTACATTGTACAATACAGGATTGTACAATACAGGAAAATACAAGAAAATAGTCATAACTTTACTTCAGTACATTGTACAATACAGGAAAATAGTCATAACTTTACTTCAGTACATTGTACAATACAGGAAAATAGTCATAACTTTACTTCAGTACATTGTACAATAGAGGAAAAGAGTCATAACTTTACTTCAGTACATTGTACAATACAGGAAAATAGTCATAACTTTACTTCAGTACATTGTACAATACAGGAAAAGAGTCATAACTTTACTTCAGTACATTGTACAATACAGGAAAAAGTCATAAGTCATAACTTTACTTCAGTACATTGTACAATACAGGAAAATAGTCATAACTTTACTTCAGTACATTGTACAATGTACAATAACTTTACTTCAGTACATTGTACAATACAGGAAAAGAGTCATAACTTTACTTCAGTACATTGTACAATACAGGAAAATAGTCATAACTTTACTTCAGTACATTGTACAATACAGGAAAATAGTCATAACTTTACTTCAGTACTTTACTTCAGTACATTGTACAATACAGGAAAATAGTCATAACTTTACTTCAGTACATTGTACAATACAGGAAAAGAGTCATAACTTTACTTCAGTACATTGTACAATACAGGAAAAGAGTCATAACTTTACTTCAGTACATTGTACAATACAGGAAAATAGTCATAACTTTACTTCAGTACATTGTACAATACAGGAAAATAGTCATAACTTTACTTCAGTACATTGTACAATACAGGAAAATAGTCATAACTTTACTTCAGTACATTGTACAATACAGGAAAAGAGTCATGATAAACTTCAGTACATTGTACAATACAGTAACTTTACTTCAGTACATTGTACAATACAGGAAAATAGTCATAACTTTACTTCAGTACATTGTACAATACAGGAAAAGAGTCATAACTTTACTTCAGTACATTGTACAATACAGGAAAAGAGTCATAACTTTACTTCAGTACATTGTACAATACAGGAAAATAGTCATAACTTTACTTCAGTACATTGTACAATACAGGAAAATAGTCATAACTTTACTTCAGTACATTGTACAATACAGGAAAAGAGTCATAACTTTACTTCATTGTACAGTCATAACTTTACAATACAGGAAAAGAGTCATAACTTTACTTCAGTACATTGTACAATACAGGAAAAGAGGAAAATAGTCATAACTTTACTTCAGTACATTGTACAATACAGGAAAATAGTCATAACTTTACTTCAGTACATTGTACAATACAGGAAAAGAGTCATAACTTTACTTCAGTACATTGTACAATACAGGAAAAGAGTCATAACTTTACTTCAGTACATTGTACAATACAGGAAAATAGTCATAACTTTACTTCAGTACATTGTACAATACAGGAAAATAGTCATAACTTTACTTCAGTACATTGTACAATACAGGAAAATAGTCATAACTTTACTTCAGTACATTGTACAATACAGGAAAATAGTCATAACTTTACTTCAGTACATTGTACAATACAGGAAAATAGTCATAACTTTACTTCAGTACATTGTACAATACAGGAAAAGAGTCATAACTTTACTTCAGTACATTGTACAATACAGGAAAAGAGTCATAACTTTACTTGTCATAACTTCATAACTTTACTTCAGTACATTGTACAATACAGGAAAATAGTCATAACTTTACTTCAGTACATTGTACAATACAGGAAAATAGTCATAACTTTACTTCAGTACATTGTACAATACAGGAAAAGAGTCATGATAACTTTACTTCAGTACATTGTACAATACAGGAAAATAGTCATAACTTTACTTCAGTACATTGTACAATACAGGAAAATAGTCATAACTTTACTTCAGTACATTGTACAATACAGGAAAATAGTCATAACTTTACTTCAGTACATTGTACAATACAGGAAAATAGTCATAACTTTACTTCAGTACATTGTACAATACAGGAAAAGAGTCATAACTTTACTTCAGTACATTGTACAATACAGGAAAATAGTCATAACTTTACTTCAGTACATTGTACAATACAGGAAAATAGTCATAACTTTACTTCAGTACATTGTACAATACAGGAAAATAGTCATAACTTTACTTCAGTACATTGTACAATACAGGAAAAGAGTCATAACTTTACTTCAGTACATTGTACAATACAGGAAAAGAGTCATAACTTTACTTCAGTACATTGTACAATACAGGAAAATAGTCATAACTTTACTTCAGTACATTGTACAATACAGGAACAATACAGGAAAAGAGTCATAACTTTACTTCAGTACATTGTACAATACAGGAAAAGAGTCATAACTTTACTTCAGTACATTGTACAATACAGGAAAATAGTCATAACTTTACTTCAGTACATTGTACAATACAGGAAAATAGTCATAACTTTACTTCAGTACATTGTACAATACAGGAAAATAGTCATAACTTTACTTCAGTACATTGTACAATACAGGAAAAGACATGGAAAAGTACAGTCATGTTATAACTTTACTTCAGTACATTGTACAATACAGGAAAATAGTCATAACTTTACTTCAGTACAATCATAAACATAGACAGCCACACTAGCAAACACATGACAGTCAAATAAACATACAGCCACACAGACAGACATCCTGACACACACACCCTAACATACACAGACAGACACATAGACTGACATACTCACAGACACACAGATAAATCACATACGGCCTTCCATGAAAAATGAAACGATAAACATGCGGACGACAGACAGATTGCGTTATCATCGGTTACAAGTCACAAATATTAAGATACACAAAAGAACGGTATACATAACAGATCCTAATCATAGACATATATGATATATGATAATTAGTCTAATTTTTTAACTACACAACAGATGCATAAGAGAATTAACAAGTGTTATATTACATGTTTTGGAACTTCTCAAATCACGTCACATCAACTCTTTTTTTTTCTCTCTTCATCACAGTGCTCGTTTTATACTTTTAATTGTAATCCTGTTCTTTACAAATGAGTTGTTTATTCAATATATATGTTTAAACATAGCTTGACATTTAACTTGTAATAAAAGAATGCCTCTTTCATTGATCTAGTATCTTATTAAGTATATTTTGTGCATATTCAATAGGCAATGTTTTCTTTTTATTGGACTTTACATATAAAATTAGATTGCTAACTATTACTGATTGAACTTTCTTCTGCATTTGATTGATACTATATTTAATACTATTATGTTTTATATCATTTCTACATTTCCACATTGTCCATTTGAATGCAATTAGCGCACTATTAAATAAAATAGAAAAGATACCTTTTTCCAGATAGCCCAGAGCTAATATTTCTGGAGTCAAAAGTTCATTCCTAAAACTTGGGAACTTCACAAATATTTTATTTCTGCATTGAATAAGGACAGATTTTACAACGTTACACGAGAAGAAAAGATGTAAAATATCCTCTAATTCTGTCTTACAAAAATGACATTTTCCGTCTGAATTACTAAATTTACTTATTTTTACTTCAGTATAAATGACGTTGTGTATACATTTCCATTGCAATTCCTTCATCTGTGTTGTCGTAAATGTTAATTCTATGTTATCCCAAACCAGTTCCCAGTCAAATTGTTTTTGAAAAGTTTGTTCCCATTTCAATTTGCAATTCGGTGTCAGATTTTTATTCAGTGTATTCATGATGATTTTAGGTTTTAATTTTCTCATAGTGAGCGGTTTCCCATCTCTTCCAATAATATTTAGGTTACTATCAATAATAGGGTATAAATAATCATTGTTCTCTCTGTTGTTCCCCTTTAACTCATCTAACCATACTATTGGAAAAGCATTTTTTAATCTCGATAACTCAGACATACAATTTCGCTTATCTGTTAACAAAGAGTATATATCACGGTCTTTTTTAAAATTCTTGTTTTGTACATCCCATATATCGTTGACTGTACAGATGCCACTTTTCGTAAATGAGGTAAAAAATAAAGGTTTTTCATTAAATTGAATAAAGTGGTTACCGAATAGCGGTTGTTTAAGAATCTCGTTTCTGTTTACATGTCTTAAATTTAATTTCTGATAAGTTGACCATGATTCTAACAGTTTTTTATAAAACAATGGAAAGTTGGATAGGTTCAACGTACGTATGTCCGATAGTTTACAAACAAAAAACTCGATTCTGTATTTGTCATCCAAAGACCTAAGCCAGTATTTGCCTATCGCGTTCCATGTATCAGTGTCACTTTTTAATATTTTGTACATAGATTTTACCTGTATACTAAAAACAAAATCTTTCACATCTATAATATTCATACCTCCTTCATGATAATGCTTTGATAATATTTTACGATTCACTAAGTCTTTTCTTCCGTTCCAAACAAAATTCCAAATTAACGAATTAATACTTTTAATATACTTTTCAGGTATACCTCGAGCTTCTGTCTCAAAGGCAATTAAGGAAAAGATAAGAGATCTTATAATTAGACTCTTGCCATATAAAGTTAAATGTCTACTTTTCCATACTTGTATACATGCTTTGATTTTCTTTATTTTCTCTTCCCATATCGCATTATTATCTATATTATAACCGTGATGTACACCTAATGTTTTTACATGTTTTTGTGTCCATGAGATATTGCTGTATACGGGTTCTTTATTCTTCCATCTACCTAAATATATTCCGGTAGTTTTTTCTAAATTAATTCTTGAACCAGACGCTGATTGATATACATTAAGCACTCTGAATGATTCTTCAATTGATTGTTCGTCAGATTCAAGGAGTTGCGTATCGTCTGCAAACATATTTATTGCAGTTTCTGTATTATCAGGTAATTTGATTCCTTTTATATTTGGGTTCGCTCTAATGGCGCATGCCAGTGGTTCCGCCTGAAGAATATACAAAATTGGTGCAGCCGGACAGCCTTGCCTCGCTGACCGCGATATAGGAAAATATTTACTTACAAATCCATTTGTTTTGATACATGTCTTAGCATTTTGTAAAAGCATGTTAATCCAGTTTCGAAATTTGGTTCCAATGTTAAATTTTTCCAGACACATATTCAACCATTCCCATTCAACCCTATCAAATGCTTTACTTTGATCTAAAAAAATTATCGCACCTTCTGTTTGTTTTAATTCCGTATATTCAATTATATCTTGTATAAGTCTGTTTGCGTCTGAAATATTTCGTCCAGGTACAAACCCCTTTTGGTCCGGATGAATAAGATAAGATAAATGTATTTTTAACCTATTTGCAAGAATTTTCGCGATAATTTTGTAGTCCACATTTAACAATGTCAATGGCCTCCAGTTTTGAATCAACTCTCTTTCACCTTTTTTGTAGAGTAAAGTAAGCATACCTTTGGTTTGAGACTCAGATAGTTTATTTTTCAGAAAAATTTCTTTTAAGACCAAAATAAATTCGAGTTTGATAATATACCAATATTTCTGATAAAATTCGGCTATAATTCCATCTTCTCCTGGTGACTTATTGTGTTTTAATTGATCGATACTTTTTACTATTTCCTCCTCTGTGATCTCTTTTTCTAAATCATCTCTTTGTTCATTGGACAATTTGTTTTGTACATGTTCTAAAAGTGATTCTGCAGCCCTTCTATCCATGCCTTCTGTCGAGAATAATTGTTTATAAAACTTTGTTTGCTCGTCTAAAATTCCATTTATGTCTGTTTTGTAATTTCCGTCATCTGATTTAATCCGATGCCAAACTTTTTCTTTTGCTCTAGTTTTCTCTAAGCTAAAAAAATATCTTGAAGAACTCTCATTGTCTTCGAAGTATTTGATTCTAGACCTTACTCTAAAACCATTCGTCTTTTGTTGATAATAATCTTTAATTTCATTTTTTAAAGAATTGACTATCTCTCCTGGAACATTTTCCATTTGATATAATTTTTCAAGCAATATTTCTTTCGATTTTATTTCACTTTCTCTTTTATTTAATATTTTAGAAACGTGGATAGTGATCTCTTTAATTTTTAATTTTTGTTATCTCCCACCAGTCAGTTAGATTATTAAACTTGTGTTTTTCTAATTTCCATACCAACCAGAATGTTTCAAACATATTTTTGAATAAATCTGAACTAATAGTGGAAGCATTCATTTTCCATGTTCCCGGTCCCATTTCGACATTACCTATTTCTATTTCGGAGTGTAATAAATTATGGTCGCTGTATAAACATGGTATTATCCTAGTACCAATTATGTCATTGCTTAGGAAGGGACTAACGAAAATGAAGTCAATTCGGGATTTGGAATTCCCTCTGCTAAATGTATGTCCCTTTTTTTCCGAATTTCTTATGCGCCATATATCTATCATTTTATGTTTTTCTAATAGCGTCTTAAATTGTCTTGTACCGGGGTCGTCCCCATTCGTACTTGGAATTCTATCATATTTGTTATTCAAAGTACAGTTGAAATCTCCCAAAAGTATGTTATTTGTTTCCGGTATATTATTATCCAAGTATTCAAAAAATATTTTTCTGTTTGCGCACGTATTAGGGGTATACACATTTGTTAAATGAAAGGAGCAATTGTCATCCGTTGTCACTTTGCATTGTAAAAATCTACCCTCGTTATCCCTTTTTGATTCCGTAATTTTTAAATTTGTTAAACTTTTAGATAACAACGCCACACCTCTCGAAGCAGAACTACCATTGTTCCAAATACTATCGTTACCTCCCATATCTTTCCATTCCTTACTCCATTTATTTTCGTCTGTATTCGTACAATGCGTCTCTTGTACGGCTATTATTTCAAATTTCCTTTTTATTAGCCATAGAAAGAATTCCTGACGTTTTGTTTTATCTCTAAGACCATTTATATTGATTGATACGATAGAAATGGATGGCATTAATACAAAATTAAGATATAATCAGTTAATCCTAAATATGTCTTAAGAATTCCGTCAAAACTTGCTCATCTTGTTGGCTTGACGTTCTGCTGACCGAGGGGTTGCTGTTGTTTTGTTTTTCAATTCAGTCCCAAAATGGACAATGCAAAACAGAGATCAGTGGAAAAGTAAGTATGAAATTTCAGATTGACCCATCCAGAGCTTTTTAATGAATAACAATATTCAAACCAATTCTCAGATATTTTGTCCATCTGATCATTTCTGAAAAAAGAAAATACTAAATATCTAGGTACCATGGGGAACCTACACATGAAATTTGAGAATGATCCATCTAGTCCATCTTCAGAAATAGTGTTTACAAAAACTGTTTAAAGACTGAACAGTGCATGCAAGCAACTATTGCAAACATTTACTAGTACAGTCAAACCTGTCTATAGAGGCCACTCAGGAGAACAGAATGAAGTGGCCTTTATACACAGGTGTCATTTACACAGAAATTCAATTGTTATAAATTGCATACATAGGGAGCCAAAAAGGTGACCTTTATAGACAGGTGGCATGTGTACAAAGGTGACCTTTCAGACAGGTTCGGCTGTACTTCACAGTAGAAGCTGACATATTGCTTCAATATCCTTAAAACTGATGGCATTGCTGAATCACCTGTGTGAAGGGAGTTCCTTTGAATAAAACACAACACCAATCCCTTTACACTAATTTCAGGTGGATCTACTTCCTTTCTATCAGTAGCATACAACCTGTGTCACAAAGACAAACACAAAAGTCAGTGTAAGTCACCCTGGAAGCAAATTACTGACAAAAGTGACACTCACCTCGCCCCAAAAGTCCATAGCTGGCATCCAAGCTTCAATATCAAACTTTCTGTATGCAGGGGCACCAAGTTCATGGGTTGGCATTTCCAAAATTCTGATGATATAAAACTAAGGTGTCATAATCAATGGCGAAATAGTCCTGATAGATCTTGACAACTGAGAATAAAGCAGACAGAATGTTCCCTATCATTTCTTATAAAAAAGACTGTGAAATCACCTCAACTCTGATGGCTATGGAGATTAACAAGATGTCCACAAATGGGTTCTTGAGAGTAAATATATTTCAAGTTACCTAAAATGTAGACCAAGTTCTAGAAACATTTCTTTTTCTATGTCAAGATACTCCAGCAGAAGGTTGTCAGCCTCTGTTCCAGAGTCTGTCACACCAAACATCTCCACCTAGTATAAACAAAAAAACATTAATACAGACTGATGCAAAAGCACTTTATACAACATACACATAATTTTTTAAACCTTAAATATCCTCCCTTCCCCCTCAATGGTTTATTAAAATAAGATATGTTTGAGAAACACTGTGTTCTTGAGGATAAGCCATTCATGAAGACTAAGCAAACATGAGGGCTAAGAAATTCAAAAGAGTGTAAGATACCAGTTGGCAATGAGATAATGTCAGCAAAACGTAAATATAGCACATCTTTAAGGCTGCCAAATGAAGTGTGGTACTTGTAGTTTTTATCATGTTCTGTGCTGTTAGTTTCATAATTTAAGTCCTGTACCTCTGGCAAATATTGATAGATTTTGACAGATATTGAACTCATGTGAGATCTAATTAATATAATGTAATACAAACAAAATTTGGTTCAAGTCTGGCATGAAAGTTATTAGATGATAACAAAGATATTTTCTAATTCTTTAAAGTCTATGGAGGTAATGCAAGATCTTAACGATATAAAACATTAAACCAAATTTGGTTCAAATCTTACTGTAAAACTTAATAAACTTTTTTCACAATAGCGAAGATGTGATCTATGTCTTTTCAAAGTCATGAAATTTTGGCAAATTTGATAGATTTTGAACAATAGCAAACCAATCTAAAATCTTATTGATATAAGATATTGAACGAAAACAAAAAAATTGTCTACTTTTAGGATTTCAAAGTCCCATAACTCTGACAAATTGTTGACATATTTTGATGAAATTGTGAACAGGTGTACACAGTAGATGACCTACAGTGACTGATCATTTCACCTTTGTGAACAGGTGTACATGGTAGAACAGTGACACACCATCTCACCTTTATGTAGTGATGTACACAGTAGAACAGTGACACACAATCTCACATTTATGTAGTGATGTACACTGTAGAACAGTGACACACCATCTCACCTTTATGAACTGATGTACACAGTAGAATAGTGACACACCATCTCACATTTATGTAGTGATGTACACAGTAGAACAGTGACACAACCATCTCAGCTTTATGTAGTGATGTACACAGTAGAACAGTGTCACACCATCTCACCTTTGTGAACTGGTGTACATGGTAGAACAGTGACACACCATCTCAGCTTTGAGAACTGATGTACACTGTAGAACAGTGACACACCATCTCACCTTTGTGAACTGGTGTACACAGTAGAACAGTGACACAACCATCTCACATTTATGTAGTGATGTACAGAGTAGAACAGTGACACACAATCTCACATTTATGTAGTGATGTACATGGTAGAACAGTGTCACACCATCTCACCTTTGTGAACTGGTGTACATGGTAGAACAGTGACACACCATCTCACCTTTGTGAACTGATGTACACAGTAGAACAGTGACACACCATCTCACCTTTGTGAACTGGTGTACACAGTAGAACAGTGACACACAATCTCACCTTTATGAACTGGTGTACACAGTAGAACAGTGACACACCATCTCACCTTTGTGAACTGGTGTACACAGTAGTACAGTTACAGACAATCTCACCTTTGTGAACTGATGTACACGGTAGAACAGTGACAAACCATCTCACCTTTGTGAACTGATGTACACGGTAGATGCCTTTTTTCTCCTCCCTGCCAGCTGCCTCTGCTCTATAGCACCTGCTCACTGAACACAGCCTGTAAATCAACATGCTTTCTCAAACCGACATAATATTATGTTGTACACATTCTTCAAAATGTAAGCTGGTTAAGGAACAAATGAGAATTAGGGTGTTTTCCTATCTATGTTATATACATGTGGCCTATGACCTCCTTGTTGATACAACGTTAATCCTTTGGGGTAAAATGTGAACTAAATCAGTTTGGAGACAGGTTTTCCTCCTATAAAAAACTCATTTAGAACAGGACTGGATGGGACTGAATGAACAAATCTAGACATTGGTAACACTTATATATATACCTTCTCCTCACTCTACTGCCACCCATCTAAAAATGGTGGGGTCTTAAAAAATGTTCAACAAAAAGATACCAATTTGTGACATATACCTTCTGGGAAGTTCTTTCTTGTCCAAAACGCCATTAAGAAAAAAAGCTGCAAAAAAAAAAGAAGATTTTTCGAATTTATGAAATTTATGAATTAATCCTCCAATTATGAATTATCTACACCAATATAATATGATAGTAAACAACTTCCTCAGTAAGTTAAGTCAATGTTATTTTCTGGTTGGATATGATGTTTTCTGACAAAGTTAGTAACTGGCAATTTCTCCAATACATACAGGGTTTTCCTTATCTCCATCTATAACAATGACACAAAATAACTACAGCTTTTCTGCACCCCCTCTCCCACCGACCCCCTCCCATCCAGATTTTACAAAATGTTTGTAGTATGTGTATAAAGTAAAGGAAGGATGTATTTTCCAAGAAACTAAAAACATTTCATCACCATTTTACCTGCAAGAGGCATTTCTGCTGTGCCTATTAAACACTGTTCTCCATGGAACTTTTTATCCAGTGTATAGACCTGAGTTACCTCCCCTGTTGTGTGGAAACCACATGCTTCCTGGAATAAAGTACAAAATATCATTTTAGAGAAATATGATGTAAGGTTTATCTTCCTGAAATATCATCAAACCATGTAATCAAATGAGCACATACTTATTAAAAAATATTAAAGGTTTGTCTCCACCCCTCTGCTATATATCATTGAAGAAAATCCAGGTCTCAGATCTTCACCATCTGAGCTATTTTGGTCCCCTTTACACCATTAAGTGCTAACTTACAGGAACATTTAAAGGAGTTCTTGTGAAAGATTTAAATGAAGGAAATAACATATAAGGTTTTAATTGCAGTACTTAGACACTAGTCAAGGCAGATCTAGAATATTCAGAGGATTAAAATAGATAAAAAAAAAAACTACAAAATTAATTGAATATATCTGACTTACTATAACAGCCGGATTGATAATTTCGGGAACGGTTACAAGTTCAAATCCTCTGGCAATCAGCTTGGTTAGTGAAAATCGAATCAGGGCATGTTCTAAGTCAGCTAATTCAGCCGTGAAGTAATATGATCGTCCTCCAGTGGTGATGCTGAGATTGCTGAAAACAAATTGACTCATTTAAAAACAAACATCTTGAAGAGGATTCCAGACATATTTACCAGAGTGCTGATATTATTTTTCTATTTCATCTTTAATTCAATTTTTTTTCAACTTTCAAAATTTTATGAATAATATTTCACAAAAGAAGTAGTTTTATTACATATACATATCACATCCATTTGTGAAATTTTTGCATTGTACAACGTTTATAGGGATGTGTATACAAAAATAACATATAAGCAGAGAGAAGGATGCCTGGAGAATATATTGACAATGAAAGCCAGTTAAAGGAGGGCACTTTTAATTAAAACATATTTAATGGTTTTCAGCATCACTTACTTTGACCGCAGCAAATTAAGGTCTTCACCCAACTTTGACATCTTTTGTGGTTTAAAGTCATTAAATTCTGAAAAGTAATCAAATTTGACTTATCAACATCTCTGAAGATCAGTTTATCATATCAAACACACTGACATGTAATCAATTATCCTCTTACAGAATTTAACTCAAAAAAGAAGAACACATACTACCAGCTGAGACGATGTCAACTCTGCTTGAACTTATCTTAAAGTTTCATTTTTTCTAATGATCAGACTTCAGGATTCTGGAAAGGTCAGTTTGATGTTAACAACAGCTGGGTATTATGTTTGTATAATTTGTATCTGGAATTTATAGACTTAAGCATCTGAGTACAGTATACTGTATAGGTGTTAATATCTGCAAGGGAGTTAATTTTGCTATATATACAGTCATTTATTACAGATAGTGTGAAAATTGTCAGCAAATATTTTTTAAAAGAGAATCAAAATCACTCAAAAATTGATAGTATACAAGTATTTTCATACATTATCGTATGTCTGTATCCACAGATTCCACACAGATAGACATCGAAGTAATCCACTCGTTAAATTAACATCACAAAATTTAAACATGCCCCAAATTGGATAACCCTGAAATATCAGCCTCGTGAAAATTAAGATATTGGGCAACACAAACCTGACTTTTCCCCAAATGTACCGACCAATCTTGCGTTTGATTCATCACCTATTGGCTGAAACAAAATATGGATTATGCACCTATAATATATAGATAGTAAAACTTTGATCCGTCTGAAATAGATTTTTTAATCAACTTTGATCACTATTATCTTCTTCTTGTGGTACAATCCACATTACATATTTACATAATCAATAACACAACATGGCGAGCAAAAGTTACTGAGCTTTTTGTATCTATCCAATATGTAGGTCACAAAATATTGTCTGAAACCCACTTTTGATTGTACACTTGATAAGTATGTGAAGGAGTGTAATGAGTACCTACTGAATGTGGACTGCTTCTGTTTGGGATTTCTGTGGCTGCTTTTAACAGTTCCAATCTCTAAGCAAAGAAAGCAATATTTAAAAAAAAACCCAACAAATAGTAATAGATTCAGGAAAACTTAGTGACAATGTATCTAAACTAGAAATCATTGACCACTTGCAGGGTACTATTTTTCTTTCACATTTTTTTCAAAATTTATGATAATAAAATAATGTAAGTGTATTTAAAAACAACAAGAAATTCCAACATGTAAAACCTAATCATAATCCAAACTTAAACTCAATCAAACTAGGGCAAAATATGAACAAAGGAAAGATTTACAGGGAGACTCCTGAAAAAGGACAAAAAATAAGACCAGGTGCTCTAGAAGAGTAAGCATCTTTTACTTCATCGATGACACCCACCATGTGAAGCTCATTAAAACCAAGTCAGTAATGTCACATGCTCAATTGAGAACAATGTATAAAGCAATGAAAGCTACAGGAAAACTAGCGAGCATCAAACACATCCAGCTCACATCACACAAAGAAATAGAATATTTCCCAATGAGATCACTATGACAACTGTAGAACTTTTCCATAATTTTCATCAACAAGTAAGTTTATATATCATTGCAAGTAAACAGAAAAGAAATCTTGTATATCTTTTAATATTGTTACCCAGTAGATCACATTTATATCCTTACCGTTTTTTCACTTCCTGTTGAATCAAACTCAGATTTTAAATCTAACTGAAACAGATCAACAAAAAACCTATATTATCTGCATCTGTTGGTACTTTAATCTTAAATATCTAAACATTTGACCTGTTCTGCTGTAAAAGGCAATAATTTATTTATTTCATAAGAGATGAGGCAATGAAGATCAACTAAAGAACAGATATATTATGAAAGATATCTGATAAGTTTTGTCAGACATAAATTCCATGCATAAAGGGTATAAATGACCCAGACAAAAAATATAGTTCTGTAGACCAATATTATGCAGTAATGCATTAATTTTGTTACAACAAGGTTGGTTTATGATTTCTACAATTTTTTTTCTTCTAATAAATCAGTTTATCCTTTAACTCACCACACAACCGATATCTCCTACTCCCTTTCTGTTTTCTATATTAGCAGCAATGTTCTCTCTGTTTTCCTCACAAATATATTCCCAGTCAATCTCAGGTTCAGGCATTTTTAATGGCTGTTCCCAAACATCATGAGTGTTGTCTCCTGACATATCATGTACTTCATCATTCTTTGTGCTCCAAACATTCTGTTCCAATGCACTGAAATGTCTCACACATTTGTGTCGAGACAAAAGTCTAGATGTTAATATCACTGACTGCTGGTTAGTACATTGCGCAAATAGAGGTATCCTCAGTGTTGAAAATGTTTGTGTTGTTAATGTTTTACTGCATATCTGTGTTTTCTGACCTGGAATATTGTGACAGCAGGGTAGCTTTCTGTAACACACTGAAGCTTGGGTCCTCCTCCAGATATTAAGTGCTCTTGACATAATGCTGCTTGATTTCTTTGTATGTGATCTTTATCTGCATGTAAGTATTTTCTGTGGCTTCGTATCTAACAGCTTCTGTATACTTCTTCAGACTGAAATGACATTAAAAGTATTTAATATTAGGGAAACAGAATACGATTAGAAAAGACAAACTTCAAACTGTTCAGCTTAGCTAAAGACTGTAAATACAATTTCATAACATAGATAGTTATGAATTTATAAAATTCTAAGAAAGACAGATGTCAATTTAAGTAATAAAAAATTAACTGAATTACCTTGGTACTAGTCAACTTTAGGCATCTCAAACCTACACATGAAATTTGAGAAAGACCCATTGAGTATGTCTCAAGAAAGAGCAATAACGAACTTTCCTAGGCAAAATCCAAGATGGCCACCTGTCAGCCATTTTGTTTCTTTGATCAGACCTAAAATCAAACGAGCATAACTAAGGACCAAGGGAACCCGTATATGAAATTTGAGAGGGATCCATTGAGTTCTTCTCAAGAAATAGTGATAACACACTTCATTGAAAAAATCCAACATGATGTTACTGTTACTATTGAACATTATTACCTCCCCTACTGTTACTATTGGAAGTTAATACCTACCCTACTGTTACAACTGAATAGACCATCATCTTGGTACCAAGTCATCAAAACAATTGCCTGAAGATGTTAGCAAACTATCCAGGAGAACCTAGTGGTAGAGGAATAGGGCCTATAGGTCCAATGTTTTGTAAACAACTAGACAAATGCTAACAACAAAAAGAACTGGCAAAATCATCACACATGACACCCAGAGGGTGTGTATTGTTCACAAGGAGAATAGCAAAATAATCATCATTAATGTTCTGACTTTCAATTAAGACAGTAATTGTGTAAGATAAAAATGTAAAATTAGAATTGATTTATAATGATGTCCTTCATCATATCAACTCTGGTTTTCCAGAAAAGGTGTCAGATTCTTTTACAAATTTGACTTCACTGATCCTAACATGGGGTCAAGGTTTTTTGTCTGAGGAAACTAAGGTAAAATTTTCGGAACCTGGGTCTTCTGAATTTGAGCTGAAAATTTTTAACATTGTGTATCATATTTGACCCTGGTGGTCTAGAAAGAATGACAATATAATTTGATAGAATAAGTTTTGACTATCTGCTGGCAAAAATCTTAAAACCTTGTGTCTATAGAATTTTGATTCGTATTCAACTCATTGACCTTTCACAATTAAGTAAATAAAAAAAAAATTGTAAACTGTTTAGTGAATTAAATGGGACACTTTTTGAAAAACAGTGGGAGGCCCTGAAAAGGGCCTTATTTTTCTGTTGATGCACAAGGACACAGGAACTGGACCAGTGACCCTGAAAACAAATTATGGCCATTTTAATTAATAAAAGGAAACTTATAACATTTCATCCCATTTATGCTTTCTAGCCAAATACTAGCTACCCAAGTTCTTTCAAAACATGAGATGATGCTACAGGATTTCACACATGTTTGACCCCTGTGACCTTGGAAATAGGTCAAGGTCATTTGTATGAGGAACTTTCAGAGCACTGCACCCCAGGGATGTATGGACTAATTTGTCACCATTCTGAAAGTCTAATGAATTTTGATAAGACTTCCAAATGTTTAGTAACATTTGACCACTGTAGCCAAGAAAATAGGTCAAGTTACTTTGTAATGTTCAACTTTACAGCACTCCATCCTTGATACTTGTTGGTCAAATACCACAGCACTCTAACTTGGTAGGTATACTGTTGGCCAAATACCAGAACACAGCTGATTACATGTGAGGGTTCTCAAGCAGGGGATGGTTAAATTAAAAAGCTGGCGGACGAACGGATGTCTCAACAAACAAAAAGCTCACATGATACTACTTTCAGTCAAGGCGAGTAAAAAATGATAGACCAAACACGTGCAGTACACTGTAGCTATTTGTTAGTTTCTGTTTGTGTTGTGAAAAGTGCATGTGCGTACGAATGCGGTACATCGCATAATTGGCTTACCCATCGACGATCGCATTGACTTATATGAGATGCAAGTGAAACTACTAAAATCCACAGTCCTACATTTTTCATTTTACTTCCAGCGGTCCTCGTCCATGAACTTTTCCATACAAGGGAGGTAATAACGTAAACAAACCCTACTTCCGGTTATTTAGACGTAAACAGTTTATGTTGATCAGATGAGTGACTAATGTATGCTGACGCCAGTGGATGGTAAGCTGTCATTATGTGTCCTTATTTTTCCGTGATGATCTTTTTGATTCCATGTGTATTATCATATACAATTACATATTATATTTAATGGGGAAGCTGAGACGGGATAATGCAGCTTGTTGACTGACAATATTTCCATCTGTTCCTCTGAGACTGGTCACCAGACAACCAGCTTAACGAGTGACCGTCGCACGTGTAGACATTCACAAGAAACTGCACAGGTCAAGCGAGACTATCTTTGTCTCAGTATACAACTTACCTCTTTTTTAGGGATCCAATGACTGTAGATTTCTCAAAATCACACATAACGCTAAATGATAATATTAATTATATATATATGGAAAAAAAAAAAAAAAAAAATGAAGTGGTTCTTCCAAAACAAAACTCTGACAATGAAATAGCTGACTAATAAACACTAAATTTTGGTTTGTTGATTCCATCATATATATGATTTTTGAATTGGAGGGATTTGCTTTCAATGCAATTACATTACTGCAAATGTCGCAACTCAGACATTTATAATTTTTGTTTATCTTTACTTATGTTTTGTCTACCTGGCAGCTCAGAAAAAAAAAAAAAAAATTGTGTAGCTAGTTTTCATTCTGTTGACTGGTTCTTACTTAAAGTCATATTTCATTGGATGATTCTTCCATAGTTTGTCTGATCTGTTTCAAATTGATCGATGTTTGTAGGTTTTCCTATATATAGGCCACAAATTATAGGTTAGATGTTCAATTTTCCAAAACGACAATACACAAATCTGTATCAATTTTGATTTTATGTTTTTTCAGGATGAATGGCCTCCCCACCTAATATCCAGCCTCTGAACCTGGAGGCCGCAGCATCCTTGGTACAAAATGCAGGTCAGATCCAGGTTCAGCTGCCCTCAGCAGGTCAGCATCCTCCCTTAGCCACTGCTGTATCCACACCATCACCGACTGCCCTGTCTGTCACCAGTCCTGAAGGCATTGACTGCTATGGCAATGAAAGGCAAGCTCTGACAGACCAGGGAAAATTCTTCAACAATTCCTTACTGAGTGATGTTATCCTTGTCGTTGGAGGAAACCGCTATTATGCGCACAAGTTGATTCTAGTCCGATCCAGTGATGTGTTTGAGAGAATGCTCAGCAACCAATGGAAGGATTCTCAAGAAAAAGTGTGTATTATGTCCTGAAGTAATGAAAACTGTTGCAATATGTACTGTGAACTAGCGAGTGTGTCATTTTGTTCTGGGTACAATTGCCATTATAAATTTGGTACAGTGTAATTATAAATATGGTACATTGTCATCAAAAATTTAGTACATTGTCATCATAAATTTGGTACAGTGTCATTATAAATTTGGTAAATTGTCATTATAAATTTGGTACAGTGTCATCATAAATTTAGTATTTTTCATCATGAATTGAGTACTAATTATAGCATCATATCAGACAAATTGAGTACTGTTTACTTTTACTTGAGTTGGTAATGAATTTTAAACAAGTACTGTCATCATGTACAGTAAAAACCTGTCTTTCAGTTCACATCTGTATCAAGGCTTCTTGTCTATGAAGGTCACTTGTTTTGGTTCCTGACATAATACAATTTACAATGCTTGAACCTCTATATAAAGGCCAACTCTGTATACCAGTCAGTTGTTTTGATCTGGATATGATACAAATCAAAGTAATTGAGGCTCTCTATAGAGGTCACCTGTCTATAAAGGCCACTTTTACCTGCTCCCTTGAGTGGCCGTTATAAACAGGTTTGAACATGTGTATTCAGCAGTAAGACCAATGGGCTACCAGTACTTTTCGACTCAAAGTAGATGGGTTTGTTACAAAAGTAATGGGTGGGCTTATTATAAGACATGGGCATTTACAAATATGAACAACTTACATAAAGTCATCCTAAATCATAGTACAATTAAGTCAGATAATGTAATCAGTTTTTAATCATTGATGATTTATAAACTGGTCATTAATGATTGTTTAATCAGTAATTAACGATTTGCTAATTGATTATGATTGATTTAGTAATTAGTAATTAATGAGTAAGTACATGTGATTGGTTATTAATGAATTAGTATAATTTAATTGATATCATAAGTTTTATTTTCTCTCTCTACAGGAGCTAGAACTAGTGGAAGACAGTATATGTGTGAGTATGTTTCCTCGATTCCTTACTTTCCTGTACAGCTGTCACATTCGGCTAAACATGGAAAGCACACTGCCTGTGTTAGTCCTCGCTGACAAGTACAATGTGAAAGATCTACAGGAAGTGTGTATCAACTTTGCATGTTCCTGTATTATACCAAAACTACAGCTTAAGGATGTGTTTCATGTTTGGTTTCAATATGCCACTAAGTGCTACCATCAAAGACTTATCAGCTCCTGTGTGACTGCACTTTCAGAAAAAATGGACGATATCATCGCCTCTGTCGAGTGGGAGAGAGAATGGGGTCACCTTGACAAAGAACAGCTCATTGAATTCTTGAAAAGTTCATCTCTTTCTATCAAAGATGAATTTGAGTTGTGGAATGCCACCTTGAAATGGCTCCATTCTTCGCAGCATCCAAAACGTCTCTCTCAGTGTCTAAAAATAGTTGTGGAATACATCAGATTCCCTATGATGACACCAGAACAGCTGACCGAAATAGAAAGCTCAGAGATTGTACTTAAAAATAAGGAACTGTTTCAAAAACATTTCATGACTGCATATAAATACCATGCTCTGCCATTAACACAAAGGTCGCTAGTTAAAGAGTTCCATGGACCCACTTTCCTGCTGCGTAACTACACAGATCTGAGATGGGACAAGCGCTTTGTTGTGCCCATGTTCTCAGCCATACCTAGAGGGGCAGAAGTGAGTTTCCGCTTCACGACACGATCATCCACTTTCCCACCTCAGACATGGGAATGGGAACTCAAGGTGTACCCTAAAGGGTACTCATCTACTGCTGAAGACTTCCGCTGTGTGATCTACTCAAACCTCATCCTTGACCAGCCCCGACCTGTTGAGTACCTTCTGTCTGTTGTGAGTAGGTCAGAGCTTATACATACAGTATCAGGGAAGAAAAATTTCTCAAAAACAAGGTACACAGCGGATACTGAAATGGACAAGAAAATAACTGTAGCAGAGCTCACTGAGTTGAACTCTCCTCTGTTGGTTGATAACACACTGGTTTTACAGATAACTCTAAAGCCTGTGGAGTGATCATAGCAACCAACTCTTGGAGGGCCCCAAATATACTGTCCACCTCCAAAGGATCTCAAAGTCAGAAGTCATCAATGGGCAGAAAAATGGATGAACTATTATAGAAGTCATCAATGTGAGGGAAAATGAGTGCAATATTACAACAGTCATCAATGTGAGGAAAAATGAGTGCACTTTTACAGCAGTCGTCAATGGGCAGAAAAAAAATTGCACTATTATAGTAGTCATGTTATGTGCACACTATTTCAATTTTCATTTATTGATTAAAAAATGGGTGCACCTTTACAGAAGTCATTAATGGGAGGGAAAAAAAGTGCACTTACTACAGCAGGTAATAGATTGTAGTGCAGAACAGATCTGCTGCATATTTTTGATTAATGTTGCAGCAACTGTTTGAAAAGCAAAGTTACTGCGATAAATTTACATTAAAACATTAAAATAAACATATACAAGTTCCTTGTTACAGTAGTAACCTATGTGTGGAAAAATGAGTGAACTATCTCAGTTTTCATTCATTGATGAAAAATGGTTGCATTATTACAGTTTTCATCTATGGGAGGAAAAATGAGTGCACTATTACAACAGTCATCAATGTGAGGAAAAATGAGTGCACTATTACAACAGTCATCAATGTGAGGGAAAATGAGTGCACTATTACAACAGTCATCAATGTGAGGAAAAATGAGTGCACTATTACAACAGTCATCAATGTGAGGGAAAATGAGTGCACTATTACAACAGTCATCAATGTGAGGAAAAATGAGTGCACTATTACAACAGTTATCAATGTGAGGGAAAATGAGTGCACTATTACAGTTTTCATCTATGGGAAGAAAAATGGGTTCAATAGTACAACAGTCATTAATGGGAGGAAAAATGGGTGAACTTTTACAGCAACATTTATGCTCTATTACAGCGGATAATTGGATCGTAGTGAAGAACATATCTGCTGCATATTTTGGTATATGATGCAGCAACTGTCTGAAAAGCAAGGGAACTGCAAATAATTTACATTAAAACTTATGAATGAATACAAGTTCCTTATATTTCCTACAAATTTGTCACTAATATTTGCTGCAGCAAATAAGTTGGAATATAATGGTCTTGTCCTGTAAAATAATTTTTCTTTTTCAAAATGTTCTTTTTGTATTTCATATGAAATACAAATGTTTGAAAGATTTTGAAACATGAAATTCTATTGTGCAATTTACAATAAATCAGTTTTGATGGTTGCAGTAACTGGTCTGTGACCTTGAAATTCAGAGAATACATGTCTTTGTCTCTGAAGTTTGAATTAACAATGAAAAGCTTGTATACATCCAAGTTCTCAGAAGATGTTTAAATATTTTACAGAGGTTTTCATACATTTGTATCAGGTGCAGTTGTCTGAGAAAAAGTAATGCTGTATTCAAATTTGTACTTATCATTCAAGTTCGGAGATTTCTGGAAAATGTAACGAGATCTGATTATTTTGTAGCATTGTGGGTTATGTAGTTGGGGTTAAAAGTTTTGAAGAAGATATTTTTTAACCAAACAGGTTATACAATGTATTTTTATAAGTTAAGAGAAGACAGATTTCCTCATTATCTTGGTAAAACATGAAGATAATTTCAGACATAGTGAATTCTTGTGACCATTAAAACAATGTTGAACAGGGTTGCTAGGTAGGAGAAGGATGGGTTTTGTAACATGACAACAAGCTTAAGGGTGTAGACTTACAGGTTGTGGGAAAGGAAAGGTTTTTTTACTTAATTTTTATTTTGAAAACATGGTTGTGAGTTTTGATAATGGGTATGATTTCCTTGTAATCATGACAACCCTTAAGATTTTTACCAGGACAACATAGATATATACCACTTATAGGAAGTATTGTTTACTTGTTACCATGACAACATGGATGATGGAGTCATGAATGTTAGCCTGAGGGATCGGTTTCCTTGTAACCTTGACAATCAGAGCAAAAAATCAAACTTTTCCTAGAAAGTGGCATAGGTAACATTCCAGAGTGACTATGGGTTAGTAGTTCTAAAAGTTAATATTGTGATGTTTGTAATTGTGAAAAGTGTGACCATCTTAGAAATGTTACATGTTCAGGTGAATGAACTAGGCTTTCCACTAAGTTTTATTTGCCATATAGTAATTACTGTTTTTCATTTGGAATCAAGTTATGCTCCAAAGTATTGAGTATACTTAAGCTATTCACATATTTTGTGTCTTTTTGTTAATTAAATCTTATACCTGGACTGATCCATCTGTGTCAATCAAGTAAAAAAAGTGATATTTCATTAGTAAGTATGCAATACAAAGAAATTGAGAAAAAAAAAAAGAAAAAAAATTGGAAAAAAAACAAAAAAAAAAATCAGGATCATCCTAAGTTGATAAGAAGAGATGGTGATCTGCTCAGGCTTGTGTACATAGACATATGTGCTTTTTCTTTTGATAAACTGATTTAGGAAATGAGGTTCATGCGAGTATAATCTAGATGATAAGTGTTTTAAGGGACCATTTCTTTTTTCCATACATTTTCTCTTTTTTACTTGGAACTAGTTGCAGGTTGGTTTACTGAGTTTTTGTACCTTCAATGGAGTAGGAATTTAAAGTAAAAAAAAAGGAAAAATTAAGATTGTGAAAAAAATGCTCCATTTTAAGGAAAGTGAAGTCAGAAGTTATTTTAAATGTGTTTCAACAGAAGTGATGTTTATATGAAGGTATCAGAGGGCAAAGTTAAGGACAATTCTATTAATGTATATATATATATTATTAAAATGTCTGTTCTCTGTGACCTACAGCAGGCAGATGGTTTTATTTCTCTGTTGGGGAGATTTTCTTTTGTTTTATCTGCATACTTCAGTATATTTTATCTTTATATATAAACTGCTATTTTGTGATACATTTGTTGTTAATGTATTTGATAGTCTTCTTTGTGGTAAATGTAGTACATGTAATCAAATATGACTGGTGCTTTTTGTATTGTAAAATTTCATATCTGTGAATAAAATGTTTTAATCTTATGAATTTTTTATACAGCAAAACCTTCAAAAATAACAAAGATTCATTTTAAGTATGAAAAAAACCCTTTATTTCATAACGAAATGATAATATTCACTGTGTATCGTATCACATGTCTAGTTAATAGCCCTAACAAAAAAAATCTAATGATTCCAACAAATTGGCAGCTATGCCTTAGCCCGGTCCTAAGTATCAAATATAATCCGGCTTGGACCTTATTACACAGGAGAGGAAGCAATGATTTCTTATAATTACTTGATCAGAAAGAACAAATTGATACTGAAAACAAATATTATAAAAACCAAAGAAAAGAAAAAATGTGGAAATCTTCAGTTAAAGCACAAAAAAAAATATATAAAAAAATAAGACTTTTTTGCCCCAATTTCTTGCTCTGTGGTATCATTCTGTCTTTTCATAATGCAGAGTTATCTGCTTTTGTAAGCTAAAATTGATTGTTATGTCATTAGTCGACATTTGTTTATTAATTTGAAATTATCACGAACATTTTGGCATATCAAAATTGATTGCAGTCTAATCTTATAGAAGTCATCAGGCTGTCGTAACATTGTGGTGATACGTTATACTGTCATTACTAATGTGTTATGTGTGGAACACAACACAACCCTCTCAAATCACACAATATGATACTGCATATTCAAATGAGAATATACATTTTTCTCTCCTGTCAATTAATTTTCTTCTGGTTACTGACTGTTAAAGTATAAAATATACATTGAAATGATCAGATCATTCCTGTACACTCATTGGGTTTAGGCAGTTGTAAACATGTGTAATATCTCTTTACAACATGTTGTGACAGACCCCCTTTGAGTAAAAACACAGGTATGGTCTACAACTTACATCACAAAAGTTTCCATTAAATCTAGATTTGGAAAATAATATCACAAGTGTGTGAACAGAAAACATCAACCAATGACTAAAATAAGTTGTCGTTTCTAAAACTGGATTTCCATGTACTTTTGTTTTTGATGTTTCTGTAGTTTTGTTTCCAATGATAAACAGCTACCTTGTAAAGAGTAACATAAGCAATACAACAGTGTATGGTATTAGGTGAGTATGTTACAGAGGAGTTGTTTACACACACAGTTGAACAAGCAGGGCTACAAACTGGCCAAACATTATAATTATAAACAACAACAAACAAACAAAAACATGGACAAGGGTACAAAATTTGCATATTAATTAGCACAAATTTGCAATTAATGATGAGTACATTTAAAAAAAAAATGTCATTAATTCACCCATACCCAATTAATGGAGAGACTTTAAATTATATAATATACATTGTATATATAATATTGCAGTTTACTTTTACGATTCAGTCACTATACTTTCATTCATTTCTATCAAATTCTTTGTGATATGTGGGAGGTAATAAAGAATGCAGTTAGTTCTGTACATTCATCACTAGTACTGTCTGGTATGATATCCTACAGTTAGTTCTGTACATTCATCACTAGTACAGTCTGGTATGATATCCTACAGTTAGTTCTGTACATTCATCACTAGTACTGTCTGGTATGATATCCTACAGTTAGTTCTGTACATTCATCACTAGTACTGTCTGGTATGATATCCTACAGTTAGTTCTGTACATTCATCACTAGTACAATCTGGTATGATATCCTACAGTTAGTTCTGTACATTCATCACTAGTACTGTCTGGTATGATATCCTACAGTTAGTTCTGTACATTCATCACTAGTACTGTCTGGTATGATATCCTACAGTTAGTTCTGTACATTCATCACTAGTACTGTCTGGTATGATATCCTACAAATAGTTCTGTACATTCATCACTAGTACTGTCTGGTATGATATCCTACAGTTAGTTCTGTACATTCATCACTAGTACTGTCTGGTATGATATCCTACAAATAGTTCTGTACATTCATCACTAGTACTGTCTGGTATGATATCCTACAATCTTCCTACACTTCCACATCAGTATTCAAAAAAACTTCTATCAGTAATTTTTATGTCGATTTCTATCGGTAATTTTTATGTCAATTTCAACAAGTACATTAAGGGTCAAATATAAAGAAACATAATTTACCATGACTTTGAAATATGACAAATTTATTTGACTCCAAAAATGATGTGACTCAATAAGGACAACCTTACTGTAAAGTATGGAGGTAAATACCAAACACAGCAAAGTGTTTGCAAATGACATATTTCCGTGAAAATAATCTGCATGTTAATATGGCCTTAAGAAGCAGACCTATCAGAGAAAATATTTGGGCCAAAAATAACCTACTGCAATATGGAATACCTTCTCATCACTAACAAAAAAAAAAAAAAAACAAAAACAAAAGGAAAAAAACATTTTTAAGTGATTTTTTTCTTCTATAAGATGTAAATATATAACTTTTCGACTTTGTGAAAAGCAATTAATTTGAATACATGATTACACTGCATATTTGGATAATATCTTACTTAAAAAAGGGGGACAATTTTCCAACAATATGAAAATAAATAAATTCAACAAAGGGACACAATCCATGGGACCTGTGTCACCATTATCTTAGGTAAGGCCAAGAAAACCCTATCACTCTAGTACTTATCAATATATACATACAGAGTACAATCTTTGGAGATATTTAATTATTTGTATATATAAAGTATAACATAGATTTAATGCTCCTGTATTGTGTGATGACTAAATAAGTCCTTCAGGCTTTATACAATTAAAACTGTGATTAATACATTTGTGAAGAAGCAAAAAAAATTCCAGAAAATATCAGTACAGGTATTCTGTTGGGCAATATCGTAACTGTAAAGGAGATTATTTTTGTATGTTCAAATTTTGGCAATTTTGCCAAAAGCTTTAAGCAGGAAAGAAGTATTTTTCAGAAGTCATACAACAGCTTTCTAGTCTATCAGAATAAGATATTAAATTTTTTATGATAATTAGAACCCCTCAAAAATAACTGTCACCATTTTACTATAATCATGAATTTGTCTCATCATTATCATAAAATCGGTTTTATATTAACAATTAATTTTTCTGTCACCATAGTAACAGTTTTACATAAATTATAAATTTGTCACACTGTCACTGAGGAAATGGATTTACATTAATGGTTGGTCTGTCTCATCGTCACCATAGAAACAGTTTACCATATAGCAGGCAAAGGGTACCAGCCTCACATTAAAGCTGTCATCCATGATTTGATATACATTAATACATTTTTCAATGCTCCACTGCATCTCAAAGTTTGAGCAACATTTCATGCTCCAGTAACCTTCTTTATAATGAAGGGACTATAAAGCATTTGCATATAATTACTTTTGACAATACAAAAAGTTGCCATTTTTTTCAGATGAACGAAACACAAAACTGATTCTTCAAGCAAAACATGCCTGATCTATTTGGATTTATGTTGTTACAAGTTTTTTTTTTCATTTTATATTTTGGTAGAAATCATTCCACATTTAGCAATGAGTTTAAAATAAGAGACAGATTTTTTTCTCTTTCATTTTGGTGTAAACCTTTCCCCTTTAAGCAGGGTTCTTATTTGAATGAGAAAAGTTGAATACTTTCAACACCCAGTATCAATTTTAGTTCAGTCTAATTTCAGTCATCAACAGTGATGTTGGCCACAAAACTGACATGAAAAATTAACACCACCTTGAACTTTATGCTGAAAACATACGTCAAAGCACTGTTAATAATTTAGTAAATACACAAAAGTGAGAATATTTCAAGTTCTAATAAACAGTATCACAACTAATTACATCAGTCTGCAGCAACTGATTAAGCTTAAGTCAAACCGTACAAATTGTTCAACAAAATTTATCTACAACTATCTATCCTCTTGAGCAAATTCCCACGTATTTTTCTCAAGATATACGGCAACAATTATTTAAATGCTTCTAGTACATCAATAATCACATCGCAGGCAATTTTCATTTAATGCATGTTAGACAAGGATTTAATCCAATAAATAGCATATATCTTTGTAACGACTTCTACACACATAAATAGCATGGACAATGTTCCAACAAAATCTGCATAATATATTAAATAATCAACAGTGTATTTCCAAACCCCTGGTAAGGTGCTATCAGCCATCAGTAGGCAAGGTGAATGTGGTAAGGCAAAGGAGGAGGAAAGGGAAGGAATGAAGAACAGAAAGAAGGATGGGGAGAGATGGGGGGAAAGTAGAATTAGATACTGTATATTTCTTTATTTGAAAATCTTTTGGAATCTTACGAGCTAGCTCACACAAATTCTATATAATAAGTTTTTGCCCTTTTTATCATTAGTATAAAGAAAGATGCTGGAATTTCAGTGTGTATCTGTTATCCCTGACTTTAGTAACATTAATACAAAAACATCTAGAAAAACTTAAATGCTAATCAAGATCAATAAATATTTCACTTCATTTAAATACTGTTCAGGGACACGACAAGATTCATCTTGCATATCAATTTCAATTGTAATTTCATGAATATAATTACAATTTTAGTAAATATTTATCCTAAAAATAAATAGACTATGAATCTTCATTTTCTGTTTAGATCTAATTTCCAAGTATCTCTAAAATGTATTTTTCTGAATTATCTTTTCACAAATTTTTTTCTTCATACAGGAGAAGCACTACTTACACTCTGTTTTGAGATGTAATAAAATCTTTAAATGTTCACATCCGTTTAGGCAATGAATGATTTGGTTTTCAATGTTATTGATATATCTACACGTATATTTCAAACTTTGTTGTAATATCATTACACAAATATGATTTTGCTGATTATGAAAAATGGGAAAGTGAACTTTATCATGTCACACAATTTGAGGAGCACAGAGGGATAATATATTTCCTGCTTAACCTAAAGAAACTTAATGAACCCAAGACTTGGAAAAAACACATAAATGTTTTCCCTCAATGGAATCTTAATTAAGAAACTCCTTTTTATGACAATGTCTAGATTTGGATGAGGTCAGGGATTGTATAAATTTCCGTGATACTCCAATATAAATTCTGACAAGGTAAGATCTGAACATCCTAAAAACCTCCTAAATATAGTCATGTCTTGAATTGTCCGACACTGTCACAGGGTTGAGGTCAAGGTCAGGGATTACAGAAACCAATTAAAGTGAGGCATTATTATCAGCTGATTGATTAAGGATGGGTCTCAGTCACATGGGTATCTAAATTGTGTTCTACCAAATTAAAACACAACAATGAAATAGGATGCTGATTTGGTGGAATGCTGCGACAAGTTCCTGGTCATCAGTCTTCCGCCTCATCACTGCTGTTTGCATCCATGCGATCAGCTTCTGGTGCATCCTGGGGCGAGTAATCAGCACTGGCATATTGTTCTGAGCTAGGCGTCTGCTGACTGGGACTGTTGGCAGCACTCTGCTGACCACTTTCAGTAGCCAAACCACCAGCCAAGGCTCTGGGAACGGACATCGACGGCATTGCTCCAGACACTTCAGCTGGACATTCAAAGTGGACGCAGTGAAACACCTACAGAGAAAGAAAATTAAGCATCAAGTTAGAAAACTTTTTATCATAGTCTATAACATATACTCTGACTACTACAGGTGTGTTAAAATTATATGAAAAAAAATCCTTAATAGCACCAGAATTTGTATAACATAGAGATAAATTAATATATAAATTCATCCTTGTACAAAACAATAGTAGCTGCAGTACATGTACAAAGCAAATCAAAATGGTTGATCCCAATCTGTCATATACAAACCTCATTTGCTGTGTTGTTGGTGCCAACTATTTTGATAAAAGCCACTGGTCTCTTTTCAAATCTAATCAGCTGCCATGACCTGTAAAGACAAATACTTCACATCAGTCTTATGATTCTGAACTAGGACACATTACATCTCCAGCCCTAAAGTTTCCTCCACTCAGCAATGTCTATTGAAAGTAATTCTGATTGCTTGATGACTGCAGACTGCCACACTATCAGAATTTCTATCAGCTCTGACCTCTACTACATACAGTATTTGTCCAAAGCTAGCTCATACATCAAGATATCATGCCAAATAAAAAATGACAGACAAACAGACAGACAACCTGATTACTATAGGGAACCCACATCTTCAATACAGTGACCTCATTAATATTTTCAGGAAATATCATATTTAGTATGTATTAAAAAGACACACTGCAGTCCAGATTACTGTTCTGTTTTGTAGAAACTCTTACATTGTGCATTTTGAGCTCTGACACACTTGAACAATTTTTTATTTTGGAATAATTACCGTTAACAGTATTGTGCACTTTGAGCTCTGACACACTTGTATGATTGTTTATTTTGGAATAATTACCGTTAACAGTATTGTGCACTATGAGCTCTGACACACTTGTATGATTGTTTATTTTGGAATAATTACTGTTAACAGTCATACAGACTTTTGTCAGTATGGCAATCATAGTAATAAAGGGAGATAACTACTGGTATATTCTGTAAATACAAACATTTAACCGGTACTTACTTGCACTCCTCATTGTGTTTATCAGCGACCATGTGCCAGCTCCTTTGGTCCGTGGAAACTTCTATGTAGTAACTATAGCAACGGTCATCACAGTCCCACAACAGCAGTCTGTAAGACATACATAGTTCTATAAACATCTGCATCATCTACCTTGTAAGACTTTATACTTCTTAGAATAATTCAAGTTTTATTAAAAGGATAATTCCAAAGGTTCCTGTAACGTATTTCCCAAAATGCATCAATCTTTATCATTATTTGGTGTTGATAAAAGTAGCCAGAGGGAAAATAACAGCCAGAATGGGAATTTCTACTACTGTTTAGACCTACCACATATGTTTACTCTGGTCATTTTAATATGTATACAACCCAAAAGTAGGTTTGTTTCAATATTATTAAGAAGGGATACAGAAGGTTTTGTTGTCACAGACTCTTCAATAGAGTGTTGTTCATTTTTATCTAAGTCATAGTATACTAACTTACAATTGGAGGAGGGGACAACACTCACCTCATTGAGTCTACAATGTATGGTTGGGCAAGCTGTACAATGATAGCCCCGCTGCCCAGCTGATGACAGGTGTAACCCGAGTCCCAGTCATAGTTACGTGTATCACCATTGATCAGAGTGTTCCTGCTACGACTCACACCCTCAATCACACAGGCACTGGCCTCAATGGTTGCCACATTCTCCTGGGGGACTGTAACAAAATACAACTATGATAATGGTTTCTAAATGATACATTGGGGAGAGTAACAAAATACAATAATTATAATGGTGCCTATATGATACAGTAGCGATGGTAACAAAATACAAAATATACATTATATTTGTTTTGTGCCCCCTTTAAAGTAAATAATGTTACATTTTATGGCTTAAAATAGACGGCTGTATTTTTTTAAGTTAAGGCTGACATTTCAAACATACAGTCAGAAGGACCCTGTTCTGAAAAAGATTTTTCTCTCCAACTCCTAGAGCCATAACATACGACTGACACTATTTGTAGAGAACACAAGACACATGGAAGCTCTATATGATTATAATTACCTATCAGTCCCTGCTCCAGTTTAAATGGCGTCTGTGTGTAGAAACATTCAAATGCTACAATGTGGAAGACACGATTCACTGTGTTGTGTGTTCCAACAATTCTAATATACCTGGAAAACAATAAAGATACATTATATCAGACAAGTGTTAAAACTCAGCACTTAAGGGGAATCTCCATTTGTTAATATAGCAATACATACAACAAGTTCTTTTTAACATCAAAACAATTGGTAGATAGATAAATACGCACTAATATGATTGAATACTGTTTGTCAATTTCAAATCAATCAAATACATGAATGTTATAATAACAATAGAAAACGTCTATTAGAGTAATTAGATATGAATGACCCTGCTCCTGGGAAAACCAGAAACTGATCAGGTGTAAAACTTGATGTTATACTACAGGGTAAATATGAACTGAGACGTCCTCAAGATATGATACTTGTTCAGATTGGGACCTGACACAATGGGACTGACGGTCACATGGTAACACTACGTGTCCCCCGTCCCCCTGGGATAAAATAAATGACTCTGGAGTATACAAAAATTACAAAAATATTAAACCTCATAGATTTTTAAACTTTACCGATGATTTATGTCATTATCGATACATGTTGTGGATTCAAATTAGAACATTTTTTCTCTATCAAATTAAATTCATGTACAAGATATTTACCTTACTACCTTTGGAGAGAAATTCATGGTCTGCCAGGACCGACACAGATACTTGGAGTGATCGACAACTCTCTCGTAATCCTTGTCATCCATTGAAACTTCTATATAGTATGAATAGGACCTAAAATAATTCAAACACATGTCATGAAGGATAAAATGAAAGATGTTCAAAAAAGGTGATTAATGAATTACAAAATAATGAAATAGGTATGAATAATCAAACATAGGAAATAAACAACAGAGCAAGCTCATGGTCCCGATAGTCAGACTTGGACGTCCCAATAGTGAAGACTTGGACGTCCCGATAGGAAGACTTGGACGTCCCGATAGTGAAGACTTGGACGTCCCGATAGTGAGACATGGACGTCCCGATAGTCAGACTAGGATGTCCCCATAGTCAGACTTGGACGTCCCAATAGTGAATACTTGGACGTCCCGATAGTCAGACTTGGACATCCTGATAGTCAGACCTGGACGTCCCCATAGTCAGACTTGGACATCCCAATAGTCAGACCTGGATGTCCTCATAGTAAGACTTGGACGTCCCGATAGTCAGACTTGGACGTCCCCATAGTGAAGACTTGAACGTCCCGATAGTCAGACTTGGACATCCTGATAGTCAGACTTGGACGTCCCGATAGTCAGACTTGCACGTTCCCATAGTCAGACTTGGACGTCCCAATAGTGAATACTTGGACGTCCCGATAGTCAGACTTGGACATCCTGATAGTCAGACCTGGACGTCCCCATAGTCAGACTTGGACATCCCGATAGTCAGACCTGGATGTCCTCATAGTCAGACTTGGACGTCCCGATAGTCAGACTTGGACGTCCCCATAGTGAAGACTTGAACGTCCCGATAGTCAGACTTGGACATCCTGATAGTCAGACTTGGACGTCCCGATAGTCAGACTTGCACGTTCCCATAGTCAGACTTGGACGTCGCGATAGTCAGACTTAGACGTTCCCATAGTCAGACGTGGACGTCGCCATAGTCAGACCTTGAAGTCCCGATAGTCATACTTGGACATTCAAAAATTTGAACACCATTCATGAATAAACTGATATTGGTACAACCTATGAATATTTATTGAGAATGAGGGCACACCATTTAGAAATTTGAACAACACCATGAATATTAATATGACCTATGAATATTTATTGAGAATGAGGCACACCATTTAGAAATTAAACGACACCATGAATATTAAAATGACCTATGAATATTCAAAGTTATTGAAACAACTTTAAACAACATAAGGTTTCCAGTTTTAATACAAGGAGAAAAGATGTAAATATGGACAGCACTAAGTAATGACTACATGTGTTTGTTACTGCAATACACTGCATCAGGAAGCAGTATATTTCATGGCCATGCATGTAACAGGTATTTCACTATGCCAGTGTTTCAGTACTGTCTGTGTTCTTTATGACAGGCATGTAACTAAATGAGGCTAGTTTGTATGTTACACTCTTATTGGGATCACTTTTGTTAATGACAGCTTTTAGATATATTCCACACAGTGACCCATCAACAAACCTCATATCTCGGTCCCACAGTAGTAACTTAAAGCCATTGACGATGAAGGGTTGACTGAGGCGAATGACCACACCTTGACCCTCATTGCCATCGATAGGGTGTCGGGTGAACCCTCGGTCAAGGTCGTAATTCTGGCAATCTCCATCCAGCAGAGCAGCCTTCATCTCTCCCCGAATCACCTGAGCTGAATGTCGACTGGAAGCCACATTTTCATCAAGTACTGTCAAAGACAGAAAATAAATTGGATTAAGTAGTCATATTTTCTATCTCCATCATAAAGAGACCATAATATTAGTAATCTATTTCCAAAATTTGCTTAATTTATATAAAAAAAGGACTATCTTCTCCCCCAGGAGCATAATAAAACCCTGCTATATATTTCTTCAATTTGTTTTTCTTCAATTTATTTGAAAAGTGTCCAAGTGGCATGTTGTTAATTTAGTCAGAATGTAATGAATGTCATATGCAGCTCTAAATGCATTTTTTTTTTGAAAGAGACATTGCCCACATATTTCAAATCCTTAGTATTTTATGAAGTTCCCTAAATAGATTTCTTGAGAGAATTCAGTTCTCTACCATTAAAAGGTGACTTCCAAAAGGTGACATAGTCTTAAAAGGCTATTTTATATATTCAATACAAACATATCAAAAAAGGTTCACGACATCAAACTTTTTCCTGGTTATGTTTTATGATATACAATGTATTCACTTTCATCTCTTTCATGAATAATCTTGTTTTTAATTCTGTACTAAGGATTTCCCTTGATTAATCGTAAAACAATTTCTTTATCTCATGAAGTTTCCTCTTTTTTCAGCTGCAGATTTTTTCTGGGTATGTAAAACTTTTATTGTATTACTGTTTTAGCCCCATAAAAATACTGTTAAATCACATCTTTTTATGAGGATCAATTTCCTTGTTTTATTTTCTCCAAATTACAATATTGTGGACATGTGATTTTGTGTATAAATAGATTTAAAATTCTACGTACACTTATTTTAACATTTCATTGACATATTAATTCATGGATTAAGAGGACCGAAGAAATCAATGAAAATTAACCCCCCCACAAAAATGACTGATTCTAAAATATTTTCTTTTGCATATTCATATGGATTCAATCAATCAATATCTTTCCACAAACATGGAGTTGACAATATGTACTACATAACTACATACACATGTTTATACAAACAAACTGAAGCAAAAAAAATCCAAGGAACCACCAAGAAAAAAAGACCACCTACCAAGAAATCCCCTGTATTCCAATTCCATGTCTCGACACTCGGTTTGTATTTTAATTGCGTCCAAAATGGCGTCTGGTGACACAAGGTTGGTAGTCCTTACTCGGTTCAGTAATTCAGACAAAGTCATAAGCGGCAGGCGTACCGCGTTGATAATAGGTGAGGGATCCTGCCCAACGTTTTGTTCTGCCCACTCACACACAGTGTTGAAAATGTCTATCTCAGGCGCACAAAACGAATCTCTCGAGATCAAGTCTGTCACAGAACACTGCAATCACATGATATATACTGATTAATTGATATCTGACAATCCCAGTCTGTATCATTTAAAAGCTTTTGTCCAGAAATAATTTGTTACTGGTTTTTTTTAAAAATGAAACTCTTTCCTCTGAATCTAAGATATATAGATTTAAAAAAAAAAGTTATGAATCTGTAATATTGAAAGTTTAAAAAATTAAAGTCTGATAATTCTTGGAGACAATACAAATACCAAATTAATTTGTTTAATTACCTGTGATAGAGACAGAAAAGCCTCACTCTGGAGTATATCCTGTGCGTTCCTGTCAATAAATTCCTTGCACACGTTACACAGTGACGCGAGACTGTACACATTGGCCAAGTCGTAGATCATGCATACATTAGTCTTATTCAGAATGGCCTTTAAATATTCCGAAATGGAACCTTCGAGTTCCAAGAATCCATACCGATGAGACATGGCTAAAATATCCAACAGAGTCTCCTCCTGAAGTATGAAAATAGATTTTTATTGCAAATTCCATTTTGTATATATATCAATAAAACCCTTTTTCTTTAACTGAAAGATTTCTTTTGAGAAAAATTTTCATTAGTTAGTTTTGAGAAGAAATAGGTAAGATAGGTGACATATATGATGTAAACAATAAGATTGCACATGGCTTCAATCAAATAAACAACAAGTCAACACGCTAAAGTACACCTTGATGTTTAATTAGACAGAATTACAAGCATGTTCATCATTAATGTCAAATCTTTTCTTGTAAGCTTTCTCTGATACAAAGCAGTAGAAGTTTTGAGGTCTTCCATTGATCAAGTATGCAGGAAGTTTATCCGTGAATAACACTTAAACATGGAGTGCTTTCAATTCTTGCATAATAATTTTGGTACATGCTTGCATATTCAGTCTTCTGGTTGTAATTCAAAATTCAAACATGATGTTTTGATCAGCACAATTAATTTCCGGATCTCTGATAAACATGTACCAAAGGAAAGAAATTTCTGATCAGTTAAACAGGAATTTTATTACATTCCCTGGAAACAGGCCATATATAATGTATTTCACTAAACATCCCTTAGGTAACTTTGTGATCCTAATAAACACCCCTCTGGTGTCGTTGTGATCCTAATAAACACCCCTCAGGTAACTTTGTGATCCTAATAAACACCCCACAGGTAACTTTGTGATCCTAATAAACACCCCACAGGTAACTTTGTTATCCTAATAAACACCCCACAGGTAACTTTGTGATCCTAATAAACACCCCACAGGTAACTTTGTTATCCTAATAAACACCCCACAGGTAACTTTGTGATCCTAATAAACACCCCACAGGTAACTTTGTGATCCTAATAAACACCCCACAGGTAACTTTGTTATCCTAATAAACACCCCTCAGGTAACTTTGTGATCCTAATAAACACCCCACAGGTAACTTTGTTATCCTAATAAACACCCCTCAGGTAACTTTGTGATCCTAATAAACACCCCACAGGTAACTTTGTGATCCTAATAAACACCCCTCAGGTAACTTTGTGATCCTAATAAACACCCCACAGGTAACTTTGTTATCCTAATAAACACCCCTCAGGTAACTTTGTGATCCTAATAAACACCCCACAGGTAACTTTGTGATCCTAATAAACACCCCTCAGGTGTCATTGTGATCCTAATAAACACCCCACAGGTAACTTTGTGATCCTAATAAACACCCCTCTGGTGTCGTTGTGATCCTAATAAACACCCCTCAGGTGTCGTTGTGATCATAATAAACACCCCTCAGGTGTCACTGTGATCATAATAAACACCCCTCAGGGAGCCTTGTGATCCTAATAAACATCCCTTTGGTGTCCTTGTGATCCTAATAAACAACCAACATGTGTCCTTGTGATCCTAATTAACAACCAACATGTGTCCTTGTGATCCTAATAAACACCCTTTTGAGGTCCTTGTGATCCTAATAAACACCCCTTAGAGGTCCTTGTGATCCTAATAAATACCCCTCAGGTGTCCTTGTGATCATAATAAACACCCCTCAGGTGTCTTAGTGATACTAATAAACACACCTCAGGTGTCGTTATGATCCTAATACACATCCATCAGGTATCCTTGTGATCCTAATAAACACCCCTCAGGTGTTGTTGTGATCCTAACAATCACACCTCAGGTGTCCTTGTGATCCTAATAAACACCCCACAGGTGTCGTTATGATCCTAATAAACACCCCAGGGTATCATTGTGATCCTAACAAACACCCCTCAGGTGTCCTTGTGATCCTAATAAACACCCCTCAGGTGTCCTTGTTATCCTAATAAACACCCTTCTGGTGTTCATGTGATCCTAATAAACACCCATCAGGTGCCCTCAGGTGTCGTTATGATCCTAATAAACACCCCAGAGGTTTTACTTGTAATCCTAATAAACACACCTCTGATGTTGTTATGATACTAATAAACACCCAACAGGTGTCTTTGTGATCCTAATTAACACCCCTCTGGTGTCCTTGTGATCTTAATACACCCTTCATGATCCTACATCTGTAAATCTTTGCTTGACTACAAGTAAATGAGCTCAGACAGAGTTACCTTGATATCCAGCAGGTTAATTCGACTAGTGTACATGTATCGCAGTAAGTAAGAAAATGCAGTGGCTGACATATCCTTTAGTTCTATCTCTGTAGTTCCTGGTAATGACTCCTTCATACCCCCAAACAGCATTGCTCTGAAATATATAGAAATCCAATAAAGTTCCATTTTTTTTAAATCACTGTTCCTTGCAACAGTGAGTTTATTTTTTATTTTGTCCAGTCTAACTAACGCATAGCACTTCAAATTCACTTAAGTTCACTGATTCAGACTTGACATGGAGAAGAAGGCAAAGAATTTCAGTATTTGTTTAAAAAACCTTATTTACAATATCTAAACTTATGTTATTTGTAAAAACAAGAAGCCCAGAGGGCCTGTATCTCACATCTGGAAATTTAAGTCAATAATGTAAAACTTAACATTTCTTTAGAAGGAAAATATTTACCCCACAGATACAGCTTCATATTCCCTAGGGGTGAGGACAGAGATCAGTTGTTAATCTCTTGATGTCCAGCAATGCTATTAAGATATGGGATGTGTTTATCTCCTGATGGTGAGCAAAGGTATAGTTATTCATTGGAGATCACCATTGCTTCACAGAACCAAATAACCAAATTAATTTTTGATGGGGCAAAGCAATAATATGGAAAATACTTAAATTGACTTAGGGGTTATATTTTCCCTGTTGGGCCCCACCCATCTGGCTCCAGCGGGCTGAAACCCAGGCTTTACACAAAACTGATTTCCCTTCCACCAAGCATGCTTCAGACCAATTTTAAACTATATCTTGCAATTCTTGAAAAGGAAAACATTTCAAAGAAATCAACAGATTTACTCTTTCAAGCCTTGCCCCTCTGACCACAGGGGACAGAGACCCAAGGTTTAAACAAAAATGATTTCTCTTCACCCAAGTATGCTTCACACCAAATCTGGACAATATCCTGCTATTCCTGAAGAACAAGTTCAAACAAGAAATTGACAGATTTTCCCTATTGGGCCTCGCCCATCTGGCCCCTAGGGGCCCCAGACCCACTTTTTACACAAAACTGATTTCCCTTCACGCAAGGATGCTACAGATCAAATTTTATTGAAAATTGACAGACACTGGATGTCGCAGTATCCCTATAGCTCACTTTTGTAGAAAATTTTATGACCAGCAGTCAGAACTCTCAATAACAAATGAGGCTCTTAATGTACCTATTTAAGTACTAACTTTAAACCAACAACACTAGCTTTCACTGACGTCAGATGAATAAATCTGGGGCTAATATTTCGCTTTCTATAAAATGTTCATTAATGTGGCCATTCAACCAAACATACCTGAAGTACAAAGACCTAGCGGCTAGGATTGCCTTGTGTGATGGGAATCGAGTACCCTCCACAATCAGAGTGAGGTCACTATACTCAGAGCTGTCTACTAAATCCCCCAGATTGTCCGACAGGGATCCAACATGGTCCACAATTCCAGCAGGGGTGGGGGTCCGTAACTGGTGGTGGTCACACATCCTTGTCTACAGTGTATCTCAGGTAATACTACAAACACAGACAATGTCATGCAATTAATAATTTATACTTCTAATCAGAAATTTAGTGTCACAACCCCAATTAAATGGCTAGGGAAAATATGCTTCATTACACAGTAATTTTTTGGACTCAAATATTTGAGTCCCGGAATCATGCTTTTCTTTTGGGACTTGTAAAGCTTTTAGAAATGGGCTTCAGGACTTCCCTGAAAAATCCTAAAAAAATTTCAAAAAGATATGCCACTAAAATCACTGTGATAATAATTTACTTTACCTTCGTGTAAGCACCTGTTGCAGCAGGTGATTGAATAATCAATGTCATTATTATCAACAATTCTGTGTAGCATGCATGTTCACATACATACTCTATGTGTGAGGTATGAATGTTGGATAGTCTAACAATCTAAAGCGCCTTGAAAATACATTCACTTTGTATTGTTTTACTGCCTCAGTGATTTAAATCTACACTACTGTATATACTGGCGTCTTTCAGTTTTTCATCAGTGTTGAATTTATTGTCTCTTTTGAGGAAAAATGAAATGCTGGTAAGTGAAGTATTTATCTTACACATTCATGTACACATGTATCAACTTATAGAAACAACAAATGCACTCGACCACCATATCACTAGTGCTAATCTAGGACTACAGTTGTGTAACACTCCCTACAATTGAACATGATCCCTTGCACTGCCGTATATAGTGTATACCTAACTGTTAATCAACAACACTTGTGTTAGTAATGAATGTCACTTCCAGGAAAAACACAAACTTTAAGCATCGCCAGGATTTATTACAAAGATAAGATAAATTTGTTTAAGAGTAATTTTATGAGTGAGGTACTCAATCAGGGATGTCGTAATGATGCCATGTTTAAAACTAAATTGAAGGTGAGGTTCTCATAGGGTAATGCTATGTATTACATGTTCTGATGAGGTACAAATGGGGGCACCATGATTAATGATGCCATAAAATGAAAGTGTGAGTGAGGTACTTATGGGGATGCTATAATAATGTTGAGTATCCAAGGTGATAGTGAGGTACAAGCTGAGACACAATAACTATGTCATGTATCCGGTAATGTGAGGTACTAATGGGGAACACCATAATGATGACATGTACTGAATGTGTGAGGGTTTGTGAGGATATGTGACGGCATGTGAGGTACCAATGGGGAACACCATAATGATGACATGTACTGAATGAGTGAGGGTGTGTGAGGTACCTATGGGAACATTGTAATGACATCATGTACTGAATGTATGAGAGTGTGTGAGGAACCAGTGGGGGCACCATAATGATGTCACGTATACAACATGTGAGTGAGGTACCAATGGGGTATAACCCTTTAAGCTAGAATATCGGTACAGCTCTTTATGTCAGAATTCAAGAGGGACAGGGTTAAAAGTTGTCATACATAGATATTATGACATTAATAAAATATGACAATGTTGAGATTAGATATTTCTTTTTTGTGATGGCATGATTTGAAGATATATTAAGTAGAAGTATATTGCCTGGTTATCAGCTCTGTCTTTAGGAAAAATTTCTGCAATTTTAGGGAAATTTCCTAATGTTTTCAAAATATTTTCTTGATGGGGAATTTGTTTATATTCTGAGGGGAAAACAGACCACTTTTGGGAATACTATACTTTTCCAGTATATTCAATATCCCAATCAGATTCTTTTTCAGTGAGGGATCAATGTGCCCATCAGGCTCTCTATCAGTGTACAGATCTGGAACAATGTACTATGTGGGATCAATGTGCCCATCAGGCTCTCTATCAGTGTACAGATCTGGAACAATGTACTATGTGGGATCAATGTGCCCATCAGGCTCTCTATCAGTGTACAGATCTGGAACAATGTACTATGTGGGATCAATGTGCCCATCAGGCTCTCTATCAGTGTACAGATCTGGAACAATGTACTATGTGGGATCAATGTGCCCATCAGGCTCTCTATCAGTGTACAGATCTGAAACAATGTACTATGTGGGATCAATGTGCCCATCAGGCTCTCTATCAGTGTACAGATCTGGAACCATGTACTTTATAGGCTCAATGTGCCCATCAGGCTCTTTATCAGTGTACAGATCTGGAACAAAGAAATTTATGGGCTCAATGTGCCCCTCAGGTGCTTTATCAGTGTACAGATCTGGAACCATTTACTATGTGGGCTTAATGTGCCCATCAGGCTCTCTATCAGTGTACAGATCTGGAACAATGTACTTTATAGACTCAATGTGCCTATCAGGCTCTCTATCAGTGTACAGATCTGGAACAATATACTATGTGGGCTCAATGTGCCCATCAGGCTCTTTATCCGTGTACAGATCTGGAACAATATACTATGTGGGTTCAATGTTCCCATCAGGCTCTTTATCAGTGTAAAGATCTGGAACAATATACTATGTGGGCTCAATGTGCCCATCAGGCTCTTTACCAGTGTACAGATCTTGAACAATGTACTTTATGGGCTCAATGTGCCCATCAGGCTCTCTATCAGTGTACAGATCGGGAACCATGTACTATGTAGGATCAATGTGTCCATCAGGCTCTTTATCACCGTACAGATCTGGAACAATATACTTTGTGGGCTCGATGTGCTCATAAGATCCTTTTAATTATCGTACAGATCTGGAACCATGTACTATGTGGGATTAATATGCACATCAGGCTCTTTATCATTGTACAAATCTAGAATAAACCTTTGCATTTGTCTGTTACATATTGGTTTTATTCCTACATTTGATGGATAATTACTACTTTGAGTAATCATTTAGTTTCTCCAGTGTAGAATCATTTGGAAAAGAAACACAAAAAGTTCTTATCAACATTACGACAAAAAGGTATCATATTTTTGCCATGACCCAATAACCAATGTGACACTGTATATATTTGCATAAGAAATATTGTTTTTCATTATCTTGTAACTTTGTGATAAAATGACAATTTTTATCACTGACTTTTTTCTCTATTAACTACAGTATATAGGGAAGCATTTAGTGTAAATGTCAAAGGTGAATGCATTCACCTGTTTTCTACTTTCAGTCATTTTATAAACAATCGAAGTGATGAAGCACATGTATACATAGATACAAAGATGTATACTGGACACAGGTGCTTAGATCTATTTATCCAAATCTTTCTGTTCCTCCAGGGCCACTAAGCGCATCATCCCAGGTATGGTTTATATCACCCTTAACATTAAAACATAAATATTTTTTTACCAATATCTACAGAACCTATTTTTGAAAGATTCTAAGGCTGGTCTTTCATCATCCTATTTTGTAAGGAGTTCCACACATGAAGCACTCTTTGTGCAAATGGTGATTTCCACACATCCAATCTGCTATGTTTATGTGAGTGTTCTCTTGATCTTTTATTGGTGTTGATCTTTCCAAAGGTATTTGTGCCTAGCAGATCATACATGTTATGTGATTTAAAGATTTGTTACATATCTCCTCTTAGTCATCTGAAACTTAAATAACGTAGTTAGTTTTAATCATCTTAGTCTTAGCTTTCTTGACATATCTCTCATTCCTGGTATGCATTTTCTCACCCTTCTTTGGTCACTTTTACATGCAAAAATATTTATGATCACGAACTTGGATAAAGACACCCTTGTTTGTTTCAAATATTTAAAAAGAAGTTCATGTGTTTATATCTCAAATAATCCTACATTAGAGTAACTAACTGATAACTCAAAGAAGAAATATATAACTCTCCTTCAAATGCAGGAGTATTACATGCGGGTTTGTGCCCAGCCTGTTGTGAAATTTTATCATTCGTTTGTTATTTCATGTTAATTAACAACTGAACAATTATAATACCTACTAATCAACAAGTTTATCATTTGTAACGAACAAGTAAAAGTTACCAATATCGTCTTTATATGATACATGTATTGTGAAATATTTGAAGAATTTCAAGCTCGGAAAATCTATTTTTAGTGATTGTTCGATAGCACAACAGACATTAACATAGGACGTATTGCAGGTTCAATACTTACAAATATATGAAACGATTTGAAAATTCGGTCAAGGTCCTTTCTTGAGAGTATTCATGGTGGATTTCAAACGTAACTTTGATTTATAACTGCTTCAAAAATAAACATTTCCGACATGTTGTTTACTCCCGGAAGTCCTATCAAAGTCTTGTTATTGGTGCATGAACCGAATCAATCATAATTAAATTATTTTAAGCCTATATTCTCACAGTTTTAACAAGAAACTATCGAAATAATTCTTAAGAAATATCTTCATTTAAATGTATGCAAAAATTATCACAGAAAGGGAGTGGAAATGTATTTAAAGCAGGCGCCTTTTATTGAATGCAACTGTACCTCTCGTGTAAAGTAAACTTTGAATTATTTCCGCTTCCGAAATCTCAACCAAGCGGCTTTTTCATTCGAGAAGTGAAAACTAACAAATACTTCATTTCAGGGATTCATACTGGCTCTGATTTTACTATGCCAAGTAAGAAGAAGAAGTACAACGCCAGATTTCCTCCTGTAAGATTTTACATCAATCTATGTATGAAAAATGACGTATTTATTGGCTTAAATGAACCAAGATGATTTGACAAGAGTCGAGACACTGTAGCCTATTTACTATAAATGTCCTTGATCATAAATCCGATCGAAACTTTATACATATTATAAATACACTTAGATGGCTTATCTAGAAATGAGATGTAAGTAAGCTTAGTAAAGATTTCGTGGGATTTGCCTGCTAATACGATGATAGCACTTATACCCAGCAATACTATAACCATGATAGATTATGAATGCAAACAAATTGAAAATGGAAACTAGACTTGTGAAAATAAGATGGACATAAATAAAAAAAAATCTTAGCTCATTGCAAACAAATAGACAAGATAGTGACACAAATAGATAATTGAAATGACTCCATTATTAACTATATTTGTTAACTTTTGTCAATATTGACAGGCAAGGGTGAAGAAGATCATGCAGACAGATGAGGATGTTGGGAAAGTTGCAGCTGCTGTTCCTGTCATTATTTGTATCCTCTCATAAACCTGAATTGATTGGTGTTTAGAAGGAGTTTAGGAGGTCAAAATTTGGTATTCACAGACAGTGCTTATAGCTTAGCTTAGTATAGCTTAGTAGTTACTGAACGCAGGCCTTATGCCTCTATGTTCAGATCCAAAACCTTGTCACAATCTATTGGTTTAATGTTGTCACTTCTGGTTGGAATAAAGATGTTATATGTTCTATCCACACTTTTCCAATATTTGTCAAGCCTGTTTTCAAATGAGTCAAAGTTGGCACCTGTACTATATCTTCTGGTAGAGAGTTCCAATCACTTACCACCCTCTTGTTCTTTTGTTTTGAACTCTGATGATTAAGTTTGCAGATTCTTTGTTGTCATGCAATCTTCTCAAGATCTTGACAACCTCAATCATGTCCCCACGGTCCCGTCTGTACTTTAATGATGGCAATTTTAGTCTTATCATTTTCTCAACATATGTTAATTCTTTCATTCCTGGTTAAAGTTTTGTTGCTCTTCTTTGTACATTCTCTAATAAATTAATATCCTGTATATGATGCAGGTTCCAAATACTAGCTCCATACTCCAAATGTGGTCTTACTAACACTTTATATAGTAAACAGAATGATTGTATGCTTGTATGACAAAAAATCTACAAAATACTTACCTTAAATTATAAAGTTTATTTATTTTATAACAATTGCGAAGCAAGTTATTTCAACTTATATTAATCACTCTTTTTGGCCCTGATGTAAGCGTGAGAGGGGTGTTATTGTGGGAGGAAACCAGAGTACCCTGGGAAAACCCATGTGGTCAGGCAGGTGACACTTAACCTTTTCAAGTCCGTTCCGGGAGTCGAACACTGGACGGCTAAGTGAAAGGCGAGCATGTTACCACTGAAAATTGAAATTTCTACTTTTTTATCAGAAATAATTGAGGGACAAGGGACAAAACTATGGATAAAATCAATGGACTAGAACCAAATAAAATATTAACCGTAACACAACCACATGGAAAACTTCATTTCAATAAAATGAAATACTAATAAAACTAAGTTTTAAAGTTTTGAAGCAGCTGTAGATCATCAAATATTTTCTTTCAGCTCATTGGATCGGAGAAGTTTTTACACACTTCCCATTTGATTTTAGAGATGGATTTATCAATAGGATTCATGCCAGCAGTTGCCAATGTTTCATTTTCATTGAAAATAATAGCAGAAAATGGTGATAATTTGAACTCAAATCCTTATTAAACAAATAAAATGGTTTTGGATTGTGAATTGCTGCAAGATGCCTAATAATTGCACCATGCACATATACAAAACATTTATGTATCATTTGCATAGTGTTGGTATCACATTTATATACTTAGTATAATATTACTATACTTTGTATGATATTATTTATAGCAAATATAATATTACTTATACTTAGTATAATGTTTATTACCTTTACCTAGTTTTGGCTTTCTTTAACAACACTTCAGCCAGAGCATTGGAACTTTTTATTGAATCATTGATTAAGAAAACTAGTGAAACAACACAGTCAAGGAATGCCAAAACACTGACTGCAACACATATGTAAGTAACAGTGATTTTTGAAGATTTTACAAGATGTGCAGTTTATCACACAACCTTTAGATTTGAATTCTATGAACTCAAATGTTTGAAATGAGATTTTTAAAAATTGAAGATATGTTTTATTTAATAATGATAATATTATGAAAATGAATATTACTAACAGATATACATAGGTATGCATGACTGTCAGACCGAGAATTCTGTATAAAATCAGTGACGTTTTTATATTTTCAAAATTTTTATGACTGCCATTGCAAAGAGACTGTATTTTGATTACTAACAAGTTTTTTTCCCTTTGAGTATATATTTAATATTTTTCTTCTCTTTCAAGAAAACAAACAATTCATTCAGAAAGAAAATTTGACTTTTTACGAGACCTCGTTGCCACAGTTCCTGATCATCAAGTAGAAGATGAAACAGAATCTTCTACCAACCATAAAAGAAATTACACTCCACGGTATGCTGCTTTTCTACTTGACATTTCATTTAATTTTCTGCTTGATATATCATTTTGAAGGAGATTAACTTTCCTGAAATTTTCTTTTGGAAAATTTATTAGATGGATATATTTTACCTTAAGAATCAGCATACCTAAGGTTCAGATAATTTTCACGAAAAAAAATGTTTCATTCAGACTGAAATTTAAGATTTACAACATCAGTTATGTTAAAGGATGATATTTATCACATTTTTAAAAGATTAAGATGCTATTTCTCAGGGAATCCGGTGTTTTACAGAAATTCTGATATGATTTTATTGTAGACAAAGAAAGGAAAAAGATAAAACCGTAAAACGAAGAAAAAAGAAGACTTCATCAGAAAGTTCTGAAGCCGTAAGTGTATTTGCTGTGAGTCTACGATTTTGTCAAGACACAATCAAAAGTGAAAAAAAAGGAGAACTGAGAGTGGAACCCTTTAATTCCAGATATATCCCTTTGAAACACCTGGTTTTGTTTTTTTATTGTACATTTTTAAGATAAGATTGTCTATCTTATTCCTTCTCCAACCGTGTAATAATGAATCTGAGTTTGAATTAATTTACAGCTTTGTGAATATTCGTGTATTATGTGGCTACCTTGTCACACACTTCTAATAGATCTTCTGAAGAAAGCTTTGTTGTTTAATATACTGTATACAGCGAAAATGAGTTTAAAGACCATCTCAAAATTATGACCACCTTGTGATTAAGACCACTTCATTTGTCCCCAAATATTCCTGTTTTTTAAACTTCACTATTAAAACCACCTCACTATTAAGACCATGTGGCAATAAAGACTAGCTATCAAAAGTCCTATAGACCAACTGTACATTAAATTTCACCTCTCTAATCAGACCACTGACCATTCACAAAATCTCACAAAGTTGCACAGTGTGTATTCTACTGTTTATATCTTACATTCAGACATTTATTGTTCACAACAATTGTTATCAACTATACAATCACCCCACATGCTTTCTCTTCTGTCTCAAGGAAGAAGAAGAGGATGATGAGAGTACAGAGACAGATGAGGAGTGCAACAATGACCCGACACACCTTTATGAGGCATCAACATCTAAAATGACTCACCATCCTGCTGCTTTGCTGAATTCATCTTCCCAGCCGATGGCATTACCACAACCGATGGCTTCTCCGTTCCCCCATATACCACCTGGCTATAGTTCTCATAACCAGAATGTTGACTCAAACATGTATGTTTGTTAATTGGATAAAATGTATATTATATAGGTATAAATGTGGTCATATATCTCCCGATATTTCCTACCCACAGCTGAAAATAATTGTGATTTGAATGTGAAAAAAATATTTTGACATTCCATGGAGTTGTTTCTGTGATTCCAGATCCAGATAAAAGTCATACAAAGTGTTGTTTGATTTTCATTGTTTAATAGTTTATCAAGGTGGTAATTTAAGGATGGCTACAGATTGTTGAGTATTTATCTTAAAATTGTTTTCTAGAGTATGACCCATCAACTTATTTAAATTATTTTGTATTTCAGAGCATAATCTATTACCCTATGTACATAAGTATGTATAGTTTCGTATATTATTTTGTAATTCATTTTTTGAATGATTTATACATTAAATCTTTTATTCCAGAGCACAACCGATTAATCTATGCATTAAGGAAGAGCCAAACAACTTGAATACCACCAGTGATCAAGGTCAAAGTTCAAGGAGAGAGCCAGAACAGAGTGCCCCACATTTTCCCAATAGTGTGTCTCCTGTGCGAATACCTGTTGGGGGAGGCCCCTCTCTTCCCTTCTCAGGACTTCCCCCATTTAAAGCTGTTCCTGGCACCTCTGCTATGTTGGGCACGACAGGGAGTCTAGCCTCCCTTGCCTCTTTTACGCCCTCGGTCCCAGTTACACAGGAAGACGATGATTATGATTCATGATGGAAAATGTGAAAGTTGTGTGGAAACTCTTTATTCAGAACTCTCTCTTGATTCACAGGATTTGATCTTTTGCTAGTGTTCAGAAAAGAAATGTTTTAGGGTCTGATGATTTAAGAAACTGATGTTTGTTGTTTGGTAAGAAAGACAATTTTTAATGTTCTTATAACTCAAGGAAACTTGTGTTTGATGTTTTGTGAGAAAGACAGTTTTTTGAATTCTTACCTGTTAAAGTTTGATGAGTGAATAGATTTATAATTAATATCTACTGTACCAACAAAGTGCTGTATACTTGAAAAATAAACTCTGAATGTAACATAATTACTTACACCAGATAAGATAAGATGAAATCCCAGCACACTGTTTTATATTCTGTTCTTGCTCATAACATTATCAATTTTTAAATGAGATATGACTTTTCGCCAGATTATTTTAAAGGACTTAAATGTGTGAGTTCCACGAATTTGAAATGTGTTCATCAAAGTGCTCATTGCATGATTTTCTATTTAAATCAGTAAGTAATAATTTACTGCATTTGAGGCTGAAATATGAAGTCAAGTCGACTTAAATTTACAAATACTAATCATCCAATACTGTAATGTTTTCAAAGTATATATCAAGCTTTTGCATACTACAGTAATTAGGAATGGGATATTTGCTTTGAATTTAAATCAGAATTTGTTTCTTTGCTATAACAAGAACCAGAATATATTAAGCAATATTTTAAGGCACTACAAATCTCCTTATTAGTTACTGGGAGCTCCCCTAGACCTGGAACCTGTTCTCGAAAACAAATCTCCTTATTAGTTACTGGGAGCTCCCCTAGACCTGGAACCTGTTCTCGAAAACAAATCACCTTATTAGTTACTGGGAGCTCCCCTAGACCTGGAACCTGTTCTCGAAAACAAATCTCACAGATGTTATTGCTCTAGCTTTAATTATAATTTTGTATCTTTACAATATTTAAATGTCTTCCTCTGTACAGGAAGACTTAACACTTATTATTACACTTGCTGTATATTCTCAATACACCTAATACCAGTTAACTCTAATCTCTAATTACCTGCATTTGTTTTAAGGGTAACATAGCATATTAATTTATCAAGTGGAAATGAAAATTCTGATGTGATAAAATAGTTCCAATTGAAACAAGATATTTCTCTGAAGTTTAAAAGTGGAACTGGTCATGCTATTTTGTTGAGATGATCTTGGTTTATTAATCATACCAGTTTGCAAGAACTATACTTCAACATTCAGATGGTAAACACACAGAGGAATTTATTGTTATGTTGGTGTTCCAACAATTATGTCCTCAAATCCTGTAATCCTCTACAGGAATATCATTAAGAACCTAAATGTTACAGATCTTCAGATACAAACAGAATGGGATTATGGACATTTTCCAGAGGCCACGACCAGCCATATTAGAGTTATTTCTCATATGATTAAAATGATCACAATTAATTTTCAGAAATAATTTATGATTAGCATGTGGTGAATTCTCATATTTTAAATTCTCAGATTTAAAGTTTTAGAGGTCAGGCTGCTAGGCCTCTATACCTGTGTGAATGTCAATATTATGTATGTATTGTGGTTCAATCTCATTAAAGTTAAATAATAGGATTTTGTAAAACTTGCAGAATATTGGTTCTAAGTAATAGTGTTGTATATATATTGCATATACATGTATATATCAGGTGTAAGTACCTGATAGATGAATTATACCCAATACCATGGTTATGTCGTGACACAACCTATGAATGTGTAAATGTTGTTACTTGTTAAGTTTGATAGAGATCAACATGTAAAAGTATGTACTGTGTTATGTGTAGACTCCTGAACAGATGTTGTTTAACATCTCTTTAACACATCATTTTATTTTTATTGGCATAAGGTCATTTCCACTTTTTAAAACAAATTTTCTATGCACATATATACCTAATAGCATTTAACTTTTGTTGGACAAATGGCGACTGTAAAAGCTTAATTTTTGCACTAGTGTGATATTCAGTACTAGTCTGTCCTACAGTTTGCCTCCCATTTTTCACTGATGATTCCAATTTTTATATTTTCACAAAATTTTTGAAGGGAAAGGTTGTACTTTCACAAGATAGAATAGACAACCTTTTTTTCATAAATTTTGTCATCCTTGAAAAAAGCTAAAATTGAAATTCCCCCAAAATAACCATGGAAATGCTTAAGTACAATGTTACTGTCAGGGTTTCATTTAAAGCATTTTGTTATATATGATGTGGTGAAAAAGAGAGATATACTTTTATGTAAAGAAATTTTTACTAATACTGGAAAAGGGACATGAAAAAAGGTTGGTGTTGGCAGTGTGTGAATTTCTAACATAATATGCCAGTGCTGTATTTATGTTAACACTTTCTGTCCCTTTCACAGGAGTACATATTATAATGAATGTAACATATATGCTTAAATGCATTTACAGCCTTAGAATCAAATAGAATTGAACAGCTTCTGCACAATTACCCAAGTATTGTTACTTAACTCATATTTATCCTAAATTTGTGTGTACAAAGTCAGTCCTGAGAGGTCTTGATGACAGTACATTGGTACATATGAGTATGATGGGTCACTATGTGACTTTACTACAACAACTCAGTGACTGTTGTGACTTGTGTTAGCGCTATATAAACTAGACGAGAGGCCTGTTGTTGTGTTAGTAGATTGTTACTACAGTGTGTTGTCTTTGTATCTTTGATCTCGATTTCAATAAAACACTGTATATTTTTGGAGATAATTCTGTGTGCATTCCTTTTAATGTAGTGGGGCATCTGTAGAGTTCGTTGATGATAGTCAAAATTATACTTTGTAAACAAAGAACAGTGAAAAGTACAGACATAGGTCATATCAAATATCCCTATCCTTTCTCTATCCACATACTGTCATCAAACTCTACACAAACATTTATCTAGTCCTTGACAAATTGTGCCAAGAAATTATTTAGACAATTCATCCTGATTAGTGTGGTCAAAAATATCATTTGCTTCTTTTGTACTCGACCTAAAGCACTTCAAGCAAATCACTCTTAAGATTTTCATCTACATACAGACACTCTGACTCCAGTAACATCCAGTCCCTCTCCCCTCACCCCATAAGTTGTTAGAGAGGTTCTTGTTGAAGACACCCCTACATTCTCACCCCATAACTTGTTAGAGGTTCTTGTTGAAGACACCCCTACATTCTCACCCCATAACTTGTTAGAGGTTCTTGTTGAAGACACCCCTACATTCTCACCCCATAACTTGTTAGAGGTTCTTGTTGAAGACACCCCTACATTCTCACCCCATAACTTGTTAGAGAGGTTCTTGTTGAAGACACCCCTACATTCTCACCCTATAACTTGTTAAAGAGGTTCTTGTTGAAGACACCCCTACATTCTCACCCCATAACTTGTTAGAGAGGTTCTTGTTGAAGACACCCCTACATTCTCACCCCATAACTTGTTAGAGAGGTTCTTGTTGAAGACACCCCTACATTCTCACCCCATAACTTGTTAAAGAGGTTCTTGTTGAAGAAACAGGTTAGCAGCTGTACAAATCATGACAATATCACAGCATTGTTTCAAATACCTTTTTTTATTACATAAAAGTTCAGAAATAAATTCATATTTAGATAACATAACCAATAATCCTAACTGTTGATTTTTATTCTATATAATTTGTAAATCAATATCTGACAAATCACCAGCAATTTCTCATTGACTGGTGTAAACAACTTTAATTCTCACATTTATCAATGTGCAAGTTGCTGCAAATTCTCTGTAATTGTATGAGTCACTACTAGAGACTTTCACCAGTATGAATCAGATGAAGTCTGATTACCACTTGTCCCTTGCCAACTCCTATGAAATGTACTGTAGAATGATGAGTTAAACCACCACACTAGTCATTTTGTATAATCTACACTTTTGACCAGTCTTTCAGTCTTTTCGAGTCATGACCTCAATCATCACTATAGTCGTTGTCTATGTAATCTATGTTCACTTGCGGCCAGACTGTCCCTTTTTACTGCTGAACCGCTGGCTTCCTTTAAACTTTGGTTTTGACTTGTGAGTTGATTGTTTAAAGGGTTTCTTTGATTTGTGTTTGAAGTTTCTCCTGTCACCTCTTCCGGACATCTTTTTCTCTCGCTTCATTTCCCATAATAACTGCTTCTCGCCTACAAAATCAAATTAATTTACTGATCAGATTTCAGAAACTGCAGCGTAATAAAAATTGTCATTTTTTCCTTCTGTTTTTGACCACAGTAATTAATGATGACCCTGGCTGTTTCTTAAGCAGTAGACCCAGCAAACAGACCAACTCGGTCTTCTACTGTATACAAAATTCAGAGAAGGAACTTTTCAGTTTGGATGACTACAGGATACTTACTAGCATTTTCTTTGTTAGATACAGCATGTGATGTAGTCATATCTAATTTTGAGGCGCCTGTTTCATCAAGAAGATGTGAAAACTGGAAAAGTCAAATGTGTAGATCAACAATCAAAAGTAAAGTTAACAGTGAACACTCGCTGATTAGGATTAATCTGTCTACCAATATCATACGATTATCTCAGATAAAATGAAGATGTTTAATTAAGACAATGGAAGTGTGAATATGGTTTAAGGGTAGCCTTCATTATTTATTACTTACGTCATCTGCAGATGCAAAAATACTAGATAACCCTTTGGAGCTGAAAAATAAAATAAAACATTTTTTTCAACAATTCATTATTAAAAATGTATTTAACAAGTACATGTCATTATTGTGTGAAATATTATTACAGATTCCAACAAAGTACCCTTTTGGAAATTATACAATTCTTATCACAACCTGAGCAATAGCTAAACAAGGATACAAATAGTTCACCTGGTATTTAAAGTTCATCAAAAATAGATTCAGTGTTCATCTCAAATAGAATAACATATACACCATTGACATTAAAAGTGGGCACAGCCAATTAATTTTAACTGATTTCCATAACAAACAGCTTCTACTACTGAACTCTAAACAGCTACAGAAATGACCTGAATAATAGGTAAATGTCATTTCTTAGACCTAAAAATGCCTTTCCACCAAATTTCCTTCATCATAGACTTTTAGTTGACTGAAAGGTTACAGGTTTTTACAATTTGACATTTTTTGACTTTTCATTTTTACACACTTTGTTGGGCTTCATTCTAGGAATCTCATATATCTAGAATTACATTATAAACAGGTTTACTTTTTGGACTTTTTCTTTGGTGAAATCATCCACTCTTCATTCCCAGGACGCTTCTTTGACTTCAGCTGAGGTTCAGCAAACTCATCTACAATAAAAAAAGTTCGAGAATGATACACAGCTGAACTATGGCCCTTATGACCTTTTATGTGTTGACTGGTCGTTAAGAATGTCACTAACAACCACAAACTGTTCCATCCACAGTAATTCAGTTATTTCACATTCTAGCGACACCATTAGAGATACAATATAAAGGACCAACAAGGATCCAATGAACATACTGTAAAAATTGTAATTTCCAAGGGTTCTGTTTTTCGTGATTTTTGAGGACAGAATTAAACCATAAAAATAGATTACTTGGAAAAGAAAATTTACAGAGACAAGCATAATCTGTGTCATGACTTCCTCTTTGCTTCAAATGTTTGGTAAACCAAAGCAATTTAGACCACCCCTTTATCCTGAGCCGGAGAAAACAAAATAGGATAGAATTCCTAAAATATTACAATGTTATTTCTGTGTTAGTGATTATCAAAATTGTACTTCAAGATTAAATGATAAAATAATTACCGTCATCAGAAAATTCTATATCTTCCTCATTAAATTCATCCTCAACATCGTTGTCTGTTATATCCTCCTCTTCCCCCTCCTCTTCCTCATCATCATCATTATCATCATCAGCATCGTCATCCTCGAAATCTTCAAAAGCTGCCTTGAAATCATCATCATTATCAAAGTCCATTTCCTCATCAGACAAATTACCAAAGTCATCTTCATCATCATCATCATCATCATCATAATCATCATCATCATCATCATCTTCTTCTCCTTGCTTTCGTTTCTTCTTTGATTTCTTCCCCATAGATCTACACAACGGAAGAATGATTGGTGAACTAATGTCTTTTTTTATTACTGATCTCTGACTGGAGGAAAAGTAACTAGAATTTGGTTCAGGACATTGATTATGTAACGATATGAACTCTCCTCAGTTTCAATTTACTTCCATTAAACTTCTGATAAAATCATGTCATCTTAAAATTATTATTATATTGGGAAAACAATCCCACAATGCTGAAAATTCCATTTCTTAATATCATTTGTCATGTCTGATGAAAAAATCTTACGCTGCAAAGTCTACATCTGAGAAATCAAACGTTATTCCAGCCCCGCCTTCAAGCTCCCTTTCATATTTATCTGAAATCAACAAAATATTAATCATTAATGCTGAAAGTTACAACTGTATTGTTTTCTAGAAAGCTGAACTCTGCAATTATAAATTTTGTTATTGTTATTATTAGCTAAACGATGATCACACTGCAGATCCACTAAGGTATACTTAATGAGGTTATGAACTTACCAAGGTAGTCATCGAAATCATCATCACAAACACTGCCATCATCATCACTCCCATCACCAGTCTTCTTTGCCTTTCCACTTAGAGCCTCTTTCTGGGTGAAGTACCTATTATTACCAAATCCAAAAATTAGTTAAGATTTCAATTTTACAAAAAATTTCTCCTAAATGCATGTTATATACATAGTTTAAAGGTGTGAATTTGTGTTTATTACCAATTCTCTGAAAACAAGTTTTCCCCACATTACTCAGTGTCAAAAATATATTCTCCTTTTTATAAAATGGAAAGTTAATGAGCAACAATATGGAAAGGAAAATAATGCAATATCACTAAGAACAGATCTGGTACATTTTTTCTTTCACCTGTTATATCTGACACCTTGTGGTACAGAAGCTAACATATTGTCCAGATTAACCTGTCTAATCTGACTCCCTCTGGGACACATCATACTGGTCTGATTAACCTGTCTAACCTGACACCCTGTGGTACACAACATTTTGGTTATTTTAACCTGTCTAATCTGACATTTTGTAATTATATTTGGACAATGGATTACAGCATTGTGTCTAACAAATTGTTTGTAAATTTCAGGGTCATATTACACTGGTTTCATTGTTTTCTTTCAGATGACACAGAAGAATTGACTTTAATATCAAGCTTACTTATGGAAAAATTTCTCTTCAACAGGTATTTCACTTTCATCCTTTTCTATGTAGCTTTGGCTGTTGATGGCAAACTTCCTGGCTCCAGTCAATGGATCTCGTTGCTTTGTTCTCGTCTTCGATAAAATTCCTGCATTTTCTGGTACTGTAATTCAAATTAGATGAACGAATATGTTTTCCACTCAGAAAATATAAAAAAGATATTTTAAAACAAAATGATTCTAAATCTCAATGGAATTTTATTATGACAAAATATTGTTAGGGGATATGACATTTATTTCTCTTGAAGTTGAAAGACAGTTTTATTCTGTTTTTTTTTATTGGTTTTTTGTTTTTGTTTTTTTTCCCCCACATATTGGAAAATTCTTCATAGAAAACTAAGATGACTTAATTTTCAACTTTGAACAAGAACTTACTGTTTTGCTGCTGTTTGGGATTCTTGTAGACAAACCTTTCAAGAAATCGAATGGTTGTAAAGTCGTGTAGAGGATCTCCTCCATATGTGATAGGCTCACCCTAGAGAGATACAAGTTAATTCAGAACCTAATTACTTTTCATCATATCCACCCTGGAGAGATACAAGTTAATTCAGAACCTAATTACTTTTCATAATATCCACCCTGGAGAGATACAAGTTAATTCAGAACCTAATTACTTTTCATCATATCCACCCTGGAGAGATACAAGTTAATTCAGAACCTAATTACATTTCATCATATCCATCCTAGAGAGATACAAGTTAATTCAGAACCTAATTACTTTTCATCATATCCATCCTAGAGAGATACAAGTAAACAAAGGACCAAAGCGTGTCTATATCACAAATAGGTCCTGTTACCCCACCCTAGTGTCTATCACAGAGAAAGCTCCTATCACCCTTGCGTCTTTATCACAGAGAAAGCTCCTATCACCCTAGTGTCTATCTCACAGAGAAAGCTCCTATCACCCTAGTGTCTATCACAGAGAAAGCTCCTATCACCCTAGCGTCTTTATCACAGAGAAAGCTTCTATCACCCTAGTGTCTATTTCACAGAGAAAGCTCCTATCACCCTAGTGTCTATCACAGAGAAAGCTCCTATCACCCTAGCGTCTTTATCACAGAGAAAGCTCCTATCACCCTAGTGTCTATCTCACAGAGAAAGCTCCTATCACCCTAGCGTCTTTATCACAGAGATAGTTCCTATCATCCTAGTGTCTATATCACAGAGATAGCTCCTGTCATTCTTGGTGTCTATCTCACAGACAAAATTAACAATAGTGTTGCTTGATTACCTACCTTGAGAAGGGTTTGAGCAAACAGAGCGATAGATGGATGGAAATGTGCAGCAAGTTTCTCTAGCTCCCACATGCATTCCTGCTCTGCTCGGCAATGTAAAGGATTTCTCACAAACGGGTCATAAATCATACTTCTCCCTGCTATAGAAAAAATGTTCACACCTAAATATGATAAGTGTAAAAAGTTTGTGTCAAATATTTCAAATTTCTATACCATCTGGGCTCATACCAATTGACAATATAAATGTACTGTGAAATTTTCATGAAACGTTTGTGTAAGATTTAAAAAATATCAGAATTTTCCAAAACATTTTCTATTATTTGATCAGGCCGATTTGACATGAGAGACCTAAAGTCATTTAATAAATATGTACAATTTAATGGAAAAGGTAATTGATAACCAATATCTCAGAAACTGTTTGCACCTGGTGATTTAAACAAATCATCTCCAACATCACGTTAACCAACAGATTTTTTTGAACCCAGGCACTTGACTTCCTTTTGACAGAGAGATTCGCTTGACCTTGATCCCATGACCTAACCTTGACCCTCATATTTGTAGCACTAAGGTCATTCAGCTCACCTTGACTTATAGATTTATGTATCCATGAGGATCCTATCACTGGCTTTACATCCTCAGGGAACTCCTGTTTGATCACAACCACATCTTCGCCTGGAGCAGGAAGGTCAGTGAAGTGTTCCTCTTCATCATCATCCTCCTCTTTATCATCATCACAACCCTATAAAATATTGTAAAACACTCATGAAGAAGCATCAAACATATTTTTCTGAAAATATAAGTAGAGAGCTCATCATATAACAGAGGAAATGTACTGGAAAAGCCATCACTTCATTGGTTATTCTTTAAACAATGCACTGAGTGAATGTTTCTTTTTACATACCAGTATATTATTAATATTATTAACTTTGACAACAATTTTGATTTCTTAACATGCATTTTAACAATGGGCATCATTACAGTTTTCATGCAGCCAGTTATTTCCTATCAAACATAAAATTGGTTTAAATTCAAAACAAAAAAAAAAACAACAATAATGAAGTATTCTGTAATCAATTGTTTGGCAATGTTACCATGGTTTTGTGTTGGGTGATAATAGCATAAGGCTGTGTTTTGATGACCTCCCCCAGCAGGACCAGGGCAGCACAGGTAAACTGCGGAGACTGGAACGGACAGATCTGTAGCAGACGCTTAATGAAGGCCTACAACAAATTACAGGTACCATAACATAAATCTAAATACAGTGAACACTAATGATTACACAAGAGCACCGAGGCCACTTTCATTTTTTAGCAAAAAAAATGAATTTGTTTAAATTTAATCAGTTTGCCAACAGTTAAAGTATTTCAGGCATAAATTGAAACAGGCTCCAAACTTATTGTCGAGGCTCATAAGAAAGCCAAACAAAATCAGTAGGTAAATCCTTATTTCTTAAACAATCATGGCCCAACTGGTTAAACTGTTAAATGAAGCCAGTGTGTCAATATATATAGAATAGGAGCATCTTTAAAAATTCTTTACAATTAATGTCATAGAATGTATTGCCAGACAAGAATATTAAAAGTACACACCTTGACTCGCCTTTCAGCCACATCTTTCTTTATACTTTTGAAGAGTAGGTTTAAGAATGTGGCTTGTCTGGCAGAGGTACACAGAGTTGGGTCTATCATCTTCTTATAGAGGGCCACGTAGTATCGATCTGAGACACTATGACTGTAGGAAACATGATCAGAAAGGTATTTGATCACCGACAAGAGTAGAACTCCATGAAAGATTTTTGTTTTAAATCAGCATATGAAATAACTTAAACAATCATTCAAGAGCATCTCTGAAGAAAACCTTCAGATTAATAAATCTAAATACTGACCTCATTAAATGTAAATAGCTGTTTAAGCTTACCTGGAGTCCATCACCTGGTACAGTAACATGAGGGCCTGAAGACTAGTGTTAAAGTTCACCAAGTGTACAATCTTATACAATGTATCCATCTGTTCGCTGATAAACTTCTCTTCACCTGTTGAATATCAACAGACAAGCATAAACGTTCACCCATCTGTTCACTGATAAAATTCTCTTCACATGTTAAATATCAATAGACCAGCATTAATGTTTACCAAGTGTACAATCTTATACAACATATCAGTCTGTTCACTGATAAAACTCTCTTCACATGTTAAATATCAGTAGACCAGCGTTAATGTTTACCAAGTGTACAATCTTATACAACATATCAGTCTGTTCACTGATAAAACTCTCTTCACATGTTAAATATCAGTAGACCAGCGTTAATGTTTACCAAGTGTACAATCTTATACAACATATCTATCTGTTCACGATAAAATTCTCTTCACATGTTAAATATCAGTAGACCAGCGTTAATGTTTACCAAGTGTACAATCTTATACAACATATCAGTCTGTTCACTGATAAAACTCTCTTCACATGTTAAATATCAGTAGACCAGCGTTAATGTTTACCAAGTGTACAATCTTATACAACATATCTATCTGTTCACGATAAAATTCTCTTCACATGTTAAATATCAGTAGACCAGCGTTAATGTTTACCAAGTGTACAATCTTATACAACATATCAGTCTGTTCACTGATAAAATTCTCTTCACATGTTAAATATCAACGGACTAGCTTTAAAGTTCATGAAGCATACCAAGAAGTTCATCAAGTGTACAATCTTATACAACAGATCTATCTGTTCACTGATAAAATTCTCTTCACACATTAAATATCAACAGACCAGTGTTAAAGTTCACCAAGTGTACAATTTTATACAATATGTCCATAAGCTCAGTGAAAATTTCTCTTCACCAGTTTAAGATTGACAGACTGGTGTGAAAGAGAAAGGCAGCCTGCATGTCAGATATTTACCATCCACAGTATCACTGTATCAGAAACACATTTGTCTTCCTTTACTTATCAAACTCAGAGTCAACAGCATGTTTATAAATACCTTTGGCAAATGGATATGCTCTGTTGACACCTGTGAGCAGGCCACTCATCATCTTACTGTCCACCTCACCTCTCTTCACGAATGCCTACACAACAGAAATCAAAGCTTTAAATATACAGCCTGCACTTTCATCAATTAAAATACAGGAACTGTCCACTTAATATTTGACAAATACATTAACTGATGTAAATATTTACAGCCAACAGCCAAATAAGTAACAACATACCTTGAAGAAAGAAAAGTAAAGTCGTATGAGTTTGGTAGCAAGCTGCAATTCCTCCTCACTCAGCATCAGCTGGTTTAGGAAACATATACCATAATATCTGTAACAAGTGTGGAGAGGTCATAGGTCAAAATCACAGTTCGAGTTACAGGAGGTACTATGTTGTAGGGACTGACAATATTTGAACTTAAATTGACAACAAATTTTGCTACTCCTTTATATTTTGATATTATGTTCATTCACCAGTTGGTTAAGATATCACTATGATTAACTAACTACTGTATTAAAGTCCTTTATCCAGCATTTTGTGCAGAGATGACTTCCAATCATTCTGTCAAGACAAATCAGGAATACCCCCCACAGGCACTACTGTTGCAATAAGGACCTACCAGAAAGTGATTTACATATGTATTTTAAGTTACTTGTCTGCTTTTTGATATTAGATTGAAATTATCTTTTAAAATCAATGTTGTTCAAGGATAATTCATCAGAAGACTGTACAAGTCCACTTTCAGGATGAAAATAACTGTATCCCAACCTCTCCAATGAAAATCACAATGTTTATAATACTCACTGGGCTCTCTGTGAGATATTAGGTCTGTAGAGTAAACGTTCCACCTCCCCAACTACCACTGCCTTCATGTTTGGGTGCTTGTCAACTGAAACATTTAAATGAATTAAATGATTTTTCCATACTTAAATTTGACTTAAACAAAATTTTGTTCTTAAACTCAATTTTTTTCAATGATTTACTTAGAAACATATAAACCTCAAGCAGAAAACTACCAGTATTTACCAATGTACAACAAGTTTTGGTACGTCAAAAATCTGTCCCCTAGATTTTTAAGGAATAAATCCAAGTAAATGAATCTTATTTCTGAAAAAGTAATTAATACATGTATTGCTGACATAGTAGGATTCTATCTAACTTATCATAAAGGAACCTAAATATTGGAAACAATGTAAGAGTGTACAGTCAAGTTTGTGTAATATCAAACAAGACTGTTGTAATTACTCACCAAGTCGAGTGAGAAGATGTGTTGACTTGGCCGCCAACTTGTAGTCAGGATCCCCTAGCTTGTTCACCAGCATGGACAGTAAAAGCTGGACAGACAATCAAGAGTTATCATCAGAATGTCATGAATGACTTTTACAGATCTAAACAGGTATGGTGAGGAAATTCCTCAAATGCTTGTCAAGTATCAGGGGGTGGAAGAAGGCCTGTTACATTAGTTGTAATAGTTTTCTTAATTGATTAATCTGTCTCCAACCTTGAAGTCTTTCTAGGGCATTAATGATCATGTCAGTACTGCAATCATTACAAGTTTCATAAAAAGTTATTTTTTTTCCTGAATCTATGATCTCTTGTCCCAGAATTAATGCGGAAAAAGATCTCACAATTCACTACCATCAGTTAACACTCTCTAATCTTTAAGTTACCTGTTCCTGTTCAGGTTTGTCAGCCAATAATTCATAAATTGTACCTGAAAAAAAAACATATCAGATAACACTACACTTTAACTCAGGTCATTGTATTCTATAGTTGTTTAATTTCAGGGGCTTAATACTTTACACCATTTTATCTCAGGTCATTATGTATGTATGTCATAACTGAAATCATGAAAAGAAGTTATTTTGAATAAAAAAGACCACAGATTCCAAAAGTATTCCAATATCACATTTTACATGTACCAGACAACATAATCTTTCAAATAATTAAGGATTCCCAGTAAAGGTCTGGCAATGGCCTGATGTTCTAAAAAGACTATGGTGTAAAGAAGAGAGTACCACTGAAGAGATATTTTGTGTTGTTAACAAACCTTTAAGACATCAATATAAATTTCTTTGGGCCATTAATATGAAAAATTAACCTGTACTTACTGATAGCTTTCTGCTTAGCAGCCTGTATTGTATCTTTCGACATCATCTGAAGGTAAATTAGTAACATGTCATGGAAATAAATTGGATGATATTGCCTTAATAGATTTACAATAACTTCAAATCTGAGAAAAATTTGAAGTAAAAGAAAATCTCATTTAAGACTTTGCTTGTTGTTACGTTTATCACCCCATGAAGAGCTATAGTAATATTATACAAGAGGCAGTCGCCACAGATCAGTGGTTTTTCTCTTGGAACTCTGGCTTTACTCCACCAACCAAACCTGGCATGTCCTTAAATGACTTTGGCTCTTACTAGGACATAAAGCAACAATAAAGTAAACAAGTAAAACATTTCTTTTTATACTCATTCCATTCTGAATGGTGCAAGTAGATGAATGATCTGTAATGGTGTTATAAATGTTTTTTGATATCATAAGAAGTTTGATTTATAAGAAATAAGTAACCATAAGAGGATTTACCTTGTGTTCATTTAAAAAGAAAAAGGATACTTACTGAACCAACTGGTAACCTGCTAAAATCATTCATCGACAAATGAAAAGATTGTAAAACTTGGTAACCTGGCTTCCAAACTTACATCTAAAGCATTAATGAAGTCTAAGTATTTGTTGTGGAGTTGTGATTCGAACCAACAGAGAATCAGCTTCCTGTCGACCGTGTCTTTGTTCCCACCTGATGTTGTTTCTATAGCAACCAGGTCAAACTAAAACCAGCAAAATTTGTTGATATCATGGATCGTCATCATCAAAAAGTGAACGCTTTGTAAATCACAATGGTAACATTATAACTAGGAAGTATCTACACCCAGTATGTTCAGATTAGCTAGACCATACCTAAAACTTATCAAATTAAAAAGTGTTATCCTAGTCAAGCTCATTTCCAAATCAAATTAAATCCTGTCTAATCTGACCTCTCAGTATCCTGAAATACTGTCTAAAAAAATAATCTGACCCCTGAATATACCAACATCCTGTCTAATCTGACCCCCGAATATACCAACATCCTGTCTAATCTGACCCCTGAATATACCAACATCCTGTCTAATCTGATCCCTGAATATACCAACATCCTATCTAATCTGATCCCTGAATAAACCAACATCCTGTCTAATCTGACCCCCGAATATACCAACATCCTGTCTAATCTGACCCCTGAATATACCAACATCCTGTCTAATCTGATCCCTGAATATACCAACATCCTATCTAATCTGATCCCTGAATATACCAACATCCTGTCTATTCTGACTTCTGAATATACCAACATCCTGTCTAATCTGATCCCTGAATATATCAACATCCTGTCTAATCTGACCCCTGAATATACCAACATCCTGTCTAATCTGACTTCTAAATATACCAACATCCTGTCTAATCTGATCCCTGAATATACCAACATCCTGTCTAATCTGACCCCTGAATATACCAACATCATGTCTAATCTGACTTCTGAATATACCAACATCCTGTCTAATCTGACCCCTGAATATACCAACATCATGTCTAATCTGACCCCTGAATATACCAACATCCTGTCTAATCTGACCCGTGAATATACCAACATCATGTCTAATCTGACTTCTGAATATACCAACATCCTGTCTAATCTGATCCCTGAATATACCAACATCCTGTCTAATCTGACCTCTGAATATACCAACATCCTGTCTAATCTGATCCCTGAATATACCAACATCCTGTCTAATCTGACCTCTGAATATACCAACATCATGTCTAATCTGACTTCTGAATATACCAACATCCTGTCTAATCTGATCCCTGAATATACCAACATCCTGTCTAATCTGACCCCTGAATAAACCAACATCCTGTCTAATCTGATCCCTGAATATACCAACATCCTGTCTAATCTGATCCCTGAATATACCAACATCCTGTCTAATCTGACCCCCAAATATACCAACATCATGTCTAATCTGACCTCTGAATATACCAACATCCTGTCTAATCTGACCTCTGAATATACCAACATCCTGTCTAATCTGACCACTGAATATACCAACATCCTGTCTAATCTGACCTCTGAATATACCAACATCATGTCTAATCTGACCTCTGAATATACCAACATCCTGTCCAATCTGACCCCCAAATATACCAACATCATGTCTAATCTGACCTCTGAATATACCAACATCCTGTCTAATCTGATCCCTGAATATACCAACATCCTGTCTAATCTGACCTCTGAATATACCAACATCATGTCTAATCTGACCCCCAAATATACCAACATCCTGTCTAATCTGACCTCTGAATATACCAACATCCTGTCTAATCTGATCCCTGAATATACCAACATCCTGTCTAATCTGACCCCTGAATATACCAACATCCTGTCTAATCTGACCCCCAAATATACCAACATCATGTCTAATCTGACCCCCAAATATACCAACATCCTGTCTAATCTGACCTCTGAATATACCAACATCCTGTCTAATCTGATCCCTGAATATACCAACATCCTGTCTAATCTGACCCCTGAATATACCAACATCCTGTCTAATCTGACCTCTGAATATACCAACATCCTGTCTAATCTGATCCCTGAATATACCAACATCCTGTCTAATCTGACCTCTGAATATACCAACATCATGTCTAATCTGACTTCTGAATATACCAACATCCTGTCTAATCTGATCCCTGAATATACCAACATCCTGTCTAATCTGACCCCTGAATAAACCAACATCCTGTCTAATCTGATCCCTGAATATACCAACATCCTGTCTAATCTGATCCCTGAATATACCAACATCCTGTCTAATCTGACCCCCAAATATACCAACATCCTGTCTAATCTGACCCCTGAATATACCAACATCATGTCTAATCTGACCCCTGAATATACGAACATCCTGTCTAATCTGACCCCTGAATATACGAACATCCTGTCTAATCTGACCCCTGAATATACCGACATCCTGTCTAATCTGACCCCTGAATATACGAACATCCTGTCTAATCTGACCCCTGAATATACCGACATCCTGTCTAATCTGACCCCTGAATAAACCAACATCCTGTCTAATCTGACCCCCGAAAATACCAACATCCTGTCTAATCTGACCCCTGAATATACGAACATCCTGTCTAATCTGACCCCTGAATATACGAACATCCTGTCTAATCTGACCCCTGAATATACCGACATCCTGTCTAATCTGACTTCTGAATATACCAACATCATGTCTAATCTGACCCCTGAATATACCGACATCCTGTCTAATCTGACCTCTGAATAAACCAACATCCTGTCTATTCTGACCCCTGAATATACCAACATCCTGTCTATTCTGACTTCTGAATATACCAACATCCTGTCTATTCTGACTTCTGAATATACCAACATCCTGTCTAATCTGACCTCTGAATAAACCAACATCCTGTCTAATCTGACTTCTGAATATACCAACATCCTGTCTAATCTGATCCCTGAATATACCAACATCCTGTCTAATCTGACTTCTGAATATACCAACATCCTGTCTTATCTGACTTCTGAATATACCAACATCCTGTCTAATCTGACCCCTGAATATACCAACATCCTGTCTTATCTGATCCCTGAATATACCAACATCCTGTCTAATCTGACTTCTGAATATACCAACATCCTGTCTTATCTGATCCCTGAATATACCAACATCCTGTCTAATCTGACTTCTGAATATACCAACATCCTGTCTAATCTGACTTCTGAATATACCAACATCCTGTCTTATCTGATCCCTGAATATACCAACATCCTGTCTAATCTGACTTCTGAATATACCAACATCATGTCTAATCTGACCCCTGAATATACCAACATCCTGTCTAATCTGACTTCTGAATATACCAACATCCTGTCTAATCTGACCCCCGAATATACCAACATCCTGTCTAATCTGACTTCTGAATATACCAACATCCTGTCTAATCTGACTTCTGAATATACCAACATCCTATGTAATCTGGCCCCCGAATATACCAACATCTTATCTAATCTCACCCCCGAATATACCAACATCCTGTCTAATCTGACCCCTGAATATACCAACATCCTGTCTTATCCAACACTTGAGTATCCTATGTTATCTGATCCCTGAGTATCCTGACATCTTGTGTAATCTTACCCCAAAGTATCCTGACATCCAGTCTGATCTGACCCCTGAGTATCCTATCTGATCTTACCCTTGAATTTCCCAACATCCTGTCTAATCTGACACCTGAGTATCCTGTGCAATCTGATTCCTGAGTATCCTGACATCCTGTCTAATCTGACCCCTGAGTATCCTTTCTAATCTGACACACAAATATTCTGACATTGTGTCTAATCTGACCTGCAAGTATTCTGACATACTGTCTAGTATGACCACTGAATATTCTGACCTTGACTTATCTCACCCCCGAGTATCTCAACATCCTGTCTAATCTGACCACTGAGTATCCTGTCCAATCTGATCCACCTGAATATTCTAAAATCAATAATATCATATAATGGGATAATTCCATATCTTAAAAATATAGGTAGGACTAGTACATTCCAACAACCTAACCAATATACATTTGACAGATGCCAAACTACACAAGTCTCATACAATATTTCTATTTGTTCACATTCTATGCCAGATAAAAAACACTTGTGTCATACACCCAACATAGCATAATGTAAAACAAATGACCAACACACCTGGTGAAACTGTCTCAGCTTTCTGTTTTCTGGTAACAAGTGTGAGGTAAACAGCTCGCGTAGTGTATCTGTAAACAGTAACACGTATCTGAGAGTTATCCTACAAATATATGCCATGCTATCTCTTCTAGTTTTTGTTTTGAATGTAGGGCAATCACTGACAGTGAATTCAACATGGACTACTTTATCATATTAACACTTACCTATATCTATACACTCAATAATCTTTCAAAAAGTACAAGAAACTATTGACAAGTTAACAAAAGTGATGAGACATGGGCTTAACATGAAGAAATGAAAGATTTACATGGACATTCTTAAAATAAAATATCAAGAGAATAAGACCAGATGTTCTGAGGAAATGAAATAGCTATCAATACTGTAAAATTCTTAATCTATGAGTGGGATTTATTTTCCTAGTTATTGTGGGTGCTCTTGATCCACAAATTTATATGTCCATGAAATGACACAAAGATAAAAGTTGACATGATTGTACAGCAATGAGGCCAAATAAAAACAACAGTTTTTGGAGATGCTTAGCATAAAATTCATTACATAGGCAAGAAAAAAGTACTATCTTGCTTAATTATATTTTTATATTTAAATTTTTGCATTATCCTTTCAATTCTTCCTGTATGTAATAATAAGATCCATTTATGGAAACAGCTTTCATAGGCTAGGCCTGTTGATATTTCTTCTTTCATTAAGATCTTGATAACAGAATATCTAAAAATGAAATCAGATCAATTTAATACAAAATATTGAAAACATATTGTTAAATCAAACCTTCAATAAACTTACCTGCAGCCATCATACATTCACGTTTGCCCTTTTTCTTCGCCATGGCAATGAGACTGTCCAGACTGCTGAGGCAGTGGATTGGAGATTCCTGTACCAGTAGGGTCAGAGCTGCGATCTTATCTGACAATGTCCCTGATACAAGAACGGTTTTCATCCATCCAGCTTCAGATTTCTTTTTTGATTCCCATTCTGTGGAGATCACAGGAAATCAGATTGGTTTGACATGTAATTGAAACTAATACTGGGACAAATTCCTTCTATGTCTGATGTATTTCTTTGTTATTTAAAATATAAAACTATTTGCTTCAGTAATGGTGATAAAGTTTGATTGATCAAAATTGGAAAGAAATTCGTTAAAACATATAGCTGTTGGGAAGATGGAGATCCTTTGTTTCAGCGTTTTCTTTTAACAAGACCAAGTTTTAACAAACAGGTGTATATAGTTTTGCTTCTGGAAAATATCTATAAACATAAAACTTGAATCTCCAGTTTTTTTTATCATATTGGATTTTCTTTTAACATTCCTACATTTTATAAAGATAAAAAAAAAACATACGCTTGGTGTGAACTTTAACCTCATCAGCTAACAGCTTGGATGCAAAGCTCTCCATTTCTTTCTCCAAGTCATGATCCATACTGTTTGAGTCTTTCCCCAGCACTGGTAAAGTATCCTGTTGGTTATATAGTGATAAACAATCAATGTCTCCCCATTGTAGATTGAAATAAAACTTTTTTTTTACAATGAAATCACTTTTAGTTCTTCACAGGGTCTTTTTCTGTAGTGATTCCATTATTTGCTCCTGCAAGGGTCGATATTTGTTCAAGAGACAGACTTACTAGAAACTATACCCAAAATATTTGTAAAGTAGCTGCTATTTTTATTTCAAAACTTGGACATGTCAGTTCAATCACTTCTCGAATAAAAGATGAAATGTTTTGACAATGCTGTATATCCCAGACTGACCTCTCAGTGGTGTAGTGACCACTAACCTCTTTGTCCTGCCACTGATGACCATGTCTGACCAGTAGATAGTTGCGGGGCTGGTACAGCAGCATGTGACCCTTGAGCCCCTTAGACTGGCTAAGTGAGGAACTGGATACCTCTGGATGTTGTACAAGTGATTTGTACTTGTTCCTTTGCTTTTTTTGTGGGGTTGACGAAACAGCCTCAACAGCATCTTGTTTCTTCTTGTTTTTCTCCTCTTTCTTTTCTTTTGTTAACTTTTCAACATTTGTTTTTGTCTCCTCATCACTGAAATATGATTGCATGCATGCTTTTTAAATTTGAATTTACAATTTAATCATCCTTTCCTAGTACATGTTTTACTGCAAATAGCAAGAATCTTTATGAGAGTCACATCTCTAGCTCTTAAGATTTATATTAGTAGTGCACAACATTCCACATCACTTGACATAAAATGACTGGCATCTCCTACAGTAAAGTATCAACAAATGCTGTTTTATAGTTCTGTAATAAGCCATGACCGGTAATAAGGCAAATATATCAGATGCTTCTTAGTAAATTATCTAAATATGCTGTTTTCTTGTCCCGTAATAAGCCAAATATATCAACAGCTTCTCAGTAAATTATCAACAAATGCTGTTTGATTGTCTCGTAATAAGCCAAATATATCAACTGCTCCTCAAGATCTGTAAATTATCAACAATGCTATTTTATCTTCCAGTAATAAGCCCACCTCTATTAACTGCTCCTCAGTAAAAGTATCAACACATGGTGTTTTATAATTCTGAAATAAGCCCATCCCCTGACTTTGAGTCAGAGATAATGTGTTGACTCCATAGATTCATTACAGTACAACAGACCCAACAGTTTTCTTCATGTCTTAAGTTTTATAGCCATGTTTTAATGTTTTGGTTTGATATAGATAGATGACACACCAGCAACAATCATGCCCCATATACATCAAATAAAGAACTAATAGATAAGTACAATTAAACTGGATTGTGTTATGGAATTTGGAATAGTTTCAACACATTTACACAAAACAATTTCTTATTAAAAACTTTTCTCATACTTTGTTACTTAAAAGATTTGTTCCTCTGTCTATCTTTACTACATAATAGATTTGTTCCTCTGTCTATTTCATAGCTTCTTACTTTCTGATGATAATGCTACCAACCTTTCATCTTTCAAATCATCTCGATGCTTTTTTATTCCCAGATTTTTGATAAATTCTCTCAACTGAAAAATAAGAAAAAAATTATATGCTTAACTGATTGACATATAGAAACAGCACCTGTCTCTGTAACTCTTCTCCTTACAAGCTATTAGCATTATAGGACTCTTGTTGTCATATCAAATTATATAGTCATACTTACTTGAATTTTTGTCACTTAATTACTTTTGATTGCAAAATATCAAGAGAACAATTTGACATTTAATTTTATCATGCATTGATGACAGGATACTATCTAAAAAAATAATGCCTTACCCAGCTTTAAAGCTTAAAAGAAATTGAAATAGAGAAGAAACCATGTTATTTATGACTAATTACCTCTCGAAAGCCTATGTAATGTCTTGTGGTGCAATACTGCTTATTTCTAAGAAATGTACCAATTACCTTCAAATGTACGTTAAGCACTATTTCTACCTGTAAACACCAGAGGAAGTTAAGATATCTAGAGTTTAATTCCCTTCTAAAAACCATGAATTCTCATTAAGCGATCATTTGTGGCATCAATTCTGTCACTAGACCTATTTTCATTTGTAGTGTTAATGAAGCCAGTACATTAAATCGCCTATACCTAAATGAGTATGTCAAGCATCATAAAACTACTAGGAGGTAGAATTTGTTATCAGACCATTTCTCCTTGGACACACGCCTGAGTCCAGGTGTGTCAAGGCCAATTCAATTCAAGGTGTTCACCTAGGTATATGTATGACAGGAACGGATGTCAGCACCTGCTAAAATTGCCTCCAACTAACATGTTGGGCAGATACTAAAGAGTTTACCTGATTAATTTGCTACTTGTTGTTCATCTCAGCTTTCACATTTTACATTTTTCCCTTACCATTTTGTATTTTAAGATGTTCATATAAACATCTATGACTTTTCACTAGTCTTTTTTTAATTCTCTTACCCAACACAGTGTACCATCACTGCTGAAAAAAGACTGATTTATAAAACTACCACATCAAATGAGACTTCCACTGCATTTAATTCAGTCACTACCACCTAGTGGAATTGATGTCACAGATTTCGGGTGTCGAAGATTCCCTAAAGCTTCTAGAAAAGCTGAAGTGTGGACAGGTAACCAAACTCACCTGTAGCCGAATGCATTTGGATACAACCACATGGAGAGGTGAAAATCGATTTAGGATACTACCCAAGTGATATCTACATGTATGTCAAAATATAGAGACCTGCAAAATATTGTTGCAGATGACCTTTAAAACATAGTGCAATATGTGATCATTGGTACAATACCATAATGGTTTATTTTTATATTGTAGATGTAGATATATAATCATGAATGCTAAAATGAAGCCATGCACCATATCAAACAATGAAATGTACATGTCCTAGCTGTAGGTGCAATTTAACCCAGTGATTCACATCAAGGCCTTCTTTGTGTACCTCATCTTTCTTGATGGGCTCCACATCCATATCATTGTCCAGTCCCTCCAGGCTTTCATTGTCTGTAGAGTCAACATCTCTGAGAAGCTCCAAGTCATTCTGAAGGAAATAATAGGTATCAATCAACATGGTCATCAATATCTTTACAGGATTTAACAAGACATGTCTAAAAGGATAGCTTAAGGATGTGAAATATAATACATTTTGTACAAGTTATTTATTGATCAATCTAACACTGCACTAAGTCGAATCCTGAACATGTCATGATAGGTTTTTTTATGCTAATTACTTGGGATTTAGCTTCTGATTCTATAGAAGGGAGAGAAGATAAATCATCAAACTGACATTTGACAATTTTATGATATTCCATGAAGTCCAGCAACAGATTTATGACATAAATTCATAATGTTTCCTCTGGTTCCTACACCAGACATAGACATGAATACTTTACAAATACATGGTGTTCAGACACCTGTCCATCAAAATGTAATTTCTAGGGTAATCTTATATCTAGGAAGATGATGTATCATATACATAATACATATATAATACCATTCCTAGTTTGAACAGACTTTATACAATCATATTTTCCGGAATGGATAATTTTGCCTCAGAAAGAAGTTATAATCGTCGATTGATTATATAATGGATGTATTGAGAGACAGGACAAGTAAATATAACAGTGACTTACAGCTGCTTCAAACATATTTCTTATCTACGCAGACCCAAATGGGATTACCCCAACCTCCCCATCTTCTTTTTTTAACTTTTGTATTCGACAATTGAGGTGGTCAGCTATCGGCGTATCTGTTGTTATTTCTCTGTCTGTTACTTAAAGTGATGAAGAATACATCAAATAATGAAAACGGAAACGTCAAAAAAAACGGTCTGCTATATAGCGAGCTACGAGAAAATCTGGTGCGAGTTCCAGCATGGTGATGGGAGTGCGAGTTACGAAAAAAGATATCTTAAGATTGATGATGACTTGTCATCCTTTGCAGATACATCAGGAACTCGGTCTACTGTTACCTTGTCGCCACCCAACAGCTCGAGTATAGATAAATCTAAATCCACGTGTTCTTCGTGTTCAACACGTTTCTTCTGTTTCTTCTTTGACGCCATTTTGTACATTATAATAATCGGAGCCGTTGTCGGTTTACCCGGAAAAAAGCCCTCTGGTAATAGCCATTAGAAATATTGTCATTTTATCGTCGCGTTATATTCTTCATATCTTTTGTAAATCATTAAATAATATCCGAAGTAAAAAGGACAAATTCGTTTAAGAATAATGATTTTATATTAGAAACCGTTTGCGGCGTAATAGAATAACTGGAGTTTTTCCCCATACACTGCGCATGCCAACGCCATCCGCATATCATCTTTTTACTGCGATCATATATTGTTGGGGATGTTAAAAAAACACAAATTCATATGCTATCCTCACCCCTAAAAATAAACGAATAAATAATAACAACAATCTTATTTTTCAAAATGTTGTATCGGTATGCAAATGAAATAAAAATATCGCAGGGAAATTTTAACTGAAAGCCCTTACTTAAGAGACTCCTGGTATAGCATTTTATCACATAGACTATTGTTGACCTCCACACACACCCTCATCCTTCTGTACAAAATTAGATCGTATGTATTACAGCTCCTGACAGAATCAAATTAGCAGAACTGTTTGTGAAACATTTACGCTGTATTTACGCAGATAATTGATCATAGGTGGTTGTGTGGTTGTTGTGATGATGATTATAATGATGATGATGAGGAGGAGGATTGTGGTGATGGCGATTGCGGTTGTTGCTATGATGATGACGACGACGGCGGAATTCTAAAAATGGACCTTACCAGCAGGCAAGTGTCACTTTGGTGGGTAGACTAGGGCAAACTCTGTGTTGGTATCATATAAATCGTACTAGATTTCTATATGACATGACGTCGTTAAACATTTCCCGGGTCAAATAAAAATAAATAATCGATACGAAAGATGTAATTCTCTAAAACATCCGACACCAACTAGAAACATAGAAAACACACCACTTCTGCTTCTGTGTCTGAAACTGCAAATGAAGATAGACGGTCTGTACAGCTGCCTATACAGAGGTTTGTATGTGAAACCTTTGGGTTTTCTTAATTTCCTGACGATATCTCGCGGAAATATATTTCCGAAATATTAGGAGTAATTTAAACTTAGCAACAAAATCAAAAATGAATAATATTATCAATATGATTATATACGGAGATATTGCTAATTTGGTCAAAATTTAAATATAATGAAAACGCCAAGTACAGGAAAGGAAAACTAACTCTGTGTGGCATTAATTTGAAGTTATCTGCCCCTTTTACTATTTTGCGTAAATCACGCGCAATCTCGCGCTATCATTTTGCTTCACGACGAAGACCCATAAGCAACTCCACCGTGAAATCACAGCATAGCATAGGATTACTAGGTAAGAGTTATAGTGATATTTAAGTGCATGTATATTCTTGTTTTTCCGTGACCCGTAAAACTTTTTCGGGCTTATTTCTTTTGTCAAAAATCATTATTGTTTACTTCATAACAATCTGACGTTATCACCACATCACAGAACGCACATTATTTATTCGATGCGTAAATGTGTTGCTCAGTAAAATGGATATAACCAATCTGAATTAACCTTTTTTTATTTTTCTCTAATCCGTTTTTAATTGCCCTTGCATGAAGTCGGTTAATAATATTAATACCGAGGGAATGAACGAATTAATCTTGTAGATAATTTTTTTTATAATTTTTGAGGAATATTCATATCTCCAAGACACTGATCCTTTTTTCACTCCAAGTATCAAGCATTTACTGTCAGAAATATTTTACCAAGCAATTATTTTTCACATTTGGTCAAGAAATGTGTTACGAATAAGATAAACTAATATCTATGCAGCTTGAAAGCCATAACCTTATTTACAATATCAGTTGCTCAGCTTATCTTATAATTAAAAAGAATATGAAATGATATAAGCTACATTTACCTGTCGATATGCATGAAGCAAAGGAAAAATTATTATATGTCAAGAGTATGAAAAGTATAGTAAACAAAAACTAACTCTGTTCTGCATGAATTTGAAGTAATCTGACCCTGTAACTATATTGCGTAAATAACGCGCAATCTCACGTTATCATTTTTGCTTCACAACGAAGAGCTCACTGTGAAACCCAGTAAGCACAAGGTTATCAGGTAAGGTGGAATTCAAGAATTATTTTCCATATGGATGTTGGTATGTGAATGGATTGTATCTTCCGTGACCCGCACTACTCTCTCTCTCTCTTGTTAATTGATCTGTTTGATTGGACACTATTATTTACTTTTTATCAAATTATTTAAGCTTCATAACCAGACACAATTTATATATGTATATATATATATATGTACGATCATCCCAACACACATTGTGAGTTTGGGCATACGGACAGTGTGCATGTATCATGTTTCACTGGCATGGAGCAGGAGCAGTTGGATGATTTACATATACACAAAGTATTATCACCATACAAAGTACGTGTTATTCACAAATAATGGTTATGCAACTTATTTTTCTAACGGATCGCCAATGCTAAGTTGTTGCCACGGCAATCATTCTGACGCTAGTCCAAAATGGCGGCCACATTTCCTGTTCAGGCAGCTGGTATTGGATGAATTTATGATTCTGACATTTTGAAATGTGTCGTCGATATGTGAAGTGGAGGGTACGATATTGATAATATTTGACATATTTCTATTCACTTTTTCCGCTTTAAGCGAGTTTTTCGGTTAAGTCAACATGTCGACAAAGACGATAATCGTCACAGTAATAGGTGCTGTAATATCAATTCAGGAATCAAATTGAATTGTGACATCACAACCGAGCCAAATAAGATGTCATCATATGGTATTGTCTCTCTTACCTTTACTTTATACAGAATGACACATTAATCCCTATCTCCATTTGAAAGAAGCGTACTGACAACTTCGGGAGAGTCTACAGTCATGATCGTTTGTCGAAGCCTGTCCACGGTGTCCGGTGTTTTATCGATCTACTTTGGTGAACAAATACCTTTGCAAGTCATAAATACTGGAAATAGACATGGCGAATTTCGAGTATGTACAGCAGAAATCAATATATACAACAATTATACGGATTTATACTCGAACCCATCCCCTTACAACGTTGAAACTGTAATAAATGATGATTTAGAACAAATTCAAAATTGGGCGAGAAAGTGGCTAGTAAAGTTTAATCCAACTAAAACAGAAGCATTACTTATCCATAATTCCGAATTAGACTACGCGATAGATATAAAATTTGATAATGTTAGTGTGAATTTTGTAGATAATCATAAGCATTTGGGGGTAACATTTGACCAGAATTGTAAATGGACAAGTCATATTGAGGACATTTGTAAAAAAGTATCTAAGCAGATTAGTATCT